TCCGCCTATTATTTATAATGTTGACGAATTTAAATATAACAAACCATTTTGGAAATGCTTCAAAATTATTTCAAAATATCAATTACATTTGCTTTTACTAGAAATAGTCGGAAAACAACGTGTTCTGTTACTTAAAAAAACCTATACAGTTATCCATTTTAGTTTTCTTTTTGAAAATGTGGATCTAACAAACAGTCTTTCTTAGTCGACACAGTATTACTAAGGCTTATCGTAGTGAAAATCTCATTTCTCTGAAGTTTTTTATGTATTTTAAATGGTTTTCCCTAGCAGTTAGCTAAAGTCATCGGAATACTGTTCTTTCATATCTTTTTTTAGTATTAAATATTTCCTTCTCATTGCTAACAAATTGCCGGAATGATTCATTAGATTGATACTACCTGATTTGGTATGTATCTGTATGCTTGGATTTGAATCTGTGTGTGATCATGTCAACTAAAGAATGTTATCCAATTAAGGTAATAGGTACTTCTTATTTAACGTTAAATTTTCTTTTTTTTTTGCTGAAAATATCATCTGACTATTAGAAATTTAACTCTAGATTTAAATTTGAGCTCAAGTTTATCCTAATTTAAAACAATTTCATTATTCGTTTATGATAGCTTTGAAAATGTTTCATCACTAGCATAGTGTAATACTAATGTTAAAAAACAAGAAACTAATAAAAAGGGTATCACTGAATTCAAAAACATGCTGAATTAAGGATCACAGAATAATGAAATTAAAAAAATTGAAAATAAACATACCATCAATCACAAGGTCTAGTCATCTGGAAGTATTTTTCTATTTCCGGAAACACATTTTGTGATGGAATTGAAACAACGATCAAGAAAGAATGAAAAGAAGATGATGGGAAAGTTGCACAACAGCGTGGTTTTAAAGTTTCATCTATAAATCATGGAAAAAAGAAAATACAGTGATCAGTGATAGTGTGAAACTGTTCGTTAGCATATGCTATCAGTTAACAGCTACTGAAAATGGTTTTCGTTCTATCTGAAGCTTGGATGATGTTGAAGTGAAGATGAGACTGGATTCCTTCTGGAATCATCTGAATCTTCATTAGACAGGAGCAGGTTGAATCTTCTAGCAGCGCTCTTGTCCCATCTCCCCTTCATTGTCACATTCAGATACACTCTCTCTAATCAGTTTACATGCTCATTAAGCGAGTCTGTCCGTGCATCCATGCATATTTACACACATATATAAGCATCACACGGTGACGTTTGAAGTCCCTTCCTTGTAAATATATATATATGTGTGTATGCATGTGTGTGTATGTGTGTGCACATAGGCACACACATTGTCTGTGCATAGCTGGAATTCCTTAGCATGGAGAACCGGCTCCCGAATTCTACTCCCTCTCTCTCTCTCTCTCTCTCTCTCGGAAATTTACAGATATTGAATGATCTCCCGCAGTATTTCTTCTTTTCTCTGTCTATTCCCTCGTGTTCTCTGGTTCATTTATTTGTTCTAAAAATTCCTGAAATTTTTCTATCTTGCCGAAATAATCATTTCCATAAACCTTTTTCTTTGTGCAATTGCTTCGGAGTTAATAGCACTAATGTTGGCGAGCTGATCATTTAACATTGAAATTTCTTCTTACACTGTGATAAGTTTACTGTAATCATTATACTTCTTAGAGAATTAGTCTGAAGTGATGTGAAGATTTTAGTGGATTAATTGACAAACAAGTCTTAATTGTTCATGAAAACGTATTCAATTATGACTCATTTGTCATCAGCTGTTTTATTCTGCTTACATAGCTTCTTTCACTCAATCACATCAACTGGTGACTTCTTTTTCCCTTAAAATAGTCGTCAATTAATTAAATGAATTTTCTCAAAAACTTTCAAAAAAAACTTTCGACATTAGCCACAGCATTACCACCCATTTCTCATGATGGAAAGATCACTTTTCTCCTGAAAATTCTATTCATGTTTGTCTTATCACGTTAATCTTGAAAGAAATATGTCTGGAAATGTACCAAAGTAAGAGTACTTCAAATTGCTTTGCCCATCACTAAAGGATATTTTAAACCGTACATGTATGATACTCTTGGGATGCTTCAACTTCATTTATTCTCTTGTTTACTTCAACGGAAACGGACCTTTCTTCAATAACTGGTTGAAACAAAAAAAGGAAAAGAATTTCTTCGTTTATTCTAACAGTCAGCACGTAAATACTTCACATTGAATGTCCTATCGATTCATTCCATCCTTACTTTTCTCCTCGTTTTCTCATTTTTGATCATTATCAAAGAAATGTGTCGTGTGCTACCCTTCCCAAAATGTGTCATTCACGTATGTTATGATATGATATGAATTGACATGTTTGTATATACCTTTCTGTCTATTAAGGTGACATACCTTATCAGTATGTACGTATCCATTCGTGTATGTGTGCACATCTTTGCGTGATTTTACTTCTTACTTGTTACTTTTATGTGGCTTATTGCTCTACATTATAAGTGTAAATTTTCTCGAGAATCACTGTTTCTTCGGCGGTTGTTTCTTTATCCATCGTCGATTTAATTGTTTGCTAGGCAATTAAGTTTGGAATGCATTTTTTCTTTTTTGAATGCTTGCTATTTAATGAGTGAGCCAGCAGTAGTTTATTTGTTGGTACGGCAGGGATGCATCTAGTGAATATAAATGAGATCGCTGCTTCTTCGGGGATATAACTAAATGATGCAGTTATTTTTCATAGGAAACCTCTCCTCGGGATATATCGAGCAACACATTGATACATCTAGTATATTCATGCAGAGGTAAACAGTAGTTAGTTTTGTTTTCTCGAATTTAACCTCTGTAATGTGAAAAACTATTCAAAAAATTTATAATTCCTTACGAGAATAAAGATAGGTTTCATTAAGTTCAGCGAATAATTTCAAGGTTATTTTTCTTTTTTTCTTCAAATTTTAATAGATATTTTACAAGTGATGACTGACCTCTGAAGGTTTGCGTTTTTTTCTTTTTTTGCTATGGAATGATGTGATTCAATTTCGTTTTTTCAAACTTCCAACTTTTTAATGCTGTCATCATCTCTTCATTAAGCAAATATTGTACTGTTGGCTACTTTTTTGGAGCTAGTACTAACGATTTACTCTTTTAATTGATTAAGCCTGCGACTTTTCATATAGGACATTAAAATTGAGAAGTTATTATGGATAATTTAAAGTACGGATTCATTTTTTCTAAATGGATATTTAGAATGGAATGATAAAATAATAATTGAATATTTCAAAAATGCAACGCTTTAAGTGAAACAGGTGATTTTTCTACAAGTTAAATTATTGCTATTTCTCATAAGACGATCATTTAAATTTTGACAATTTAAAAATATTTTTTTTTTAACTATCAAACTCTAAGTCTCCAAATCAGATACGGTTCTGAAACAGCGAGAAGGAAGTATAGGAGTGTTTCAAACGAGAAACCTGATACAGTGACTTCTACTTTAGTAAGGTTTTTTTTATGAATTCATAGTGTTTCATTAATAATTTTGATGAAATTGGAGGGTATTCCATATCTGGAACTGATGTCCTTCTAATTAATTTATATCTTAACAAATTTTTATGCACAATGTGGTTAGTTAATAAACTGCTAATCTATTAGTGACCAGGAATTATGGCCAGCAGTGTCAATGTGCATGCCTCCTCTTTCGACAGAGGATATTTTTGAAAGGATGTAATAATTATTTGCAATGAAATATATTCATGCCATTATATACTTACTTTTTTTTAAAATTCATTTTGTTACCATCGTTAACGGAATTTGTGTTTTCGGGAATGCGGGAATGAATGTTGAAGTAAAATGATTCCGAACAGAAAAAAGGATATGTTTGCTCAAGGTCATGCGGTATTACATACAAGAGAATGTGGAAGAGGGGACAAAAGGGAGGTAGAGGGTTGGTTCAATTGACCTCGAATAGCTATGGCGTACCCCCGAAATGAAATGTCATTTCCTTCCTGACCTGTCCCTTTGCTTTCTCCTCTTTCGTTCAGTTTTATTTCTTTCAAAATTAATTGTATTATTCGAAAAAGTTATTCCTGAGTTTTTACGGATTCATTTTTTTGAATTCCTTTTCTGTAACATTCTAATGATTTCAGCAGAGTTATTATTTAATATCATTACACCGCGAGCTATTTTATTAATAGATAATAAATATGAACTTTTTAAAATATTTTCATCCGCTCGTCCTCTTTATACGTCTTATACTTTCAAGTTAAATTACTGATTCAGATTGTTTTATCTTATTGATACTGAATATTTAATTACAGGCCTATTTCCTTGCACTTTAATTTGATTCATCTTAGTGAATTAGGAATGTCAGGAAGAGAAATAGACGGCACGAGTTATCACACACACACAATGATTCCTTAGAAGCGAGTTGACATTGAGGTATTGCTTTAGATCAGGTAAGACTGCAACTATGTTTACAAAGCTACCTCTTGAAATGTTTTAAGTATTTCTATAGCTCTCCTCTTTCGAGAAGAATTCAATCTATTCGAAGTTCATCGATTCAAGTGAAGAATTAGCTATTAGATGACACTGAGTTTTAGATGTATCTTCTTTGAATCGAATCATATTGAGTAATAAAGGAATGGGTAATTAATTCACATATTGTATGAAAAGTTCGCAGGAAATCGTTTTGATTGTTTATATTTTGCTTTCTTTCATTATTATCATTTTCAAAATGTTCAAAAGTAATACTAAATGATTTAGGATGAAATTATAAAAGTTACTTCTTAATTGCCACAGCTATTAGATAGACTATTTTTAGAAAGTATGCAATCTTTTACGCATAAGGTAAGTTTTTTTTTTATGGTATTTAAGGTAAAATATTTTGTAATTGCATTTATTTGTTGTTAAATGTTGAATAGACGTATATTTGCGTGACGGAGCTTCGTTTTGAGAAAGATCATGAAATTGTGCAATTAGCGACCTGTTATTATTTTAGTATAATAAAAGCAAATCAAAAAAGTGATGACGGAAAGTGATGAAGTGAATTCATACCACGGTTCTAGTTCATGTTGTTCTTCTCGGATACCACCTTTAAGTGATTCCGAACAGCGTTTATCTGAACCGGATGCACCAATCCATAATTCCGCGAATCTTAATCACTTCAACAGTGATCATGTAAAAGTTATCCCATCATTACGCACAACAATCCCAGCTGGTTATAAATATCTTCAGGTTCAAACTCTTACAAAGGAGACGATCACACTTGCTGTACATGTTAGTGTTTTATTTTCCCATTATATTTGAAGAGCGCTATTGGCATAATAAAGAAATATGTGTATACTTCCAAATTTTAACTAAACTGAATTTTTTCAGATCACATCTCTTCATAAGCAGTAATGTAAACATATGAAATTATTTTAGATTTCCACTCTATAACTTATTAAGTGTTCATAGAAAATGAATAGATTCACTTTCTGGGATATGAAAAATTTGGCTCATTTAAGTGACTTAGCTCGAGCCAATGTACTTTCAGCTATTTATATTACTATCGTTTATTAACATGTGTGTTAAGAGGGAACTTTTGCCATAGTATGTCAGTGAATATATATATAAGATATATATACCAAGGTATTTTAATATATATACCAAAATATTTTTCGTCAAGAATTGATACACTAAGTAAACCTAGTTTTTGACGATGATTTGATTTTTTAATTTGTTTCCGAGAAAAAGAATTTTCTTGTGAAAAGTAATGTCAAGAGTGATAAGCAGTAGCATTTTTTCATTTATTAGTGATACTTATTTGTATTGCATCCTATTGTTATTGCTGTTGAACAGTATTGTTGAAATAACTAGAATTAATTGCTGCATCAGAAAATGAGTGTATCAAAAGCATTGGAGACAAATAGCGTCGTCCATTACAGAAGAATCATTAAGTATTTTTATTACTGATAGCAAACAGTTCGATCTCTTTGTTTGAGGATTCTTCTGGCCTAAAGCGTTGACAACTTCAAATAAATCCCTGTTTTTTCGTTATACCTAATTTTAAAACGAAATAATTTAGGAAAAATGGTTTTCAGGTGAAATGTCGTGTGGAGGATGCATATTTATGTTGTTGTGCATATCTTGGTTTTGATGAAGAACGATTGTTTGGTTTGGCTCTCCGAACACCTTCTGAAGGCATTGGTGGTGACCGACCCAGAAATGAATTTTTTTTTTTGGATCCAAGTCGGAAAATAGCAAAATATGCTCCGAAACAGTGGAAAATATCGCATGCATGGGTTGGTGAAAATTAAAATTATTAGGCAATGGATCAAACTGTAAATATCTACACTTTGATTAGTGCATATTTTTCTCGTTTTTTTTTTCGAGATTTTGTGTTGGATGTGCTAATTATGTTTTGATGCTAGGGAAGTATTCCGCTTTTTTTCTCACAGCAGTGATCGACAGAATAGCCAACTCTAGAAATGTGAAACTATTACACTGATTTAAGTTTCTTTCCATGTACTCTCCTTTTGAAGGGGCTGTAATTGGTAGTTGTATTGCACTAACCCTCATTCAAGGCTTTGCTAATTTACCTGCAGTGATACTATTCATCCTTACGATTTACTTCCTTGCGATTTAGTTGTATTTGACTTTTATCATCCATTTCAAAGTTGAGTGCAATTTTTTTAATATAAATCAACACTGTTATTCTTACTAGAGAAATCTGACAATTAATAAATGATATGAGAATAAAGATTCATTTAATTTTAGAATACGGTTGTTGAAAGCCGCCCCTTTTTGGCTCTTCATCTTCGAGTACGCATATATGTGGACAAAGCGTATGTAATTGGGTGAGATGATGCATATATTACTTATTTGCGAACAATTCAAATATTTTTTGCTATTTCTAACGCCTAATCATGCTTAGCCGTGTTCTAGGAGAACAGGGAGGAGCAATTTAATTAGGCTATAGACCTCCACAAGTATAAATATTGCTTGTTGCAGTCAAATAAGCAAGCAAAATTCATAAGAAACAAATTTATGAAGTCATTTTTTTAAAAAGAAATTCCAAGTAGATTTCATTGGTTTATAGTAAGGACATGTTGAAATAAGCAAAGGTCCGTAAGATCCAGAATCTAAAATAATTTTTTGTTTTTTTTCGTTCTGATTTACTGTAGTAACAAATAGAAATTTACAGATCCCCCACAACCCTCAGACATTATTACCTGCAGCTACGCGAAAATCTCCTAGATCAGTGGTCAGGTCCAAATTCAGTTGCTGAAGAGCGCTGCTGGGAACTTGCTGCATTAGCACTACATGCCGATGAAAATGGCAATGATCTGTTGTAATTATTTTCCTTTGATTTTTGTGCTTAACAAAATCCAGTCGAAATCAGACATTATAGTATCATTATGTCACTAAAAATATTACTATCAAAAAAATCATCAAAAGCACTTAATCTTCAAAGAAATAACATAATTTATACGCTAAAGCTTGGCTGTTTGCATTTGTGAATATTTAATTTAAATCACTTCGGTTGAATATCGTTCTAAACTGTTCATTTTTTTCAAAATCAGCACTGCTATTAGTTAATGTTCACTTAGGTTACTTTCATCTTCAATATTTGTTTCAGATCTTTCCGAGTTGAGCGATATTTTCCGCTTTGGGTGGTGAATGTTCACGGTCTGGATTTTGTAAGGCGTAACATACCTGCTGTACGCGAAGATCTCAAATCACGCTCAAGTAATGATGCAGTAATGGAATATTGCCAACAAGCTTCTCGGTAATCCTTTATCATCTTTCGCTTTTTTCTTAAATAATTAGAAATCGATATTGAATTTCAAAAGATTCATTGCATGATAATATGCTTGAATCCCATCGTTATCAAATTTTGAAAAGAGATATACAGCAAATTTACAGTCAGTCTGCAATTTAATTTAAGAAAAAAGTGTTGTAAAATTTAACAGACCACCATTCGCGTTGAACTGTCATTTATATGGACTGCGCAGGCATAAGATGGATACATTCGATAATGCAGTTATTGGTATTAGCCCAAAGTAAGTTTTTTTTTTTTTTGAAATAGATTGTTAAAATCCTTCCTTTCTTGCTTATATTTCGATTTTTCAAATTATTAAACTTCCGGATATTTCTAGAGGGATCGAGACATCAGATGTAGGTAATGATGGAGAGAGAATTCCGCTGCGTAAGCTACAGTGGAATAGAATAGCAAAGTTAAGCTTTGATAGGCGGAAAGTAACAATAACTGGTCTGGATGGCGTTAGCTTGTCATTGTACACACAATTTGAGGACAAAGCTCGCTATTTGCTAGAATTTTGCAAAGCTTTCCACCAAGCGACTTTGTTTATCAACAATCATTCTACATTTCGTCAGAATCGTTCCAGTGAGTTCCTTTTATTAAACTAGTCGTCATTTTTATTAATTTCATTTTTGTTACACAATGTTTCCTTTCTGAAGCATTGAATTTTGAAATTTTAAAGCAGTGAAATATTGGTTACACACAAAGAAAAGGTTGTAATTTTAAGAATTCAGTAAATACTGTAAATCTCACTAAAACATATTTTTATATAAGCTATGCATATTCTTTTATATATGCATAGCTTGGAATATTTACTAGTTCAATGTATGTTATCTTTTTTGTTTAGCGAGCATAAATTCGCCGCTTTTCTGCAGCGATGATCGCTGCTTAGACGATGCACTCTACTCTCGACGTTCACTTAATTCACGTGCTTCCAGTAATAGCACATCAGGAGTTGTTTCTGACAAACTAGGAAGCGAAGCAGATAAGGGTGATTTTACTAATTTTGTGATTTGGAAAAAGTTATTTACGATAAAGGCAAAAATTATGGTAACAATGTAAAATAAAGTTAATTTAAGCTAAATTCAAATATCTACAAAAATGAAACACGCTTTTAATTGATGTAAACTATTGATTTTATTGGAATAAATCTTGTTTCATAGAATAGTGTTCTTGAGCTGAGAAGAATGCATTTGTAGATTGTGAGTGGACAGATGCATGCGGTGTCGCATCGGATTGTTCATGTGAGGAAATACAACCTTTTACGGTGGAAGATCTAGCTGGAGAAATGCACAAGGCATCGATTCACGCAACCGCTGAAGCTGTTGACAGTACCCAGGATGAAGCAACAAGTATAGAGATCGATACTGTTGGCGTGGATCGTCCCAATACTTCCTCGTAAGCTTCCTTTTGTTGGAATTTTTGCATTCAGTGCATTGGTATGTTCCACAATTTGCCAGCTGATGTTTCGATTGTTTCGTCATCACCATTAAGCTAAACAGTGTATAGGATTCCTATGTGAAACAATTAGGAAATAATTTGCAATAGTTTTACAGTGAAACAAAGCATATATTTATACCAAGGATGCAAGCTGACAATGTTTTTTTGCATTTGTGAAGAATTGTCGCTTCCATTTCAATTTCTTAATATGTTTGACTTTTAAAAATGATTTGAATTGGCAATGTGCAAAAAAGTTTTGGTAATCTCACATCTTTTTTTGAGTTGTCTTGTTTACTATTACAAAGAAATCTTGAAATAAGTTGCGACAGGAGAAGTAAAGAAGCAAATTCATCAAAAAAGGTTGTTGAAACGACAGATAAAAGGACAATTTCCGCTTCATGTTCCAGTTCTGTTAGAAGAAATGCAGCATATGTAGAAGTGAGTCTTACTTTAAAGTTAAGTTTTATTTAAAATAGATCAGTATGAGTTCTATCTATTGACAACCAAATTGTTAGCTTCTATTTATTTATCAGAAAGTGATGAATTCAGGAAGGCTGAAAGTTTTTACTATTCTGCGGTAAAAATTTTACAATGTTTGGATCTGCTCACTGTTGGTATGTGACTGAGCAAAAATTCAGATAGAGGACAAAGACGTAGCGGGAAATGCAGGTAATGTGCTGGGACCCATCTTGAAGAAGCATTCGTTTATAGACAGTGATGCAAATAGTGGCGCAAATAGTATTCTTATGCCAATAATCCAAGAAAAAGTAGATTCTTCTAGTCAAAAGGTTTGGTAAAGTTTATAACTTGTACTATTAGCTGTTTCACTCTTGAAGCTTAATGTAATAATCTCTCATAGATGTTCGGCATGAAATGATTTTTTTGTAAAGTATTTTTAAAACATTTCTGAAACTTGTTGTTTTTTATTCATTTCTTAGTGCATTTAATGAATCTCATTTTAGGATTATTGCGATGAAATGGAAAAGACAGAATTAACAATGAATGTGGTCTTGAGACAACCTCCACAGTATAATGAAACGTTAGAAGCTTTTCACACACAAAATAAGCTGCAGATTCCTTACCATCGATCAAATCCAAATTCAAACATAAAGTCAAAATGGATTACTGTGACTGGTGTCACTCCTTCCGGAGCTACTGTTTCATGTCCACTTGAAACGTCTACTGATCTCACTTCTTCTGAACCGAAACTACATTACCAGGTATTTTTTATTTCTATTAATAACTTTAAAAAAATGACTTCTAATGCAACTTTAGAAAAAAGCAATATTCTACTCATTCTTCTAAAGCTACTAGTACAGTTACTGACGCCGTAGTTTTTCATTGGTTTCTCCTTTTCTGAGAAAAAAAGATGCTATTTTATAATGAATTTGTTCCTTGCAGATGTATACAAGGTCGGGATCCCCGTTAGCGTCAATGCCCACCACTTCATATCAGCTGCCAACAGTAGGATCATCATCACGTCCTTCACCCTCTTACACACCACCCATTATGCGTACGGGGGCCAGTGGTGGCTTATTTCAAAAACGTCATGGACAACGTGTACCCCATTCTACAGCAGTTCGGGGAATTAGTCGTGTACAAAGCATGCCGGCACATAATTCTCAGCATTATGGTGATGATGTGAGTTCTTAGCTCTTTCGACAAATTTCTGTCAAATTTTATATAGCTATGAAAATTTTTCTCAGAAATTTTGAAGCTAAGCGAAGGTTTTTTCAAGTTTATAAAACGGAATAATTAAAGGATGAGTTCTCAATACCGTCGTCAACTGCAGTAACTTCAATTAAACATTCACAATCAGCGCCAGGAACACGATTTTCTGTTTATACAAAACAACCACCTCCTTATGAACATGCTGTCTTACAGGTATATACTTAAATTAAATTAGAAGCCCTAAGTGAAAAACTGACTGATCTGATTTGAAATATCTTTAAAAATAAGATATAATTCAAACTGTTTGACGTTAATTCGTATCACAGGAAGAAATAACTCTGAATAGCTGTATTTTAGGAAATTTAAAGAGTTAAAGGTTTTTATTTATAGCAAGCACGTGCACGTTATGCACAAAAGGGTGTAATGATGTGTCAAACGCATCCCAATAGCGCACCAAAAGATTTCTTGTCTCAAAAACATTTATGTACCAGTGATCAGGAAGAAATGACTCTGAATAGCCGTATCCGTCAATATCCAATGATGAGAGCTCTGTGGCAGGAGCATCAGCAAGGTAAACGAGAATGACATAAGCTCGTAATAGTTCATTAATGGAATTTTTTAAGCACGAAATAAAATTAAACGACTTTTTGCATAAATTGATCAATAAATTAAACTTTTCTTCAGGTTCTTGCGTTCAGTTAGCGACAAATGCAAACTCAACTATTACTCGACTTGGTGTACCATCAGTATCCAATCCAATATTATCCTCACTGAATACTGTATTGGACGATGCCACAGCAGCTGACTCACAGTTGCAACGACCATCTTCATGTCAGGAACTTTCATCATCCGTCTTGCTTACAACATCATCACACCTTACCTCAACCACCCACGATTCTCGGCCAACGGCAGTGTACGCAACACGGCCATCCACTAGCTGGACACCAGTATATCATCGAGAACTTTATGTACCAGACCTTTCACCACCCTCCTGCTGTTATTATTCACCATTTGCTGCTGGTCGAAATCAAATGAGGTTAATGTTTTCATTTTCGTCACTTTCACTTTCTCGTTTATTAAATATTATCACCTTGTCAATACTATTAATGAAAACCATACCTTATTTTTCACCAGTTGTTTGGATTATACTCCAGTTCTAGCTCTTATTAGACCTGTAGGCGATATCATAATATCATAGTACGCTAACCACATTTCATAAAGTCATTAAATTTTATAATACATTGATTCTGATTTCACTAAAGACTAAACCAATGTAAATGAAAGAAATACCTTGCGACGCCTCTCATTTTTGCGTTAAATGTGCTGATGGTTTGACCGTTGTTTGGTTCCTGAGGTCCTCTTCCCTTACTTTCTTCGACAGTAAAGATGTCGTGTTCTACTACTGGATCAATTTGTATTACATTATAAAAGCAAATATAAGAGACGATTACAAGTAAAGGATTAATCTCTGAATTTATTTTTGACTGATTTTGAATTTTCATATTAAGGAAGTCCTACTGTGGGTTCTTGCTTAGAAAAATCTTTCCTTGGAATCATTTTGGATGACAAGGTATTTCAAATTAAGCTCATAGTGATCTCCGTCAAGAGTTCTTGGTAGGGTTGCAGTGCTTGTAATCTACAAGCAAAAAAGTACTACTTAGTCACATTGTCTTTTGCAATTGTTTCGCATAGTTTGAACATTTGCAGAGCAGGACGAGCAGTCCGAGACAATGAGAAATCGCAAAAGAGTGGATATACTTGTCCGCTGATACCAGTGTGTGAGGAGTGCATGCTTGTCTAAGTCAAATCTCGAGATTCAAAAAAAAAAAAAATTAATTTGAACATTTTCTCCATTCCATGGCTATTGTTGCTCTACATATATATTATTTACATTCAGTTGGATTATGTCACATTCGGTGTTGGATTTGCCACCGCCGCCGCCCTATCCGCCACCGCGATGTCCACCTTCACCTGCAGCAACAAATAATGCGCAAATGGTTGCTTGACTGGCGTGCGTACGATTTTATGCATTTTTACAAAAATCGCATCGTTAGATTTTGTAGAAAGATGTGTGATTTTTACTTTAGATTCATATTACGGTTTATTATTCCTTAATTTAGTTGTTCAATTTAGAAGAACCAGAAAATATCGAGATGAATAAGCCAACTTCATTGTTCATGTTTATTCAGTATGGTTTCAACTTGGTGAAGATTTAGTAAAAATTTGGTGTAAATTTGGATTCGCTCACTTCTTCCTTGACATTTCAATATAGCTATGATCGACGAGCTGTCTCATTCTGAGACTGTTTTTCGTACTGACAATTATTTAATTTTGTTTATTTACTGCCGCATGTGGTGATTTTTCCCATCTTCTAAATATAGGCCACTCAATTTTTGATTGTAGCAGTAAGTTTATGGACTCAGTACTGAAGTGAACTAACCACTCACTTAGTTTTAAACTTGCTACCATATTATTTTTGCTTGTTGTGTCGATAGATCACCACAGTGTTTTATAGCTAGTTGCTTCTTTTTGATGGATAGATGGATGTGAAATAAGTAGAAAGCGGCAGTGCAATCATCCTCTTTTATCATTACATCCATCCGTAGTACAGAGTTTAAAATCGTGCCACTTATTTGATGCTGCCATTATTTGTCAGTGGTTAAATCGTCAGTATCTTCCTCTTTGAATGTACATTCCGCTTCCGCTTCTATTTCACTTCTTTCACTTTTCTTATATCTCTTCTCCTTCCTTTCTTCAAATGCACTAATCATTTGAATAGAATTTTCAGGTGCGTAGAACTTTTGTTAATTTAATAGAATCAAACATGCATTTCAATTCATGTTTCTTTGATGTATATTTTTTTGATTTATGTTCTTTAGTAATTTGTCTGTGATGTCCCCTTTATCAGTCAAATTAAACTTGTGATTAAATAATAAAATATTGCCATTAAAGTTGCTATATGCTTTTCGTTTAAATTTAATCAGTTCATTATATCCAGCATGAGGAATTTATTTTTGTATCATTTTCTCGAGATAAAAGGAAAGAGGATGAAAGAAAACCATTTTTAGATTGAGAAGTTGAACTAGAGTTGTTTGATTAAAGGCTAACAAGAAATAGTAGTAAATAGTTTTTGAAATACTGTGATCAGATTCAGTGAGCAAACGAGAATTAGCTTGTGTATTAAAATGCCTCGTCGAAGAGAATACGTTTGTCCATCACATCTGATTATTAACTGGTTGTATCAAATTTGTTTCAATTCAAACTGCAAATTTCATTCGAGCTACTAACGAAGGAAGAAATTTTATCAAATGGAAAGTTTGCATAGTTTTTGAATTAAGTGGGTCATCAGATTTGGGGCTTTCTGGGTGTTTTGAATTGAAACATCAAAGTATAATTAAAATAGTAACCAGTTCATTTTTAATGGAAAGGAAATATGACAACGGCTTGTTCCTTGAAAAGATAACTATAAAGTTCGCTGTTAAGAAACAAAGGGCATTATCTGCGTTCATTAGTTTTTGAATTTTCTTTTTTTAAATTGAAAATATCCTTGCAACTAATTTCTATTCCCAGTTTTTGATTGTAAATGTTGCGTTTGGATCTAGTAGATAACAGAAAAGGAACAGAAATATCATGACACCAATTTGACTTACTTTAGTCTTACCTTTTTCTTTTGCTTATGTGTAGGTGTGCTTGACTTACTTTCATATATTGTTGCGCTTAATTCACTAATGGAACAGAAATTTTCATTCTTCAGTTCGATATTTTAATTTTGTTTTCTTTTTCAAATCTAACACAGAATGTGTTATTCATAAGTTTTTACTGAGAGAGAATTTATTTTTTTCTCCTTTTCTTTATTAATCCGATTATTTAATATTTCGAAATATTCTGCGAATTCTTGAGAGGAAGGTATTAAAAAGTGATTGTGATATTGCTTGTTTGTTGACAATTCTGGAAATCTTCATTTCCCAATGTGCAAAATTTGATGAAAAAAAAAAGCTAAAGGAAGAAAATCTAAGAGTTTATGCTTCTTTATAAATTTCTATTTATTAGTTTTAAAGCAGTAATGATTTTGCAAAGTAAAATTTTTGGAGACAGTTATCAAATATGAACAGCAGAAGGAGTTGATGTATCCGGGGATTAGATTAATTGACATATACTGCTAGGGAGCGGAAAAAAAAATCTGTTTTCAGTTGTTTCAGGAATGGAATGACGTTTTGAATATCAGAATATTTAATAACACATCTCCTTTATCAGACTTTTAAAATATTAATTTAGAGTGGACATAGGAACTGAGGTAGTGGCCATTTTATGCTTCTTTACAAATTTGATATTAGTATAATTAATATAGGAAAATTATGTCCAAAGCTATTAATATAGGCTTGAGGCATGATTTCCCTTTATTAGTAGTTTTTAAATATGATTTGCTTTTGTATATGACAAATTTCAATGCATTTCACTTCATCCTATATTTTTTTTATAGTTTTTTAAATCAGTTCTTATATTCACCCGCATTTATTTTTCTTGACAATTCTTCCTTAGTTACTTTAGTTTATTCAAGTCTTTTCTTGTATTTAACGTCAAACTTCAACTGTTCCATTTCCGCATTGCTGCAGAATAAAAAGTCTTTTCCAATAATTAGAATTTTATGCAATGCATTCAAAGTTTTTTGAATTCTGAAAAAATATTTTCAAATAGAGCAAGCTAAAGAAAATTTTAACTAAAAATGTAAGGAGAGGATATAAGCATAGGTAATAAATTTTTTTTAAAAATAGAGAAAGCTTTCTATATTAGACTAAAGTTTATTGCACACAACACAATCCTGCTTAGTAATTAATTCTAGTTGAAAAGATTTTAATTAAAATTCCCAAAGAAGTGCTTGAAGTTTTTTTTCTTGAATGTTCACTCACACACACACACATAAGATGAAGTTTAAAGATTTAGAGAGAATGCCTTGAACAAAATCATTTGATCATTATCAATCACAATACGGTGATTGATTCATCGTATACTGAAGTAAAATATCCCAAATTAGTCTGACAATAAATATTAGGAGACGACTTTTGTTGCATTTTTTATTTGAAATACCAAATATTACATCCAATTTTCAAAATTCAATCTTTATTTCATTGTCGTAAATAAACGATCCATTCAAAAAGATTAGTGACAAAAAGTAAACAAAGTTGCATGTCAAATAAAAACATTGGTGAGGAAACAAAATGGATTTTATCCTTCTGATATAATTATTGCAGATTCAAGGCATTTACTTTATTCATGGAATCAGTAAACATTGTCCTGAAATGCCTGCCACAAAGTGTCATATTTTCTAATAAGATTTAGTTGATTCACAGTTCCATGTGTAACATTGATTTAAATTAAAAGAAAGCGCAAAAGCCCAAGGCTTACAAAAAATGCTAGATTGCAACTCCAGAAACAATAAATGTAATCCTATTAACCTCAATAATTATTCTCCAGTGATGCTTCAGTAGCGGCAAAAAAAAAATGGAAATTGAAGGGAAACAAAACCTATTCAAGAACCAAAAGTCAATTATACTTCATTCTAATAACATGAAAAGAATTCAACTGCTTGGTGCATCATCCGACATTCCAAAGCTAGCAAAATTGCAATTTGATCTTTTGCCTTACTTTTTTTTCACAAAAACTAAAATATAAATAATAAGGTAAGTTTGTTCCTGAATTTAACTTTAAAAAAAACACATAGATATATAGTTGGAAGGAGAAATTAATTTTGAAATGAGAAATGAAATAGTTAAGATATTAAATTGTCATTAGCATTCTTCTATTTAATTATCAGTGTACTATTCCAACTAATTGAAACAATGCTTTTATGCTGCGTACTTTTATCTGTAAGATAATAGCAACTAAATATGGTATTACTGTCGCCGCTGATAGTGACCGAACATACAGCTAACTGCAAAGAATTTAATTTTATTATTTGTTTTTATTCTGATACTTGCAGGATAATAAAATTTTATTTCAAGCATTTTTCAAAGAAAATAAAATCTTAACTCAAACATTGTAATGAGTATGATCTGCTTAAACTGGAAAATAACTAAAATGGAAAATTACTAAAAAAAGAATTTATCGAAATTTGTCGAAATATCGCTCAAATGGAACCGATGAGTAACAGTAGCAATGATGAAACTTCAATAGTAACTTACTTCATTTACGTAGCACCTTTTTAATGTAGAGGGATGCTAAATTTGAAAGAGTATGCCGCCAAGATTTTTGCTTACTCTCAGAACAATTTTTTTGTTTTTTTAGTAATTTAGGTAAATAAAATTTATACTACAATTGCTAATATTATCCATCCATCATATTGTTGGTGATCAGCTCTGATTCTGAAAAGAGTATGGTGGACAGCCGTCTGCAATCTTCTACCTGTTTTCAATTTCTCAACGTTTGCAAAATTTTCATTGAATCCAACAATTCCTAGAAATTCGTTTCACTTTTAATTAGTACTAATTAGTACAACTTCTTACTTAGTGAGGTCAGAAAAGATAATAAATTGACAGACAATATAATATTTTATAACACAATATCAAATGATATTTAATTGTTTATTTGGCATAAAATTTGTAGAGAACTGAATTCAATTCCAATTCCACTAATTAATTTGTTTAATATTCAAAAAATCAAAACGAAAGCTTCAAAACTCAATAGTGATTTCATGATTTTTTTCGTTTTATTCGTCAAAAAGATCATTAAGAAATATAAATATTTTTCTTTGGAAAGAGGAAATGAATTCCAAGTTCTGATTTAATCTTTTTGCATAAATTAAAGGCGTTGACAAAGTTATACTGTGGTTTACATAACAAAACAGTCCATCCAGCAACTTATTAATATGCAATTTATTACCTAGTACCATCAATTGTCCATCGCAGAATGAAATAACATCGCTTCGAATGGATATTTTTTCAGTTTTTAAATTCTTTTGTTTTCTTCTTTTATTACTGGTAATAACTTTCAGTTGATTAAAATTAAAAGATTTTTTTCGTGTAATCGGTCATATTTTCAGTTTATCTGAATTTAATTTATTGATTTTTGGTTTGAAATTTCATCAGGTGTTGCCTAACATTCCAGAAATGAAATTTTAAAAGGTTTTTCAATCATTGCATTTTTATTAGTAAGCTTTGAAATTTTTAAGAAACAATTGTGCTTTTCTTCGTATAATCAAGAACACTGTTTTTTGTTCTTTGCTTTTTTGCTTCACATAACGAATTCAATGTTTTTTAAGATGTAAAGAGTCTGGAGACAAATGATTTTGAATTTCCTGCAGTTGCTAACAGTTGGTGCTGATAAATTATTTTTAGACATAGCAGCATAAAATACGAGAATATATTTCTTGTTCATCGGGTATTAGTATGGCATGTGATGACAATTCTTTATCATATCATCATTCCTTATTCTTTAAGCTATGAATTCCTCAGTTTTTGTCTTACTAAACTCTACTCACATTTCTTTGTTCCTTTTGCTATTTTTAAATTGGGATCGAAATCGGAGATATATTCATACTGATATTTATGTTTCGAACATTAAGGTATTGTTACGTAAGATTCATTGTTTCTCTACACGTAGGTTAATTTTGAACATTAATGGATGAGAAAATGTTGATGTAGTACTAAAATCTCAGTAGAATGACTCTAGCGGCACTTTAACAATTTAACAGAAATATTCTATGCTTCCTTTCCTTACTTTCAATTCTTATCCGATGAGATATTAAATCGGAAATATATTCATATTGACATCCACATTGCTCCATTCTCGGCCATTTTTTTTTTATAATATAACGGACTCTTCTCAGAGTCTTATCAAATTTAATTTAATACTAATTATTCGTTCTGATAGGACAATTCAGCTAGCGAAATGAATTACTTCGTTACGGTTAACCGTTAGTTAGTACAATATCACAAGTCGAACATCTTTTAAAGCAAATCACCATTCAATTTAAACGCTTTGATGTTGACAATTTTTGGAATTTACTAATGGGGCCGTTTTTAATCCAAAATTTTTGTATAAAGAAGTTCATTATCATCATCATTCATCGGCTATTACTAATGGAAGCGGACATATGATTCATACACTGATATAGCACAGTGTTATCTGAGACTGATCCGAAAAAAAAGCTGAAAAAGAAGTGTTTGTCCACTCTTTATTTTGACATTTGAGAATGGTGTTGCTGTTTCTCTGATATCTTCATTCAAAGACAATATTTATTGACCTTTAAACTCCAGCAAAGATCAGAGGTGGTAAACAGGCGGGAAGGAAAGAGAGGAAAAAAGTGGGAAATGGAACAATGAATTGTATTCTCTAATGTTTATTTAGTGAGTATCAGTGGCCCAGCAAAGATCAGCTTAACGATTCTCTCCATCATCTTAGCTTTTCTCATTACTTTCTGCTTTTGCTATTTTATGATTAATTAAAGTTCGGGCTAGAAACTGTACTTCATTCATTTCTCACAATAAACTTCTAAAGTTTATTGTTGCTGTATTTTCGGTGTGTGCACCACTTATTTCTTTATAAAATACTGCAGCTAAGCATTTAACTTAATTAAATTGGTTAATTAACTTATTTCTACTATGGCATCACGGAAACAAAATAATTAGGATTGAAATAAAAGTTCGGCTAGAAGTTGTAATTCATGGAAATCATGAATTACGAATATTTTTGGATCTTCAGAAATTATCAAATTTAAATAATCTGCTCCTGGAATTATTAATTTCCACCACTGATTTCCAAAATAATAAATTCAATTTTTTTCATGCAGTCAGAAATAATATGCTTTAATTTCTCATTATTTTTAAGCATTGCAGTACTTACATTATGTTTCAATTATTTGCTAGTCGACTTTATGCTTTTAACGTTATTTTTATCAATGTCAAATATTATCTCAACTTAATATATAAAGGATTTCAGCTGATAAATGGTGATAATGCTAGTACCATCTCTGATATGGACAATCGTAGTATTCAGTTGTGTCGCTGCGAGACCTGTAATTTTTTTGCTTCATCAAGAGAATTTTTTCCATATAATTCTCTACAGTATATTGAATTAAGCATTACTGAAAGGTCCAAGATTTATAAGAATCAAAGATGAGCAGAATTAAATTTAATAATTTCATAATCTAGAGTTTTCGAATTATAGAAAAACTAATTCAAACATAATGTTTAATCTTTGAAAAAAAGCATTTGTAATAAATCTCGAATTCAGTGGACTTATAAAAAGTCACTTATGAAAAAGGTTAGGAATTGTTCAGAAAAGCTATGGGAATGCGTTTGATGTACAGAAAGCAAATGCAATGCAAAAAAAGATGGAAATATCAAGGAAAGGGCGACATTTGCAAATGAATTTAGAAACTTCAGAAGCTATTGGAAAAGTTAGCGGTGATATACTCATAAGGTATTTAAAGCATATTTGCTAGATTTTTTTTTATTGATCAATTGAATGAACGATCTGTTAAGTAAACAATAAATGACTAATTAGCCGATTATGCTTGTCATTATTTGAACTAATGTTTAATTAATAAACTACAGAGAAAAGAGAAACTATGAAATGCATGACTGGCTAACGCAAGAGCAGAAACAAGAAATTCGAGCGGTTAGTTTAAAATGTATCTGGAAGGAAGTTTTCATAGTGGTAATAATTCAGCATCATTATCTTAAATTTGAAAGATTATAGAAAGATTCAAACACAAATTTTTTGTGAATAAAAAACGAAGTTTTTTTTAGATGGAATCCGAGGGATTGCCTAGGAGTGAAATCGTGACCAGAATACTTGGATTTTTCTCTAAATTGTTATCTGAAGAGAAAGATAAGTGGAATGAAGTGTACAAGAAACAATGTATTGAATGGATTGGGACGGTAAAGCAAATTTAACTGAAACTTCTGAAAATCTGTTTTTGAAAATTTAACTCTTTGATGTTAAAAAATCAGTTTCTAGTAAAGTGTTTGTATTAAGCGCAAAAAAGTAAGTTTTATGTGTAATGAATAAAGCATTCAGGTTGCTAACGATAGTGAGATAGCTGAGCTAGAAGCTTTAAGAAGCAAAAAGAATGTCAAAGAATACGAAGCAAAATTGAGTGAGTATAAAAGTCGTCTATCAGAAAGTGAACAAGATCAGATCAACTTGTGGCAGGTACCTTTTATTAAAGAAAAAAAAGTCTAAGAATAAAATAAAAAAATGCTACCTAATAAAAAATGAACCACGAAGTGAATTTAGTTCTTTTATCAAAAAAAAAAACTTTCACTGTTTAAAATTAGAACTTACTAGGATGGTTGCAACAAGTTAAATAGTTTGGATATTCAACAAGGTACGCATCATATGATGTCTCGACGTGATCTATCACAAAACAAGGAAAATGCTTATCTTCTTTCTAATGAACAGATTGCTTTATTAGACGATATGAGAGCTAGTGGAGCCAGCGAAGAGGACATAAAACGCAAAGTAAGTTCATTTCTTTACCCATCTTTACATTAATTGCAGATAATTTACTTAGTAAATATTTTTGACGATATTATCTGATCTGCGGTCATACTCATTCAACATTTTTATTTTAACATTTTAGGATTAAAATTAAGTGTAATTTGGAAAATAATATTCATCTTGTAGTAGTAGTATAAATTATTATGGACTTCTTGCAGCTGGAACAATATTATTCGGCATTTCCAGAGCACAAAAGAAAGGAAGTAGATCATCAGTTCAAAGCGAAATGTATTCAATGGATACAAGATGTAGCGAGTTTTCATGAAATTCAATTGTTTATCAATTCATTTGAGGTGAAATATTTGATTTCTAAAATTAGTAATTTCGAAGCGTAAATTTGAAATTGGGATTCAAAGACCTGAATTTACAGAAATTTTGAACAACTCAATGAATATTTAAAGAATTTGAAACTGTAATTTATGCTAATCATACTTTACCCATATTATATTCTATCTCTGGGCAACTTCTTCCCTAAATGTCATGAGTACAATAACATTGCTATCACTATTTCTATGCTGTAAATTAAAGTAACTTGCAGAGAAGAAATCGATTAGTTTTCAACATCTTACTTGATGAGTATTTCGACCGATTGCCTAAAAAACAACAGAATAAAGAACAATATACCAAAGGTTATTAACGAAATGAAGAGTGTTTATTTAATTTGATATAATATTGAACAGTTGGTTGAGTTGAAAATTATCATTTCAAATTTTCTTTATCCGGAAGAGATCCGTTTTACAGATATATGTCGTGAAATGTGGAGAGAAGCAATGAATTCCAATCGTCGGAAGCGTTACGTGGATGAAAAATATAACGAATGGATATTATGGATGACCGATGAGCAGAAGCAAGAATTGCAACAGATGCGTGATAATGGGTCATCGTTTGATGAGATACACAAAAAAGTTAATGGGCATTTTCTTAAACTTCCTGAAACGATGCAAGAAGAACTCATAAATGATTATAAGGTATGAGTAAAAGAATTCACTAAAAGATGATTCGGTTCAAAGTGGTTTCGCAACTTCATACTTATCTTAATTCTATATTTTCTCACTTCTTGATAGTTTATAATAAGCATTTTAAAAGACAGCGACTGTTCGTCATTTATATTTAGTCCATTTCTTTCTAAACTTTGTTCTGTTGGATTATTTGAAACATTTGAAATAAAATGCTGATTTATTGATTCTATTTTTTTCTCCCTTCTTATAATTCTCTAGCTGTGATTAGGGTAGGTAAAAGAAGATCATGGAATGATATTTATTATAGCTCAAATTTCATCCAAACTCAATTTTATTTGGAATTGCAACGTTAAGCATAATCTGTTGCTGTTTTCTAGAAGAAGTGTAGGAAATACTTTGTGGCATTGGCAAGCAAAGACGAAATTGAAAAGTTACAAGCCGTCCACGACGAAACTAATCATCTCGAACATGAAAAAATCATTAATGAAATTTTGCATCGACAACCACAAAATGTACGAGACAAGGCTTATAAATTTTATCAGGTAGATCATCTCATATTTTTTTTTTGGAAAGAAGCTCTCTTGTATCTTTTCCGCACAACTTGCATTTGTGAGTTTTCTTCTGATCGCGTACTCCAGTATCTCTTACAAAATAAGATTTATCAGTTCAGAAAACGATTACCATGCAATTGCTAGAAACACTTAAACTTGAGGACACATCGATTAAGCCATGATTTTGAAATTTTTAAATGAATTTCATGGTAACACGTTCGATACAATTTCATTTATAGCTAATCTACTATTGTTTTTGAGCCAAAGAAGTTTTAATCTGGTAATTCTCTCAAATAAAAGATAAGAAAATGACTATAAATAAGTATTAGTAATCCTATAAGGTCACTGACTTATACAATGATAGCATATGAATAAATAATAGTTTGACAAAAGTTGCTAAAATATTTTCCTATTACTGAAATGTTATTAACTATCGCACTCAGGCTTGGTCAGAAATTCTTGATATGCCAATGAGTTAATTGTTACTTGCAGTGATATCAATCTCTTTTTAGTCTTTCTTGTATTTGCCTTTCTACTGAGTGATTTATTTCTTCTTCACACTAAAACAGCATGTCAGATCACTGGTGATATAATTGTTTTGCAATTTCATCCTTCTATCTTATTACGTCTCACCAAAAATATCTAGTAGTATCTGGTGGCCATGCTAAGGATAAAATTAAGAAGAAATAATAAATGAATAACAGCGCTTTCAGTGGTAGTTTATATTATTAAATTCTTTTAATTGCCTTCAAGTTGCGATATTTGCAGATATGTGATGATGTATATCACAAACAGTCTAATCGATCAAAGCGTGATATTGATCACCTAATGGAGAAACACTTGCGATGGCTTACACCTGAGCAGAAGGCAGAAATCAGGCAGATGAAAGCAAGCGGCGAATCACTATCTTCAATTAAACAGAAGTATAATATTCATAGTACGGAAAATATTACTAAAAGATACACTCGCAAAAAGTCGTAATGTTGACTTGCAATGAAAACTAGGATTTGCAAAAACAAACAAACTTGCAAATTGCATACTTATAGAAAATCTCAACTCTGAAATTGTAAAATTCGCTATATCTTTCGCATAAAGTCATTTGTTAAATAAAAAATTTTCAACTTCAGTCTTAAACGACTTTCTTTCCGAAAAACCCATAACTTAAGGAAAACTATAATTTTGCATACTCACCCTTTAGATTATTCTCCTATATCGCAGTTATGGGAACTGATGAACAACTTCATACCGTTGAAAAAACTAAACAGTCTTGCTATGCTTGGCTCGAGAACGTCACTTCCGTGGAGGAAAGAATCGAACTGGAAAATTTACACCACACTGATCATTCTGCCTGCAAGTGGAAGGTACTTACACACTCATAATACTCGTAATACCAAACCGTTAAAGTTCATTGATTTTGATTTTAAAATGCTTTATATCTACTCCATATACGTTTGTGGTAACCAGTTCGTCCTTAGAAGCAAAATTACAAAAAATCTCAAAATAGATGAATTTGTGTTTCGAATAAGAAAATGTGATTTAGGTCCGAGAGTACATCAAGCGTCTATCGCCGCAAAAGCAGCAAGAAGTAAATAAAGATCTGGAAATTTGCGAACATATATGGTACAATCAAGGCAACCACGGCAGTGGTCATGAACATCATCATCATCAGCATCGAGGAACTCGATTGCTTCATCCGCAGATATATACGGAAACAAATAGTCGAAGCAAACGAGATAACCATGAGCATAGTTTAGATGACTATTTTCGGACGCATCTAAGTTGGCTTACGGATGCCCAAAAGGATGAAATCAGGAAAATGAAAGAGGAAGGTAAACAAAAAATGGATATGCAGAAAAAAATCCTTGACTACTACGAAAATCTAACCGGTGACGGAAAGAAAGAAGCTGGTGAGAAACTCCGTGGAGGTTGTCGTGAATTATTGAGGCAAATTGTTGGTGATGAAAAGATGGCTGAATTAAAACAGATGAAAGAATCAGGACTCGGTCAGGAAGAACTGAGAGCTAAAGTAGATGAAATGCTGGAACATGTTACTGATGAAGCCAAGAAGCAAAAAATTCATGAATATGGCCCTGCATGCCGTAAAATCTATGAGGATCGACATAAACGAGATAACCATGAGCATAGTTTAGATGACTATTTTCGGACGCATCTAAGTTGGCTTACGGATGCCCAAAAGGATGAAATCAGGAAAATGAAAGAGGAAGGTAAACAAAAAATGGATATGCAGAAAAAAATCCTTGACTACTACGAAAATCTAACCGGTGACGGAAAGAAAGAAGCTGGTGAGAAACTCCGTGGAGGTTGTCGTGAATTATTGAGGCAAATTGTTGGTGATGAAAAGATGGCTGAATTAAAACAGATGAAAGAATCAGGACTCGGTCAGGAAGAACTGAGAGCTAAAGTAGATGAAATGCTGGAACATGTTACTGATGAAGCCAAGAAGCAAAAAATTCATGAATATGGCCCTGCATGCCGTAAAATCTATGAGGATCGACATAAACGAGATAACCATGAGCATAGTTTAGATGACTATTTTCGGACGCATCTAAGTTGGCTTACGGATGCCCAAAAGGATGAAATCAGGAAAATGAAAGAGGAAGGTAAACAAAAAATGGATATGCAGAAAAAAATCCTTGACTACTACGAAAATCTAACCGGTGACGGAAAGAAAGAAGCTGGTGAGAAACTCCGTGGAGGTTGTCGTGAATTATTGAGGCAAATTGTTGGTGATGAAAAGATGGCTGAATTAAAACAGATGAAAGAATCAGGACTCGGTCAGGAAGAACTGAGAGCTAAAGTAGATGAAATGCTGGAACATGTTACTGATGAAGCCAAGAAGCAAAAAATTCATGAATATGGCCCTGCATGCCGTAAAATCTATGAGGATCGACATAAACGAGATAACCATGAGCATAGTTTAGATGACTATTTTCGGACGCATCTAAGTTGGCTTACGGATGCCCAAAAGGATGAAATCAGGAAAATGAAAGAGGAAGGTAAACAAAAAATGGATATGCAGAAAAAAATCCTTGACTACTACGAAAATCTAACCGGTGACGGAAAGAAAGAAGCTGGTGAGAAACTCCGTGGAGGTTGTCGTGAATTATTGAGGCAAATTGTTGGTGATGAAAAGATGGCTGAATTAAAACAGATGAAAGAATCAGGACTCGGTCAGGAAGAACTGAGAGCTAAAGTAGATGAAATGCTGGAACATGTTACTGATGAAGCCAAGAAGCAAAAAATTCATGAATATGGCCCTGCATGCCGTAAAATCTATGAGGATCGACATAAACGAGATAACCATGAGCATAGTTTAGATGACTATTTTCGGACGCATCTAAGTTGGCTTACGGATGCCCAAAAGGATGAAATCAGGAAAATGAAAGAGGAAGGTAAACAAAAAATGGATATGCAGAAAAAAATCCTTGACTACTACGAAAATCTAACCGGTGACGGAAAGAAAGAAGCTGGTGAGAAACTCCGTGGAGGTTGTCGTGAATTATTGAGGCAAATTGTTGGTGATGAAAAGATGGCTGAATTAAAACAGATGAAAGAATCAGGACTCGGTCAGGAAGAACTGAGAGCTAAAGTAGATGAAATGCTGGAACATGTTACTGATGAAGCCAAGAAGCAAAAAATTCATGAATATGGCCCTGCATGCCGTAAAATCTATGAGGATCGACATAAACGAGATAACCATGAGCATAGTTTAGATGACTATTTTCGGACGCATCTAAGTTGGCTTACGGATGCCCAAAAGGATGAAATCAGGAAAATGAAAGAGGAAGGTAAACAAAAAATGGATATGCAGAAAAAAATCCTTGACTACTACGAAAATCTAACCGGTGACGGAAAGAAAGAAGCTGGTGAGAAACTCCGTGGAGGTTGTCGTGAATTATTGAGGCAAATTGTTGGTGATGAAAAGATGGCTGAATTAAAACAGATGAAAGAATCAGGACTCGGTCAGGAAGAACTGAGAGCTAAAGTAGATGAAATGCTGGAACATGTTACTGATGAAGCCAAGAAGCAAAAAATTCATGAATATGGCCCTGCATGCCGTAAAATCTATGAGGATCGACATAAACGAGATAACCATGAGCATAGTTTAGATGACTATTTTCGGACGCATCTAAGTTGGCTTACGGATGCCCAAAAGGATGAAATCAGGAAAATGAAAGAGGAAGGTAAACAAAAAATGGATATGCAGAAAAAAATCCTTGACTACTACGAAAATCTAACCGGTGACGGAAAGAAAGAAGCTGGTGAGAAACTCCGTGGAGGTTGTCGTGAATTATTGAGGCAAATTGTTGGTGATGAAAAGATGGCTGAATTAAAACAGATGAAAGAATCAGGACTCGGTCAGGAAGAACTGAGAGCTAAAGTAGATGAAATGCTGGAACATGTTACTGATGAAGCCAAGAAGCAAAAAATTCATGAATATGGCCCTGCATGCCGTAAAATCTATGAGGATCGACATAAACGAGATAACCATGAGCATAGTTTAGATGACTATTTTCGGACGCATCTAAGTTGGCTTACGGATGCCCAAAAGGATGAAATCAGGAAAATGAAAGAGGAAGGTAAACAAAAAATGGATATGCAGAAAAAAATCCTTGACTACTACGAAAATCTAACCGGTGACGGAAAGAAAGAAGCTGGTGAGAAACTCCGTGGAGGTTGTCGTGAATTATTGAGGCAAATTGTTGGTGATGAAAAGATGGCTGAATTAAAACAGATGAAAGAATCAGGACTCGGTCAGGAAGAACTGAGAGCTAAAGTAGATGAAATGCTGGAACATGTTACTGATGAAGCCAAGAAGCAAAAAATTCATGAATATGGCCCTGCATGCCGTAAAATCTATGAGGATCGACATAAACGAGATAACCATGAGCATAGTTTAGATGACTATTTTCGGACGCATCTAAGTTGGCTTACGGATGCCCAAAAGGATGAAATCAGGAAAATGAAAGAGGAAGGTAAACAAAAAATGGATATGCAGAAAAAAATCCTTGACTACTACGAAAATCTAACCGGTGACGGAAAGAAAGAAGCTGGTGAGAAACTCCGTGGAGGTTGTCGTGAATTATTGAGGCAAATTGTTGGTGATGAAAAGATGGCTGAATTAAAACAGATGAAAGAATCAGGACTCGGTCAGGAAGAACTGAGAGCTAAAGTAGATGAAATGCTGGAACATGTTACTGATGAAGCCAAGAAGCAAAAAATTCATGAATATGGCCCTGCATGCCGTAAAATCTATGAGGATCGACATAAACGAGATAACCATGAGCATAGTTTAGATGACTATTTTCGGACGCATCTAAGTTGGCTTACGGATGCCCAAAAGGATGAAATCAGGAAAATGAAAGAGGAAGGTAAACAAAAAATGGATATGCAGAAAAAAATCCTTGACTACTACGAAAATCTAACCGGTGACGGAAAGAAAGAAGCTGGTGAGAAACTCCGTGGAGGTTGTCGTGAATTATTGAGGCAAATTGTTGGTGATGAAAAGATGGCTGAATTAAAACAGATGAAAGAATCAGGACTCGGTCAGGAAGAACTGAGAGCTAAAGTAGATGAAATGCTGGAACATGTTACTGATGAAGCCAAGAAGCAAAAAATTCATGAATATGGCCCTGCATGCCGTAAAATCTATGAGGATCGACATAAACGAGATAACCATGAGCATAGTTTAGATGACTATTTTCGGACGCATCTAAGTTGGCTTACGGATGCCCAAAAGGATGAAATCAGGAAAATGAAAGAGGAAGGTAAACAAAAAATGGATATGCAGAAAAAAATCCTTGACTACTACGAAAATCTAACCGGTGACGGAAAGAAAGAAGCTGGTGAGAAACTCCGTGGAGGTTGTCGTGAATTATTGAGGCAAATTGTTGGTGATGAAAAGATGGCTGAATTAAAACAGATGAAAGAATCAGGACTCGGTCAGGAAGAACTGAGAGCTAAAGTAGATGAAATGCTGGAACATGTTACTGATGAAGCCAAGAAGCAAAAAATTCATGAATATGGCCCTGCATGCCGTAAAATCTATGAGGATCGACATAAACGAGATAACCATGAGCATAGTTTAGATGACTATTTTCGGACGCATCTAAGTTGGCTTACGGATGCCCAAAAGGATGAAATCAGGAAAATGAAAGAGGAAGGTAAACAAAAAATGGATATGCAGAAAAAAATCCTTGACTACTACGAAAATCTAACCGGTGACGGAAAGAAAGAAGCTGGTGAGAAACTCCGTGGAGGTTGTCGTGAATTATTGAGGCAAATTGTTGGTGATGAAAAGATGGCTGAATTAAAACAGATGAAAGAATCAGGACTCGGTCAGGAAGAACTGAGAGCTAAAGTAGATGAAATGCTGGAACATGTTACTGATGAAGCCAAGAAGCAAAAAATTCATGAATATGGCCCTGCATGCCGTAAAATCTATGAGGATCGACATAAACGAGATAACCATGAGCATAGTTTAGATGACTATTTTCGGACGCATCTAAGTTGGCTTACGGATGCCCAAAAGGATGAAATCAGGAAAATGAAAGAGGAAGGTAAACAAAAAATGGATATGCAGAAAAAAATCCTTGACTACTACGAAAATCTAACCGGTGACGGAAAGAAAGAAGCTGGTGAGAAACTCCGTGGAGGTTGTCGTGAATTATTGAGGCAAATTGTTGGTGATGAAAAGATGGCTGAATTAAAACAGATGAAAGAATCAGGACTCGGTCAGGAAGAACTGAGAGCTAAAGTAGATGAAATGCTGGAACATGTTACTGATGAAGCCAAGAAGCAAAAAATTCATGAATATGGCCCTGCATGCCGTAAAATCTATGAGGATCGACATAAACGAGATAACCATGAGCATAGTTTAGATGACTATTTTCGGACGCATCTAAGTTGGCTTACGGATGCCCAAAAGGATGAAATCAGGAAAATGAAAGAGGAAGGTAAACAAAAAATGGATATGCAGAAAAAAATCCTTGACTACTACGAAAATCTAACCGGTGACGGAAAGAAAGAAGCTGGTGAGAAACTCCGTGGAGGTTGTCGTGAATTATTGAGGCAAATTGTTGGTGATGAAAAGATGGCTGAATTAAAACAGATGAAAGAATCAGGACTCGGTCAGGAAGAACTGAGAGCTAAAGTAGATGAAATGCTGGAACATGTTACTGATGAAGCCAAGAAGCAAAAAATTCATGAATATGGCCCTGCATGCCGTAAAATCTATGAGGATCGACATAAACGAGATAACCATGAGCATAGTTTAGATGACTATTTTCGGACGCATCTAAGTTGGCTTACGGATGCCCAAAAGGATGAAATCAGGAAAATGAAAGAGGAAGGTAAACAAAAAATGGATATGCAGAAAAAAATCCTTGACTACTACGAAAATCTAACCGGTGACGGAAAGAAAGAAGCTGGTGAGAAACTCCGTGGAGGTTGTCGTGAATTATTGAGGCAAATTGTTGGTGATGAAAAGATGGCTGAATTAAAACAGATGAAAGAATCAGGACTCGGTCAGGAAGAACTGAGAGCTAAAGTAGATGAAATGCTGGAACATGTTACTGATGAAGCCAAGAAGCAAAAAATTCATGAATATGGCCCTGCATGCCGTAAAATCTATGAGGATCGACATAAACGAGATAACCATGAGCATAGTTTAGATGACTATTTTCGGACGCATCTAAGTTGGCTTACGGATGCCCAAAAGGATGAAATCAGGAAAATGAAAGAGGAAGGTAAACAAAAAATGGATATGCAGAAAAAAATCCTTGACTACTACGAAAATCTAACCGGTGACGGAAAGAAAGAAGCTGGTGAGAAACTCCGTGGAGGTTGTCGTGAATTATTGAGGCAAATTGTTGGTGATGAAAAGATGGCTGAATTAAAACAGATGAAAGAATCAGGACTCGGTCAGGAAGAACTGAGAGCTAAAGTAGATGAAATGCTGGAACATGTTACTGATGAAGCCAAGAAGCAAAAAATTCATGAATATGGCCCTGCATGCCGTATAATTTTCGAAATGCCTGGGCTGTTGCGGAATAAAAGGGAGCAAGTGAATGATAACATAATGCAACACAGTGGTGTGTACTTACAATGGCTTACTGACGAAGAGAAAGACGAAATTGGAAAGGCGACAGGAAGAAGCAGGTCGGGAGCCGAAATACTGAAAGCAATCTTTTCTTACTATCAGAACCTTCATGGAAAAGAGAAGGAAATAGCTGGAGAACGCCTAAAATTGGTATGTGAAGAGGTCATCAGGAGTTTAGTGTACGAAAATCGATTAAGTGAATTACAAGCGTTGGAAGATAATGACTCTGCAGTGAGTGAAATGATGAAAATGTTGTCAGCAACGATAGATAAGTCAAAGTTCATACAAATCAGAGCATATCAAACTGCCTGTAATAGAATCTTCGACTCGGGACAGATAGTAAGAACGAAGCGCGAACAGAAAAATCATTCATTAGATGATTATGTTGAAATGAATTTAAAGTGGCTTTCAATGGATCAAAAGGAAGAACTGAGAGAAATGAAGAGGAATGGTAAATCGAGGGCTGATATGATTGCTAAGGTGTTTCATTATTACGATGAATTATTGGGAGAAGCGAAAGAGTATGTCAGTGAATTGCTGAAAGACGGGTGTCGACAAATTTTAAAAGAAGTTATTGGTGAAGATCGTTACAACGAATTGGCAAAACTAAGGAATTCGGGTGCAAATATGAATGATTTGAAAGGAAAAGCTGATGCAATGTTGATTGAAATAACAGATGTAGAAAAGAAAGAAAAAATTAAAATTTACGGGTCCGGTTGCAAAAGAATCCTTGCAACAGCAGATCATAAACATTCATTAGAGGATCATTTCAAAACGGATCTGAAATGGCTTACGAAGGAACAAAAGGATGAAATATTAAGGATAAAAGAGGAAAACAAATCGAAAGTAGATATTCGTGGAAAAATATTGCATTTCTACAAAAGTCTAAATGAGGAAACTAAAAAGGAAAGGGCTGAATTCCTCAGCGGTGTATGCGACGAAATGATTGCGCACGTTTTCGGTGAAGAGAAAGCAGCAGAACTGAAAGAATTGAGGAAATCAACTAGTGCTGTCGATGAAATTAAGCGTAGGATGGATGTATTGATTGAAAGAATTGAGGATGATGAGATGAAAGCAAAAGCACGGGAATATGGTTCAATTTGTCGGAAGATTTTTGTTGACAATCAATATAAACAAAATGAACATTCGATGACACATTACTTCCGTACACATCTGAAGTGGCTTTCTGGAGAGCAGAAGGAAGAAATCAAGCAAATGAAAGCTAACGGTTAGTTTCATCCATTGAATTTTCAATGTTTCAAGTAATTAATTCGGACAAAGTTATCAACTAAGTTATCATATCAAATTATTAATTCATCACAATAGATTTTTATAGGTTTTTTAGCCATTCAATTATAATTCCAAGAAATTTAAAATTATTTATTCTTAACCTCTTGTTATGTCATCTTTTGTTATTGACGCTTATTGATTGCAGGAAAAAGTCGTGAAGAAATCCAGTCCAAAATTTTTGAGTTTTTTGAAAGTGCGAGCGGTGAAACAAAGAAATATGCTACTGAATCACTAATGGAAGGTTGCTACGAATTATTCAAAATGATTGGCGGTGAAGAGAAGGCTGATGAGTTGCATGTTATGATACAAAGTGATTTAGCTGCAAAGAAGATTGAAGAGAAAATCACTTCAATTATCGATTCTATAGATAATGAATCGAAGAAAGCTTATGCTAAAGCTTACCTAACGCCATGCATGCATCTCCACAATATCCGTATGACTAGACAAAAGCGAGGTTCATGTTTGTTTAAATTCATTAATTTCCTGTATCAGTAAAAAATAATGCTTACTAACTGGATTACTCAAATAGATATTTTACACTTTAGAATTTGCAAGAGATAATCCTTAAGCATTCTTTAAAAAATAGCGTATTGGGATGAATTTGTCACGAAATGTGTAACTTAGAATTTTTTTTGGTATAGTTAAAGTCTCAGTGTATTATATATATATATATATATATATATATATATATATATATATATTTTTCACATCAATAAGAATTTTGTTTTGCAGGGAATGTTATTGCAACAGTGAAATGATAATCGGATCACGAATCTAATATCTTTCAAGGTCCTAAGATCTTTGTTTGTCTAAATTTTAGTCACTGCTCTCTTTATTATTACTTATTTTTTTTTTGTTTAGTTTTTTTCTCTCTTTTTTTTTTTTGAAGAAAAATCTGAGTTTCATTGCATCAGTAAGCAACCATCATTACACAAACACTTAAATATTTTTTATTACATGGAAGTTTTTTTTTTTTTTTTTTTTTTTGTTTTAGGAGTATAGTGGTTGCTGTTATCATTGAAACTTTGTTGAGTAATAGTTGTGTTCGAAATTATTAATTTAAAGAATGAAATACCATTTTTTTACCATTTCTGTAAAATCCATGCATTTTCCATTGAATAAATATTTGTTATAGAATGGAATTGCTCTTATTTTATTGGCTTTGCTTTTCACATCGGAAGTATGCATAGCTAGTAAAAATGATAATAAATTTCATTTCTTGGTTGAAGAAACCAGTGGAGAAAACTTTAAGATGTTTGTTAATAAGCACATCAGTTGAAATGAATTTGAAACACTTAACTCTAACTCTGAATTTAACTTTATTCATGTGACTGTCTAGTTTTATCCATAATACGCATGTCTAGCAAAATGAATTAATAAATTGGGGATAAAAAATATAATTCCATTCCCAAATGCAAAATGAAATTAGGAGGCATTTTTTACAATTTTTCAGAATTTTAATTTCAAAATTTGTTTACTATAGTAAAACTCAGTAGCTGACAGGTCTCAACTGGAACAATCATTTTTTAGGATACAATTGCGGTAGGTAAGTAAATTCAAATTCCCTTATTAAATTAGCTAACTTTGAAGCAAGAAATTCTCAGTAGCTGATGGATGTTTTTTTGCAGCGTTTTAGTAACATTGATAGCAAACTCAAGTTCAAAGATTTGATAAACCAGACTTTACAATAAAGAAATAAAGTTTGTGAAACACTTTGAAAAGAATTTTCTCGAGGAGCAGAAATTATGAATGGGAAGAAAGTTTGGAAGTGGCTTTCATTTTCATTTGTAGGATAAGTGAGCGTCAGTTGTTCCATCGCAAAAGTTACTTGCAAATGCTGTCTAATATGCTATACGCTTTTCCATAGAATCCTTGAGGCTTTCAGGAAGAACAGGTGGTAATCCCTGAAGCTGAACTAGAGCCCAAGCTCGAACTTTTCTTACCTATTCCTATAAGTAATTCATTCACCCGTGGTTTTATCAGCAGCGATTGCAACCATGTGGCTTTTCCTTTTAAAATTCTGTCTTCTGTGCCTTTTTCCTAAGTTTACTACGGTTGGTTTATTTTTTAAAGTTTTATGAATATTCAAATTTAGACATTTTTTAATTCAATTTATATGATATTAATATTATTGGGCAATGAAAAAATTGAATTAGAAATACCAATTTTTAAAATATTACTACATTAATAAAACTAGTATTATCAAAAATTATGTCAGAGATCTGTTTTGACAAATTGTGTTTTGATGCAACACCCTCAAAAATTTGAATATCAAAGAAATACCTGAGGATTGCAGTATGCATTTTTCGTCAATTCTTTCATTCAGATGAATTATTTTATCATGTAAGCTTTCTATCTAAATTAGTTATATGACATATTTACTTGTTAGATGTACTGTTTTATAATACAAAAAAAAAAATCATTAAATTTATTGGTGCAATTTATTTTCCACCAAAACTTTAAGTTTTTGTAAATCTTTTTTTCCTGCTTAAATTACTACTTTCTAATTCAAAGTTGAAATTATAAGAATGCTTTCAACCTGATACGTTATAATTACTATAAATAGGTTAATATCATTTTGGACAGCATCAAAAAAAAACTTCCAGATATCTCCAATTTAAGATGCAAACTTAAAAAATGAAACTTGCCAATTTTCAAAAACAAAATTTCTCATTTCCATTTTCGTACTTGCTCAAATTCTCCTATTTTCAACAAAAATTTTGTTGCACTGAATATTGAAATTCGATGTATTGTCGTGTACGGATATCATTAATTTTGACATCTATTTTGACGAAGTATTCATCAAAATTTCAAAGTAAAGTTCTAATTAGTCAATTCCTGAGTAGGAAAAGTAAAATCAAGTGAATTGAAGTAGTATCTTTCAAGCTAGTACCTTATAAAATTTTTAGTGGAAAAATTGAACTAAAAAAACAAACTACTTCAGGGCAGTTAAAAAATTCAAAAATATTTCGCGGTCGCAAACGAAAAAAAATTATTTTAACTTAATTAATTTTTTTTTTGGTCAAGGCATAAAATTTATCTTAGTCCAGATTCCATAAAGATCGGAAATATCTGAAGTCATATTTTCATTTCTCGTCTTACATGATAAGAATGCGTTAATTAATGGTCTTCGGAACAATTGATAGTTGAATACCCGCCTCAGTTATGACCTTTTTAGATCATAAGAGGGGATACATTTACTGATTGATTTCCAACTTTTTTTTTTTTTCATTTTCATCGATTGCTTTGCAGTGATATTTGCTTCCAAGTTTAATTATCACTATCTTTGTGCTTTAAAAATGATAATATTTTGTTGTCTCCAATCCTTTTATTATCATTATTGCTTTTTATTTTTCCTCTGTGATGCACCATTTCATAGACCGGCGATATAAAAAAGTTGAAGGATGTATGAGAGCAAATATTTTTTCTTTTAAAATTTTTCAGTAGAAAAATTTAAATCTTTATTGAAAATATAAAAGTACATCATACACTCAGATAAAATAGACTTGCTAAAGATCCAAAACTGATCATTATAGCTTCCAAATGAAATTCGAAGGATATCACTGGTGGCCCAAAATGATTATGTTGACAAATTCCTTACACAAACTGAGCGGTCAAAACACTGGAAAAGACCGGTAATGATTAAAGGAAATGCTCAAGTGACAATTCAACGGATGGAACCTTTAAATTTCGAATCAGACGAAAGTTAGTACCTGCCACTATTGTCTTCTTCTTACCTGATAACTGTTCAGGAAACAGAAGTACCGAACACTGCAGAATAAAACAGTGGGAAAATTAAGACTGCATTCATTTACTAGTGATAATGCTTCAGTGCGCCGCGATGTTAGTGTCATCAAAAATCATTATGAATTGGTTTTAAGAGTTTTTCTTTTCTCATACCTGGCTTCGCCTAAATTCTTTTTTAGGTGAAGATGTGGTGTTGGCTATTCTAGTTGACAAGCATACAACAGAAAAAAAAAGTGTAAAATGGGAACGAGTTGGTAATTTAAATATGTGGAAATGGTTGACCATAGAGCAGGTTTATATGCTCAACAAGCTATATAAAACAACAGGTGATGTAGGATTGGTGTTAGAAAAAACATATGCTCAACTACTTATGACCGATGGTGGATTGAGAGAATTGGTTAGTTCAAATTTTAAATTTTGAACAGTGTTATCTCGGATTTTTTATCACAATAACTAATATGAAACAGAATTAAATGCTGCCTTTTGCATCTTTGATTAAGCAATCTTGTAAAAATGGCAGTAGAATAAATGATCAACTGTTATTTACTGTTAAGACTTGACTTTCGATGAGTTTCTGGAGAAAATGAAAAGAAAAAGGGAAAATTACCATTTTTCCGATTCTAAAGGAACATTTTTTAGATTAGCTTTGTAGTTTATTTTTTCATTATTTCTGTCAATTAATTTTAATATTATTTTCATAATTTTAATTAGTTTCATGATTATTCATCTAATCTATTTTACCACTTGATCATAATAAGCACCAGATTTACGCTGCTGTTATATTCTATTTGTCACGATTATACTTCTAGTTTTAGTACTGAATGACAGTCTCTGCAAAAATTTGAACGGAAATTAAATGCAAAATTATGATAAGACTCTTATTATAAAAACTTTTTTTCATCAATTTTGCTAAATGAGCAAAATTGTCCATTTTAATCAACAAAAACAGCAAGCGATTGATTTTCCATCGTTCGGTTCTGATTTAATTAATAATTACGATTATCAATCCCAAACTACCATTTCTAGGCAGTACGAAGCTTTCGAGAAACATGCAAAGAGCTATTGCGAGTAATATTGGGCGATGAAAATTATGATTTAGTTATGGATATGTACGACTTTGGTCGAACAGGAGAAGAAATTAGAGAGAAACTGAATCAGTTTTATGTGCAATTGAGTGAAAGGAATAAAAAGTATGCTAATATGGTAAACATTTCATTTGAATAGAGTATTGAAACCAAAAACAAAGTTTATAGGATTTTAAAAAATTTTTTAGCTCTTACTGTTTATTTTAAATTGACTAGCAAATATTTCTTAGCTATTGTAAGAGAAAAATGAAAATTTTCAGATTGCTCCAACTTGCATGCTAGTTTATAATATTTATGGGTTATCATCAGTTCGATCTCCAAGGAAAATCAATGAAGATAATTTATTCGTCAAACAAATGCATTGGTTTACGAGAGAACAAGTAAAGTTTAAACAAAAAAAAAATTATTTATTCAGGTTCGTCAAATTCAAACATATGTCTGCTAGGAGTTTGCACGGACGAATTTCAGGAAATCGAAATTGAAGCGATGCAAGCAGAAGGAGCAAGAAATGAAAACCTTTTAGCAAAAATTTTAGAGTATTACGAAAACCTCGATTCGTTAAGCCAAGAAAAAGTATCCGAGTAATGTTTTTTTTAAAGAAATTAGTGGATATTAAAAATCAATGATATTAACTAAAGGTTAAAGTAGGTATTGTAAAAGTTAAAACCGAAGGCAACTAAACCGAAAAGTTTCATTTTCTGTTCCATGGTTGCTTGTTCAGTTTTAAAATTTTCAGAGAATTAAAGCAGTTTTGTCAAAATCGAGTGGAACAACTTCTTGGAACTGACGGACTCGAAATACTTAAATCTACGTACAAAGAGTCAACATCTGCGAAACTATTATTAACTAAATTTACTCAGTTAATTGAAAATTTAACAAATGAAAACGAGCGTATCGAAGCGAGCCAAGTAGGCGTTCTTTGTCAGAAAATATATGATGCTGAAAGTTTCGACTTTGGAGAATTAATGTCGTGGTTATCTCCTGATCAGGTTAGTTCTGTTAACATAAAGCGGGGATTTAGGACTTAAACACAACTTCTAAAAAAGCTTATAAAAGTAAAATCTTAAACCAATTGTTTTAGCCTTAACTTAATACTTTTAGATTTCTTCTCCACTGACAAACTTCAAGAAATGAGATTAATGTCTGGAATACTTTTATTTTTCAGAAGCTCGAACTAGGTCATTTAATTCAAGATCATGAAATAAGTGATGATGCTGTTTATGAACGCATTTTTGAATTTTATGAAAAAGCTGAACACAAGAAGAAAATGGATGCACGAAAGATCATCGAATCTAAATGTAAACGATTTGTTCGTCGGATGTTTGGCAATGAAATTGCTACTGTAAAATTTTATGGAAATATAAAATTTATTTTTTACAAAGGAACAGAATTAATTTTGCTATTATTCCATCTCTTTTCCTACTCTTTACTATCCATTTTGTTTCACGATTTGTTTGTGATTTTTGACAAATTGTGAACTTTTCGGCAGAAGTTGGAAGATCACCGATTAGACAAAAATTTCACAGCACAAATGCTCAGTGCTGAGCTGGCAACATATGCTGCTGAAATAAAGGATAAGAAAAACAGAATAAAAGCCGAGTAAGTCTTACTTTACATTTAAAAATTATTACGATATTTAAATACCAAGTTAAACGATATTTAATTTTGAGTGATATTACTTTACTTCTCTAATCTATCATCTAGAAAATCCATTCCAATTTGCAATCGGATCTATTTTGGCTACAAGGGTGATTGTTTTTGCAATGGTCATTCGTCCGTTTGTGGTCCATTCACTCACGAGTGTCTGAACTGTGCTGATAATACATACGGAATACAATGTGAAAAGTAAGCTAAGGAAGATGTCAGTTTTGATGCAGACTTTTGATGATAAAATTGAAGGACTAAATTTATAATCAAAACTTGTTTTTTTTTTCCTATCAGAGAATTAATTTTATTGCTTACCTGGACAGAAATCTGGTTGCTTAGAAACAATAAAATGATAGGGATAGATCGAGAGGTTTATTATTTAGGATACAACAGTTTATTTATCTAAAATTAACATTGCGAGATCAAATTACATCATTATTACCCTCATCAACACATCAAGCATGTTGCTATTTTCGCGATCAAATATCTTTTTAGATGTTTAGATGGATTTGAAGGGAACGCTTTAATAGGTGAAATAGGGTGCCTGTCAGTTGAAAAAAACAATGAGTTCACAGAATGTTTCTGCAACAATCATTCTACTGAATGTAATGGGAACGGCGAATGTTTTGTAATAATTTCCACATTTTTTTAGAGAGTTAATACTATTTAATTGTTGACCATTATGATGGATTCAGTTGAGCAGAACATGTTTAGAATAATTAAATGAATTGTTTAGAGACTAATCAAGTAACAAGAAGAAATTTTAGCATTAGTTGAGTGCAACTGAAATAATGACTGAGTTTAATATACTGGGAGAACTCGCATCTCTGATATATCTTTCCAACTTTCAAACAATAACTGCGTTGCTATAACTGATGGACTCTCGTTACAGTCCTGCTTGCATAACACAACTGGAAACCAATGTGAGAACTGTGCGGAAGGTTTTTACGGTGATGCGACACAGGGCACTGCTGAGGATTGTATTCCATGTCCATGCCCGTAAGTTTCTTTAGTCTAGAAGCTGAAATACTCAGGAAATATCCGGAGACAATTGGTGGCTTTTGATGGTCCAGATCAGTTGACCCTCGCGGCAAATAGAATTTCTGTATGTGTCTCCTTCTGTTCATCGCTTTTTATAGACAGTTTACTACTAATTATAGTATATTGTACTATAAGTATACTATATCATGTGCATACTGTATGATTTCAAAACGTTGAAAATTTGTAACAAAAGTGTCATGTCTCAAAGGATTAAGCTTTTTTGTTTCAATACAAATAATGGATTTTAAGGGATGGTGGAGATTGTTTTATAAACGGTGATGCACTGGTGGAATGCCGAACTTGCCCCAACGGAACCTATGGCAGCACATGCGAATTACAGTTACAACCGAAAAAAAAACAAGAATTCCTGAAATTATCGTCATAGGAAAATGATTTGGTGTTAATCTTTATGTGAATTTTTCTTTCTGAATTCCAGTTGCTTATATTTAATTTGCTTTTTTAGTAACAACGCTTGATCTTTTGCTACATCAATTTACAGCAAATATGCTGTATCTTTGGAAGAAAACAATATGATAAATAAATAGCCAATGGTTGCTTTAAAATTTTGCTCCTAATTGTAATTTGATTTGCTCGTTACGGAAGAAAGTTTTTAAAAGAACTGAATTTTTAAGTTCTGGTTTAACATGAATCACTTTTTTTGAAAGCATGGAATCATAGGTACATTAGTATTCAACAAGGAAATATTAATGAGTATAAATATTGATTACATTATCAAAAATTAACATCTTAGCAATCGAATTCTTAACTAAGAGTTAATTCACAAATCTCAATCAAAGGCACAAATGACTGATGAAATACTTTTTTTACAGAAATATTTTAATGGACAAAACAATTATTTAATAGAAATGTTTTTTTAATGGGACGCTCTAGAAACTAAACAGAAATTTAAAAAACGATGGAAGGACATTTGCAATCTTCTGTAACATTTGTGGTATCGATATAAATAAGCTGGTTAACAGTGGGGATATCACGTATTCTGTAGCATCCGTCTGCTGCACCCTTGCTTGGATTCTTATAGAAGCACTGAGTCCATCCAGTGATTGAACTGAGATTTATCGGACATCTGCAATTTGCTCAATTTAGATACAAATAAATGTCACCTTTAATTTTGGAAATATACCAATATGAAAGCAGAACATAAAAAGAAAAAAATAATAGTACCGATAAATGTTGCAAGGCATTCTTTCAACCATTGTTGCCAAATTTTCAGGACAAGGCGGAAATTTACCGCGGGAACGTATAATACTTTTTTTATGTACATGACGTGATCGAGATGGCATTTCTGAAGTGCTCATGCATGTTTCTGAGCATGCACTCCATTCACTCCACTGATACATGCATGGCAATTCATTTTCTGATATTTTCGCTATCTGCTAAGTTCAGCTTTTTTCAGTAACTTTTATGTGGATTTAATAAAATTGTCTAGGAGCGAAATACAATTGCATTATTTGTTTCATGTTCATTTATGAAAGCATATTCAGGAATTATTTCACTCGATGATAACTAGCTAATGCTAATCTGCTGATTGCTGATTTAAACAGAACGGGATTTGTTTAAATATACCAGAAGTCGGCTAATCATATATATATATATGCTAAACAAAAACATTCGGGTCTTCAAGCTATAACTATCCGATCAATTAAACACTGGGTATTTTTAATCTTTAGTTGACTTTCAGAGATTTAATAACTTAATTCTCTAACCTCATTCAATAAAAACTAGAAATGTGTGAATTTAATTCAGATATAGGTTAATTAGTAATCAAAAACATCATACTTACCTTATTGTTGACAATAAGTGTCTTAATCAGAAAGACTGTTATAGTTATAAATAAGCAAAGGCATAACAGAATTACCATAAAATTTACTGCGGTTAGCATTCGTACACGTGGATCACGCATAATTCGCTACGAGCAATAATAAAGTATACAAAATATCAAACTTTGCCGAAAAGAAGATAGTCATAATTAGTAATGATGTATTAATAATTATTTTAATGACGTAACTTTTTTAATTTTTTGATTGTGATTAGTGGTCTAACATCCAAATAATGGTAGAGCACTAATCAAAATAGTTGTACAAATTAATCAGTTATTATAAATTACAATTTTAAGCTAAATATTAGAATCATCAAACAGAGAGACAAATGAGAAATTAAGCAGTTAATTAACAACTAAGATTACCTTATATAGAGTGTATGAAAAGGATAGGGAAGAAGAAGCGATATCTTCCTCGATTTCAGTTACATCAGATAGCTAAAAAACCGTTTTTATTCAGATTTTGGAAATCTAAGCATTATTCCCGCACCAACAAGTATGTTTAGTTTGTGAGTATTTAATGAATTGCGAATTGCAAAGTTACCTCCTGTGTTAAACATCCCTCTTTCATTTCAGGTTCATCATCAAGAGTCTTTTGTTCGGTTTCTTCCTGATGAGGAAGTATTGCTTTCTCATTAGAAAGCGCAGACTTCTGCGCATATCCATGTATGATCTTCGTATCAAACAATTCGCTTTCGTCTTCTGAAAATCTTCAAATAATCATGCGATTTATCATGATATTCCATTCTTTTTGGTTAAATTGTTCTTTTTCTTTTAATGTGAACAAAAAACTTTTTTTTTAGATAGTTGTATTTTTCGTGATGATCTTTTCTTTTCACTTTTAGCAATACTTTCTCAATTCCTTTCAGTAATAGCCATGTAAAACACGATTTTGTGTTTTACATATTTAATACGAATATAACCAATAAACGATACTTTCCTGCGATTCCTGTAAGGCGATTGGATTCATTTTTGAATTTATCATTTTTATGGAACAACTGATCAAAATTAATGCTTTAATTTATTTTCCATTCAATTTTATATTATTTATTCGAAAAACTGGCTATACATATCCATGAATTTGCATAAAATTACTTCGAATTGTAAGCTTAAAAATTATGTAAATAACTTTGAAAAACTATCGTTATATAAAAATTTTCCTTTTCTACTTTGAAGTAGATTCAGTTGAAAAGTAGTTCAACACTATCTATATCCAAATAAGTTAAAAATCAGTTGCTGGACTTATTCAATTCCTTATCCAAAAATTTCTAAATCTTCTCAGTCTTTTCTTCTCTTAGCTGATATTAACAACATCAGTGATTAATTAGATCATTTTCGACAACATATTTGTAGTTTTTATTGTTTTAGAAAATATTCGACGGCTGTTTAAAGCAAAAGTAATTTGAAAAACTTAAAATTTGTAGACATAATTCTAAGAAGTTTGAAACACAAAACTTATAGTTTTTCAAAGTTTTACAGCAGCAAATTTTCAATTCATATCACTTGCAGATTCATTTGATCTCCTAATATTGCGACGAAGGCAAGACGATAGTTCATTTCAAGTAATTCAAAACCGAGATAGTTCTTCTGTTGCGAGTTTATTTAAACAAGACAAGAGATAGTGTCTCTTTCACAGTGCAGTGTAAAATTGAGGCATGAATAACAAGTGTTTAAACAATGTAATCAGGACAGTTGCAATCACTAACAAGATTGTCGGTATCCATATATATAAGCTGATTTGTGGTAGGAAGATCGCGCATTCTGTAGCAACCGCCTGCTTCACGGATGTTAGGATCTTTGTAGAAACATTGAGTCCAGGTAGTAAAGGAACTAAGATTTACTGGACATCTAAAGTACTTTTAATAAATTATTTGAGATAAGAAGTCGTTTTAATCTCTTCATCCAATTGATTTGCTTTTGAGTCAATGTGAAGTTTATTTAAAATCTATAACATAATATCATCAATGATCTTATATGACTCTTAAAAACTTTTATAATGATATGAAAATTTGTAGGTATATAATTTGTAAAATATTGCAAAGTTTATGTTTGTAAAAACTGATACCTATAGACGTTGCAAGGCATATATTCAGTCATTGTTTCCAAATTACTGGGACAAGCAGGAAAACGACCACGAGCTTGGATAATGGTTTTGTTAAGGACATGTCGTGATCGAGAGGGTAGACGTGAAGAGGACGAGCATGTTTCCGAGCATAAGCTCCATTCACTCCACTGGTATAGACATGGTTGTTCTCGGTTGGAGATTTTTGCTATCTACGAAAGCTTTTACTTTTTTATTCCTTGCTTGTTTCTCTAAAGCATTCACTAATAGATATAAACAATTTCATATTTTCGAGATGTCAACAAAAGGACAGTGAGAGACAATACCGTCTTGTTAACATCCACTATTTTAATAAGGAAGACCGCCGTAATGATAAGTATGGCGAAACATGTTACTGCTACTATAAGGTTCAGTGCAGTTAATGACCAGACGCGTGGATCATTTAAAAGTTTCATGAATAGCTGCAAAGAATGACTAGAACGAATATGACAAGATGAAAAAACTATAGAATATTTAACTCTTAGTTTAATTTAGCCCAAGTCTAATTTACTTTTCGATTTAATTTGAATGCAATGATTGAAGTAATGTAAATCGTATTATTTATAATTTCACATGCAGAGTTAAATATTTTATTGATTATAAAGTAGCAGCTAAATGATTAAGACCTTCTTGGACAGCGACTTTGTGTGAGAATGACGATAATTTTCCTCATCGGTCAAGTCGGAAAGCTGGAAGAAATCTTTTTAATCTCTTCATCCAGTTCATTTGCTATTTTTGAAAATTTCTTAATTTTTTCTCTTTGGATATTTAAACGAAATTTGGAATGAAATTAGCTTAATAATTATTTTCAGCAGTATTTCATCCAGCTATAACTAGTTCTAATGGATAGTATCAATAACAGCGTAAGATGTCAATAAAAGTAGAATACCTTTCAAATTTAACATTTACACGAATCCAATAATCTTTTCTCCTGATATGTTATCAGTTCGTTGTAGCTAGTCATTTAATTTATATCTTAACTATAAAATGTTGTCAAAAATTTATCAGCAGGCAAGAGTGCAAAGGAATAGACCCCGTCAGTAAGTTCGCCTTCTTGCATTTCAGGCCCTTCTTGAAGTGTGTCATCATTCAGTATCAGGCCAGGTGGATGTATTGCTGTTGGCTCCAGCAGTGCTGACCTTCGTGCATATGCTCGCATAATCGCTTTTGTGTACAATTTCTCTTCATTATCTATTTCAATAGCAGAGATTATTTAAAGAAAGAAGAGGAAAGATGCATTATTACTTAACTTCCTTTATCCATTATTTATCTTCTGAGGCCTTTGGTCTCGTCAAGGAACTTTTGACTGCCAAAGACTTTTCCATCCTCTTTACTTAACTTTCTTTTTTTCTGATCTTCAAAGTCCAAATTTATTTAACCCATTACTGAAATAACAAAACATCTGAAACAAAAGAAGAGTGAAGTAACCATCTTGAGTTTTTGGCTCTCCTGAATCAGCTGGAGTGGTGTTGGCATTAGACTGCATTTTTTCCGGTTGCTATCAGAACAGACCGATAGAAAGAAATGTATTAGCTTGAATAACTGATTTATCATGCTTCAGACGATATTTAAAAACAATTGATGAGAAATTGAATAAATTTCCAAGATGTCAAAGAGGAGGGTGGACAAAGTCACCAATGCTATGATGGCAGTTCTCATTTTGTTTTTAATTTACTTTTCTTATGAGTGAGAAAGATTTTTCTCAGCAGAATTTTTCCCTGGATTTGCTCTCATATTTTTTGTTCCATGTCTGACCTCTTCTCTACTTCATTTTCCTTACTTTTCTTGTCTTCTCGATATTCCTGACTTCATCTACGGCGCTTTTTTCCTCTCAGTTCAATTCCGCATCTGTTCCTCCTTCTATTCAATTTCTCAAACATATCGGACAATGATATCTCGAGCATGATTATTCTGCTTATACATAAATCCTCCAATCGATAAGAAACGCAATTAAAGCGGCGCCATATAAGAGCTTCGAGATATTAAATACCGCCAACCATCAGGAAATAATCATTTTGCTTCGAATTGCTGCTCAAATTTCTTCAATACATGCTATAGCGGTGTCTTTCAATGCACATTTGCACTCGTTCAGGAAACTTAGAGTATACACCAGCCCATATTGCCAGATAGACTAGGTCAGATTGCAGTCATATGTATAACTGTTAGCTAAAGTATTTTTTAGCTATATAGCATAAATGAATTCATTTTTTCTATAACTAAGCATGAAGTATTTGTAAATTCTGAAATGCATTTTCCCACTAGTTTCCTCAGCAATCATCGAGACTACTGGAATATAATGTTTTCAAAGACGAAAGAAAGGATGACGTATTTTTGAGGAATATGAAAGACATGAAAATGGAATACAATATCGCTCCTAACCGAAACGAGTATATCGAGAATTGAAACTTATCTTGCATCTTGCTTCAATCTTGCATAACCAAAAAAGGAAATACCAAAGCAAATGAAAGTATTTTGCTACCTCTTTTAAGTTCTCTCTAAAGCATTCAAAAGTTTTGGTCTCTTCTTTCTTCTTGTCTCTTTGTAAAAAACAGAATTAATCTGTGTATCCAAAAAAAGGAAATGCTAAAACAAAGTATTTTATCGTCGCATATAAGCATCCTTGAAATATATTCTCATTTTCGTAGGATAAAAAACCTAATTTAGAATATATTTTTTCCTTCTTTTCTTTGTTTAGTTCATTTATCTTTCTTTCATCATTCTTTTCTCAAAACCATTCAAATATTTATGGAAACTGCAAAATTTTAGTAATTGTTCATTAAAAAGTTTTAAATCAGATATTTCATTCTTGTTTCGCTCTGTTGCTAACAATATTAAAAACAGTCTATCTGCTAGTTCAGTACCTGTATAATTGCCATTTATTTTTGAAAAGGGAAAAAGGAAAGCGCTTAGAATTTAAAACTATGTCATTGAAAATCGCCTTAGGCTTGTATATCCAAAAACCTTATCAGAGAAATATTTCATCAATAGTTGATGTTGAACATTCTAAAAATCGAATGTTGGATATGCATTTGAATTAGGCTTCCCTCATTTTACATTTTTTTGGACATAAACCTTTCTGCAAATGCTTACAATTATACAAAAAGAAAAAAAATTGAAAGTAAATTTTTGAAGTTTACTTTTGCTTTTGCTCATTTCTAATGGATAAAGAAAGTACAGAAAAATATGCAGATGCAGCAGATCCAGTGCAATAATATGGTGCAACATTCATCGACAAAGCAGGAAAATTTACGTCAGTCCTATGAAACTATTATCCGACATTGTGCAGATGACTGCAAACGTCCAGGATTAATTAAAACTCCCGAGAGAGCTGCCCGAGCTATGCTTTTCTTCACCAAAGGCTATGAAGACAACTTAGATGGTAAATTTGTTACTCATACATTTTTGTTTCCCATATGATTCTCAACTTCTACTTTAGCAAAATAACCGTATAACCGTTGAAATCTGCCTTGCGCACAAAAGCATTCCAATGGTAAGAAAATGGTGATAAATAGGATTTTGATAAGCTGATTTTGAAATGTTTTCAGCTTTTTATTCTGCCCAAAATTTTTCATAAAAGCAGAGTTATGTTATCAAATAAGCCCAGAAATAAATGAAGAAAATGCAGAATGATTAACTGCTAAAGCTTAAGGATAACAAATTTACTGATTTCAAAATATTGAGCATGTAGTTTTTCTGATCTTCTTTTCCTATCTCATTTCAACTTACTTATAGATTTGATTAACGGAGCAGTGTTTAATGAAGATCACGATGACATGGTGATCGTTAAGGATATCGAGATTTTTTCCTTGTGTGAACATCACCTAGTACCTTTCATTGGTAAAGCACATATCGGTTACATACCGAACAAAAAAATTTTGGGTCTCAGCAAGATCGCCCGTATTGTTGAAATGTTTAGCCGACGTTTACAAGGTACAAGTTAATTCCAATAAATTTTAATTAATAATCAGTGTCAATAAATCTTCGAATTTTTAGATTGTAATGATAACTCATTTTTTCCATTCCATAAGTCAGCAGACTTATCATCTGACTCACTACAATAAATTCATGCATTTTTGAAATAATTTCATATACAATGAAGAATCATAACAAGAATTTAGTGCAAGAACGATTAACAAAGCAAATAGCAGCAGCATTAATCAAAGCCGTGCAACCACTTGGTGTTGGTGTTGTCATAGAAGCTAGGTTTTTTTTTTTATCTTTCATATTTGCAGTAATTAATTGATTTTATTCTTACTCTTTCTGAAAAAGAATTTCAGAACAATTTAGACATCAAAATTAAAATCGGAGATACTTTTATCTGCATTTTTAGTAGGTGCCAAAACACTTGCAGTGTAATAAAAGTTTCTAAATTATAAACAAACATATACCAAGACAATAACAAATAATTGTTTCTAGTCACATGTGCATGATTATGCGCGGTATCCAGAAAATCAACGCCGTTACTATCACCAGCTGTATGATGGATGTTTTCCGAAAGGATTCTAAGACGAGGGAAGAATTCTTAAAATTAATCAAAACTTAATATCATCATATGCACACTACACAGATGAATAAAAGTTGAAGAATGAAGAATCGTATATTAGCTATAATGCCACTAGAAATTAGTCTTACTTTATTTGATTTTTTTATACTGTCCCATCATATGAATTAGAAAAAGTGTAATGGACAGCAGTACAATATTCATACAAGATATCAAAGGATGATAGGAATCATTTCAAATTCAAGAAACATTCATGCAGTGGATGTAAGATTCAGATTCAGTGAATACATTTGGAAACGATGTTGACTTTATCAGTATTATGTCTTCCCAGAATTCTTTCTCTTAGAAAATATTCTCCCTAGTCAAAACAAATGGCATTTAAAGCCCCAGTTATACAGGAACAGATAGTACACCATGCAAAACAGCAACACTTGTCGGAAAACCGAAGAAATTTTTATTACACACTAAGTGTTTAGAATAATGTTTACTATAAACCAATTCGTTATTTCTTTGTTATATGCCATTCTTTGAAACAATAAATCGTTTATCTACACCTCAAATAGTAAATGTACATCTGTCTTCATTGTTCTTCATTGTAAATGTTAATCTGCTAAGCCAGCCCACTTCCTACATCCTTAAAAATCTTCTCTAATCAGTCAACAAAAAAGAAAGGGGAGTCCTCCTCTTTAACAGACCATTTATTCCTTCGCTGTTTCAATTACTCGACTATATATTTTTGCAGTATCAAATCACATTTATAAAGGAAATAAACCATATTTGATTCGATCTCGCTAGCAGATAAGAAGCAAAAGGTTCAGTTCAAGTTCTACAGACTTAAAGCAAGTCAAGTGAACTTAATTAACCTAAATCATCTACTTTTCTGACCAAAAAGTTCTTCAAAATCACTTCATCAGAATACTTCTATTTTCTGCTATACACATTCTTGCTAGCTTGATGAAATGGCGCATGGCATTGGTGTCATTTGAACTTTTAATAAAACTCATTGTAAACGCCATGAGATACAAGCAATCAGAAGAATTCACCTCAGTTCATGTTTTAAAAAAGTATGAGGACAAATGTTGCAGTGGAGATTATATGGCATAGTATTGTATCGCATAGTATTATACTCTCTCATTCAAGCTTTAGAAAAAAAAAATTTTTTTTTCTACTTGAAGATTTGCTGAGTATACTTCCGTTTATTTATTCATGTATGTATGTGTGTTGTATGTGTATGTTTTTCGATATTCTGATGCTCGTCAAAAAATTTGAGTAGAATACCTGCCGACATCCTGGATCGTAATGAACTTTGTTTAAAAGTTCTCATGTTTTATTCATCTCTATTCATTTCTTTCGTCTACTGCTCTCTCCTGATAATGTTTTTGAGTAGAAATGAGAAATTTAGTTTAAAAAAATGTGGAATCCATCTTTTTTCCTCACCTACGCACCATTTGTCATTGAATGAAGTATAATTCAAAACTATCGCAAATGACATTTGAAACTGTAAATGAGTGATTGCAGAAGCTTTACTCATCGTCAATTTTCTTAGCCAAGGAAATGACCGCTCATTCGCTTCATGTATTTCATCCCATTATTGGTCAGTTAACGTGCAACACTGACAGTTACTTCATCTCTAACTAATTATATGTACAAAGTAAGAACTGCTTATTAATTTTCATTGATCAGATTTAATGATCGCAACATACTACTATTTCCTGAAAAATTGATCAAATATATCGCCAGACTATTTCATTTGTATACCCCCTGACTAATGAATTCAGATCATCTTAAAAACGGCTCTCAGGAATTTAGTGATATTATATTAAAATTCGTAACAATGATTTAAATATTGAATAGCTTATTGGTAAGTAGAAAATGTAGCAAAATCATAATCTTCGATTTCATGGATTTATAGTTTCTTACCACCTTCCTTATTAATTATAATCTACAATCTAACTTTTAGGACAGTTACTATTACAGTAACTTTACAGAGCTCAGAATCTGAGTTGTAGCATTCTTTGGATGAACCCGGTTTGACATTTCAACATTTTTGTAATAGATGAAGAAGTCTGATCTTACATCTCATCTTTCGATATGTATAGAATAATAAAAAACTTGTTCAGAATTTTTGGAAATTTGAAGAGAACTGAGGGAACATGTGGAATATGCATGATAATGTTGTTTGACCAGCTTAATGGACACATGGTAAACAGAGCTCATGTACACTTCAAACGATCCGTTTAACCTTTGACATTAATTCGATTGTCAAATTTACTGTTTAACAAAGAATTTCCTATTGTATTTAATAAAGTATAAAAATATGTTAGTCTTGACTCTCTATTTCTTCAACCTGTTTCATTTGCAGACAATGAGATTATTTAAGTCTCTCTCATTCTTATATGCATATTAATGCAGAATAAAAAAGAAACTTTTTTCAGAAAACTACTTCTACAGTATCTTTAGTTGTGAATATTGTCGCTTCAACCTTCACTGATCTCAGCTCATGAGTTGCACACTTGCGTTTTTTATACGTTCAGTATAAGAAAGACTAAATAAGAGAAAGCTATGTAAATGGCTCATCGTTGTAAGTTGCATCCATCTGAATTTTAGTCAATTTTTTAAATCAGTTCTATGCCATGTTATATTTCATGCGAAGAACAAATCCAAAATTATTTCAATTCTTTTATGGCGAATACTTCGAAGTTACACTTTTAAAAAAAGATGAACAGTGCTACGGTTAAAAAACAAGAAATGCAAGAATCATTTATTTCGCACCACTGCATTTTTTACATTAATGTCAAAAACTTGTTTCATGCAAGAAAAACCTAACTCTAACGAAATTTTTAACAATCAAATTAAATTAGCTTAATTCTTGCATAAAGTGCTCTCTTGGAATCAGATCTGACACCAAATGCCCCATTTCTAATAAAGAAAATATGGGAGGAGTATAATACAATATATTTGCTTTATAGGAAGCTTCAAAAAATAGAAATTTCTTGGAAATATGGATAAAAGTGTGGATAATCAATCCTCATAAACAGCAAAAAATAAATTTTTTATCTAAGAACATTTTCAACAATTATAACTGCTCAGCTTTTCCACTTTTTGTAAAGTATATACGTTAAACCACCAAAACCAACAATACAACCGATAACCAATGTTATTTGAAGCGTTCGTTTACGTGAAAGATCCTGGACAATAATTTTGTCCCATTCTTCCTGTAATAACAGTGATCTATCTATCTATCTATCTATCTATCTATCTATCTATCTATCTATCTATCTATCTATCTATCTATCTATCTATCTATCTATCTATCTATCTATCTATCTATCTATCTATCTATCTATCTATCTATCTATCTATCTATCTAATCTATCTATCTATCTATCTATCTATCTATCTATCTATCTATCTAATCTATCTAATCTATCTATCTATCTATCTATCTATCTATCTATCTATCTATCTATCTAATCTTAATCTAATCTTAATCTAATCTTAATCTATCTATCTATCTATCTATCTATTAATCTAATCTTAATCTAATCTTAATCTAATCTTAATCTAATCTTAATCTAATCTTAATCTAATCTTAATCTAATCTTAATCTAATCTTAATCTAATCTTAATCTAATCTTAATCTAATCTTCTAATCTAATCTTAATCTAATCTTAATCTAATCTTAATCTAATCTTAATCTAATCTTAATCTAATCTTAATCTAATCTTAATCTAATCTTAATCTAATCTTAATCTTAATCTAATCTTAATCTAATCTTTAATCTAATCTTAATCTAATCTTAATCTAATCTTAATCTAATCTTAATCTAATCTTAATCTTAATCTTAATCTAATCTTTAATCTAATCTTAATCTAATCTTAATCTAATCTTAATCTAATCTTTAATCTAATCTTAATCTAATCTTAATCTAATCTTAATCTAATCTTAATCTAATCTTAATCTAATCTTAATCTAATCTTAATCTAATCTTAATCTAATCTTAATCTAATCTTAATCTAATCTTAATCTAATCTTAATCTAATCTTAATCTAATCTTAATCTAATCTTAATCTAATCTTAACTAATCTTAACTAATCTTTAACTAATCTTTAACTAATCTTTAACTAATCTTTAACTAATCTTTAACTAATCTTTAACTAATCTTTAACTAATCTTTAACTAATCTTTAACTAATCTTTAACTAATCTTTAACTAATCTTTAACTAATCTTAATCTAATCTTAATCTAATCTTAATCTAATCTTAATCTAATCTTAATCTAATCTTAATCTAATCTTATAATCTAATCTTAATCTAATCTTCTAATCTTAACTAATCTTAATCTAATCTTAATCTAATCTTAATCTAATCTATCTAATCTAATCTAATCTAATCTATCTAATCTAATCTAATCTAATCTAATCTAATCTAATCTTCTCATCTAATCTAATCTATCTATCTATCTAATCTAATCTATTGAATAAAGTTCACTATCGCCTGCCAAAGAAAAGATAATTTGCAATAACCACAGGTCAGCTAAACTGCCTTCATACAATTATGTTTCAATACAACTAAATATTATAGAAAGCGAACAATACTTATGAGAAGAAAAATTGCTTTACCTGAACAGCAGCAAAACAATTGGATTCTGTAATATAGCAAACAGTGCTGTTATTTACATCGACTTCCGGTGACAGAGACAAGACTGAAGATTCCGTTCCTATCTCGCTTCCGGATTCTGCTAACTTACAATCGTTCTTTGTTTCTGATTTTGATATCTGGAAATACGTTATCAAATTTCACTCAATTCACAATGCGGAAGAAATAGTGGATTTGTAAGTATCGGACGAAAGAGTTGAAAGATTAAATACTGAAGAATGTAGACGTTCAGAGTTTATTTGCCAGTTTCACAGATTCTACCATAATTAATTTATCAGATGAGTTTTTAAAGTAGTTTCTTAAGGTTGACAAAAGAATGCAACCAACCTGTACAGATTTATCCAAATCAATTTCATCATCACTCTGCCGTGAACTAATCATTTGCAGTTGAATCATCTCTTCTACCAATATTTTAGGTGGGATCGTAATGTTAGTATTAGAACTGAACGAATGATTAGTTAAAAAACATTCGGATGTTACTGCTACTTCAGAAATTTTCATATTCATCATCTGCTCATTAGAGATTGGATCTGGAACAAACACTGTATTCAATTTTAAAAGAAAATTGAAAATTTGGCAATAAAATTCAACTAATGAATCATCCAAAAATCATCTTACTGCAAGCTATTAGTGAAATGGAATGTAGTGATGAATGTACTTAATAGTTTTTTAACTGTTTCTTTCGGAAGGAACAGTGAAACACGACATCAGCAGTGAATAAATCCAAAACCAAAATCAACCTCATTTTGCTTGTAAATATTTAAAAAACCAGCAAAGACAAAACAGAAAAACAAGATTTAAGCATTACCTGAACCCTTCATCCCGCTGAAAGAATTATCAACATCATTAGAGTTACCAGTGTCGCTAAGTGATATAATATTATCGACGGATCTTCCATAAGATGCCGATTCATTTAAATATTTGTTAATTACACTGACAAATTTAGGTGCACATTCTGAGTGCACAACTTTATCTTCATGCGGTGATAATTTTTGTACACAATTCTTTTCCTGTATTTTTCCAAACAATTTAAGATCGTTCCATGCATGTAAAATTAAACGAATAACATTGCTTTCAAACTTTCAGCAATAATTTTATCTTTATTATATGTATTCTTTACTTCAGTAATAACTTTTTTATTGTTTTCCTTTCCTAACACCCTAATAAATTTTAAATAAGAACAAAACACCTCGTTCATTACAGCCGAATTAAAAAGAACTTCCACTTTCTGATGATTCGTCAAATCCCTAATCTGCTCCTCCGTCTCTATTTTCACCTTATCTGGTAATGTGATTACTTCCAAAACTTCTCCTTTTTTCATCGCTCTTTCAATTGTCAATTTTAGAGCATTAATGGAGACGCATCCAGGAAGGGCAACACGTTTGAAACATTCTTTCCCGTCCGCAATACTGAAATCTTTAAAATATAAAGTCATATGCAAACCAAGTACTCAGATAATCCAAATTATGATTCGATGTTTTGGTAAATTTTTTCTCACAGTAACAACGTCGTCTCATTGTTCTTTCTTCGATTTACTTATGGAAAATAGTTACTTTAAACTACTTTTATAGTAACGACTGTGCAATAGCCGTAAATTTACATGATTTTTTTTCTTTTAAATTGAATATATTAAAATAAAATAAAAAAGAATCGCCTTGTTCGAACAAGAAGAAAACGAGTGTCGTGCAAGGAACTGAACTTCCCGTTAGAGTTCATTTCATGACTTACCAGAACTGTGTGGGTATCTAAAAGTACGATTCAACGATAAAAGAAAGTCAAACAGCAATATTAAGAGCATGAGAGAATAACAGGTAATAAAAATTCATAAATTGCATGACAATCACTAGTGAAAGTTATTATTATCATTTTTAACAGAAAAACATCTTTTCCTACTTTATTTTCATATCACTTTTTATGAATTCAGCATTCAAATAAGATTATCTCGATACTACATATGATCCACCTTTTTGATTTGTCTTAATATTAACAGATTGCTTAAAAATTTCTTTCACAGCCTCGCTAGTTACTAGATCCAGGGGTGTTTTTCCATCTTTCGCAGGCGTTTCTGGATCAAAACCAGCACGTAAAAGTAGACCAACAATCTCTTGATGATTACGTCGTGCTGCCCAATGAAGAGCGGTCCTAAAACATGAAGTCGCCTTCACAAATAAACTACACAAACTTTAATAAAAAGGATTCAGTAATTTGAGGATAGTTCCTTTCTTCCATAACTACATGTCCAAATAAGCGACAGGCAATAAATTCGCTATAAAAGAGACAGAAACAATAAGTAATGATTAACTTATTATTAATTGAAATCATGATTTAGATGGCAATGTGAGTATATTATGAACTGATCAGGATAAGTGCTACGCACTTACAACTAATTCAAGCTTTGCTAAATGAAAATTAAGTTCACCAATTTGAATGTTTATAATAAATAGTACTCTACATAATACTCAATTCATGCAATCATTACCCCTATCCTGTAAACAGTCACATATTTAATTATGTTCAAAAAGCATATAAGAATGAATAATTCACATATTTAATTATGTTCAAAAAGCATATAAGAATGAATAATGACTACCCATGTAGCTTTTTAGCCAAGCATTTATTTAATTTTAAAATATTTAGTGCTATTATTCTTCTAAGGATCAGAAGTTAAACAATAGGAATCCTTCTGAGGAACATCCTTTTAAATAAAATCAAAATTCGACAACTAATAATGGAAATAGTTTGCAAAAAAAATGTGACAATATAAAGTGGAAAGAGAAATGAAAACAGCAGAAATTTGTGTCTTATGTAATCACAGGTAAAACTTTAATTTTCAACAGTTAGATCCAGTTGGAAATTATAATTCCAAGTACAGAGGGATTTCAGCAAGGCCAGTAACAACAGATTCACATTATAAGAGTGAACAATTTCGTTTAACTGAAGACATCATGAATAATAGAATGATTAATATTGCTAATAGCTGATATCAGTCAAACGGCCACCTTCATAGAATAAAAAATTGATCTAAATAATATTTTTCGGAGAAAACCAATAAAGATAAAACATCGGAATAAACTAATGTCTTACAAGCAAACAACATGCCCATAAGATTTCAGTTTATTTTTTTTTATTTCAATTTATTTCATAAAAATAAAAAAAAGTTGCAAATGTAGAATTTAAATAACAAAAATTGATAGTAAAGAAGAAACAAATAATGTTTATAAATTGAAATCAAGCTTCATCTAAATCTTTTACATCATAATCGAAATAAATGACTATAATAAGATAGCTCACGCTTTTCTCAAATTTCAGCAAAGAATATTAGCATGGAACAAAAGAAAACATCAGAAATAGCAAAAGAAATTTTTCGTTCTTATTTTTTTATAAAATACTTTTCCTCTAAATTTTTTTGTTGATAATGCAAATATATTCCAAATTACACATCTTAATTAGAACAGTTAGTTTTCATTAAACAAATTAATTAGCGGATTAAATTTTCATCAGAAAGTTAATTAGCGGATTAGAATAGTTTAATTTTCTTCTACTCATTCATGTCTACTTGTTAACGTTTTAAATCACCATCAATTATACGAACGGCAGTGTAAAACTATCTGCTTGAAAATTTTAGTAACAAACAGTTAGCAAGCCACATAACAAATGCATAATTATTTGCTGAAAAATATTTTGAACAATCCATTCTGTTTTAACTAATCCTCTGATAGCATCAAAAGTTTTTTCTCAGAATTCAGTATCATTGAATAAACAAATAGATAAGCCATTACAGACCTATGATTCGTAACACCTTTGAATTGAATAAGCCACAAATTAGCTGGTGAGCTTGTGAGCAACACAAAAAACAGTGGTGAATATTAATTACCTTTTCCAATTCTCAATGATACTTCAGCATTACATCATTCAGATGTTTCGTGATAGAAGTATATTACGAGTTCAATGTGAATGTTACGAAAATTTTACAGCATGCAATCGGAAACGAGTACACTGACACTCGTAAACATTTAAGATAATTAAATTTAAACTAATGCCTACATACTAGGAAAGTTCACTACGTCCATACTTTTTTTTATGAAAATGTTTATAAAAAACATCTCAAACATTCCAAAATAAAGTAGGTATAAGGTCAACTTAATCCTTGGTACCTAAGAAAAGAATGAGGACGACACCATAAATGAGGACGACTGAAATAAGTCTTCATGAAATGCGAAGATAGAATGAAGCAATACATCACTTCCACCAAATCTAATGCTAAATTCTTAAATTAAAAAAAAGAAAATTATAGAAAAAACAAACACATGGAAGTCTAAGAAGACAAACAGATAAAGATATTCATGAAACTAAAAATTATTTCTAAGATTTAGATAATGAACAAGAACATACCATCCGTTACCATGATGTTGAAAACTTCTATCTATTTTCCCATTCTCCAGCATTGCTTTTGCTTGTTCCAAATCACCGAAACTGCAGACTTCCAAAAAATCCATCTGAATGCGACTGTTTTCACTCTCATTCATTTTCGACATTGGCTTTCTTCTTTCGCGAATAAATGTCTCCGACTGTAAAGAACAGGTAATTTTAGTAATATCAAGGACATCATTATGATGCATTTAATTTAATCAAGGCTCATACAATGTGATCGTGTGGTTCGATGTATATAATGTGCACACCGACTTTTAAAGAACCCAATGCATGCATGAATGTCAATTGCAGCAATAATGTAGACAATTATTTTATTTTTCTTTATTTGAAATGATAAATTTAATCTCTTACTTATTTGTAAGAAAAGAAAAACATTCTTAGGAATTACACAGAACTCTGCAAAGCATTCATTTTTGAAATACCATAACTAAATAACTACACTGGAGATTTCTTGAATACCGTATACTACATAAATAAACTGGAAGAAAACATTAAAGGAAAAGCAAAAAAGCATTTACTTATACTGAGCATGCCAAAAAGCAATAGGAGAGCGCGAATTTTCATAATCTCTTGTAGAGTTCAACAGATTTGAGTTCAGAACTAACTGTGAAGACATTCATTTTCCTTTTTTTCTCTAAATAATTATCTAGTTATTCTAGTAAAGATTACATAACTGAAGCTAACCACAATTATTCAAAGAGGCTCCCTTGTTTTTTGGGCAGTATCCTTTGATATCCAAAGTGACAGATTAGGAATAAGGCAAAGTCATATTCAGAGAATAGAGAACCGTGAAAGTATTATCACTTTCGTTTTGACGCCAAAAAGTCGGTCAAATAGATCGAATGCAATCAACAATTCTGCATGCATGAACATTCATGCACATGCACGGACATCCTTTAAAAGCGAAAAGGTAATTGATGTGTTAACGGAGGAATGAGTTAAATAGATTAAGCAGCCGACGTAAACACAACTGTCGTTAGTACGTTCAATTTGGTTCAGTAAGCTGGCAAATGGCCAGCAATGTTAGAATGATAATAAAATAAATCAAAATGTTTTGTTAGTGAGGAATAAACGGGGGTAGTTATACAGTCTGATAACGTTTGAAAGACCGCAACAGATGGATGTGACAAGGAGGGCAAGAGAAGTTTGCAAATACATCAATGGGACAGGACAGGTACCCGCGGATATGCAGCACCAAACATTCCTATCAAACTAATTATATACTTGCAAGCTTGCAGCATTCATGTATAAACACGAAGAGCTTATTTTGTTTCAAGACTGCCAGATCATATCAAAAATCTTATTTCAATACGTATCTTTCTATTCGCGTTCTACTTTATCATCCATGTTTATGGCATATACAACACTTCTCCACATATCCGTGACAGTATATTCCTCATATATTAAACATACATAAAGTAAAATTCAGCAATGTATTTTTTATGCTATCCGTCCGTATAGAGCACATCAGATTAATCTAGAACCTGAAATCTTGTTGTATTGGAAGGAGATTCGATGAACCTGAATCTGAAGAATATCGTGGCAGTGATATGCTTGCTAAAATAACAATCTGCAAATTCATGAATAATGATAGCTCTTTATTATGTTTAGCATTTATTGGACTTAGTCTATCACTGAAGACAAACGATTGGTATTAATGAATCTCAATGATAAAAGTAGATTTTTCAGGAAGCAAAAGGAATGGCTGTCAACAGGTTAGATGACATATTCAACAGTAACTGTCACAAATAGTGATGTTTTTGGAAGCCTTTTTCCAGTTCAGGTATGACCTGTAAACTGAGGGACAGTTGAGATGTTTAGCATTAGCAGTTGAAATGTTAGTATTTGGTGTCACTGACAGTTTCCATGGCTAAGCAATCGATCGAACTGATCAGTTGTTCCAGTCAAAGTTTATATGAAATGTAAATTAAACTATCATGATATCAAGTTTATAAGAGCAGCTTCATATGTGATGATTATTCTTTCTCCTTTATACCTCTGTCCTATACTTGTGTGGTTTCATAACGCTTAGGGACTGTTACTCATTTTTGCAATTCATTATTTACTGTCTGACGCTAATATTAAAGGTAATGTGGAGGTCATGCTTCGACTCGCTCTTATTCGTTCTTCTGTTTTCTTTCTTATGCTCACCCGATTCTGGTCAGAAACTAGACCTTTTCGATGATGACTCAAGGTAACATCTGCAAATATAACTTGTTGGCAGAATTTGCATTTTGTTGGAGACAAATGTCTCCTATTTTGGATAAGAAATGATTTTAAGTTTAAAATCCAATTTGCCACGCCATTTCCAGATCTCGCCTTGTAATGCTTGATGGTAATCTGTATTTTCATGCTGGGCGACAAAAAAACATATCGTTCATGGCTGGTACTGATGGCTCAATTTATTTTGGCGAGAAAAATCTCAACTTATTGCCAGAGTTGGTACGTTTACTTCCTTCACAAAACACTTCCTAAGCTTTCTTCAGATTGTATTTGAATAATCGACGGTTTCTAACATATGACTTTTATTTTAGACTGAATTTGAAGTCGTGAAGGAGGAAATCGACAAGACAAAGGTTTGCTATCCTCTTCATTACTATCTCATCCAAAAGCAGATTATTGCATATTCATAGCTAATTGTTCCAGACCAATTTATTCGTTTAGGGCCGCGTTCATCAGCTCATAAAAATGGCTGATTTATTCAAACAACAGATTAAATTAAAAAGTGGCGATGTTGCATCCCTGAACAGAAAAGTTAGTTAATCTTTCACACTTAAAATCAGATTTAAAACTCTTTATTGGTTTAAAGAATTCGAGGGAAGCTTTAATTAAACAGCAAATGATCAATTAGATCAATTAAGTGTGCTTACTTCATCTATTATACAAGCGTTATGATGCAAACTACTTGTTTATACACATTTGTATTGACCAACTACTGATTTTCAAATACATCACTAATGTTTTATCACAATACGATATCAAAAAATCTGAGAAGATTACTTGACAAAATGTTTGCAACGAATAAAGGTTCTGTTCAAACTTGGAAGAAAAGAAAGAAACTGTCGTTGTGAAAGATGAAAGAGATAAGTGGAAGAAATTGAATGAACGAATTGGAATGAACATTTCTGAAGTGTGAATGTCTTTTTCTTACCACTTCCACATGAAAGTTTCTTGCTGAATAAGGAACCAATTAAATAAAATTCTAAATCACATAGAAAAAATCCTAGAAATATGTAATAAACAGAGGACTACACGTAATTTCACTGTACTTTGTTGACTCTAATACATAGGACAATCAATTAAAAAATTAGTGCAATAAAGTAAGTTTTCAAGGCTACTTCGTCACAGAATTTCATTATCTTTCGACTTATTTCACTTGAAAATATTTTCATCAAAACTGAGAAAGTGTTCGAACATTTTCATAACTGTACTATTCTTTACTTCCAATAGTGGAATAATCACTTAACTATAGAAATTAAGTGAACTTTTTGGCAAACGGCGCAATAACCACTTATTCTTCTAAATTTCTAAACGCAGTCTGCATTTGTTCTAATAATTCATCATAATCTTTTTTAATTTTTTGCTCACCATCCTTGACTGGATCTTTGAATTTCATAGACGATAGCTCGTACATAATATCACTCATGTGATCACGAATTATTGCCCAGGTAATCTTATTTTCAGCTTGTGCTGTTGATTCCACAGCATGTTTTGCTAGATCATAGAAAGCAATCATGTTTTTCAGCATTCCCACCGTTTTGTAGAATGGACAGAATCGGTCATAGGGTGTGTATCCGTTTTGTTGCAAAAAGTCGTCTTTGATCAACTTAGCTACTTCTAGGGTAATTTTGTCCGACTCAGCTAATGAAGCTTTACCCACTAATTGTACAATTTCGGACAAGTCCTCTTCTTCTTGAAGAATTTCCTTGCATGTTGTACGTAGGGCAACAAATTCTGGGAAATTTTTGTCATAATATTCATCCAGTGCTCTCATATATTTGCTGTATGATATTAGCCAATTAATGGATGGAAAGTGTTTGCGCTGCGCCAGTTTCTTGTCTAATCCCCAGAACACTTGAACAATACCAAGAGTAGCCGAGGTAACTGGATCAGCAAAATCACCACCAGGTGGTGAAACAGCACCCACAATAGTAACCGATCCTTCACGTTCTGGACTTCCGAGGCACTTTACTTTACCGGCTCGTTCATAGAACGATGCCAGACGAGCAGCCAAATATGCCGGGTATCCAGAATCGGCAGGCATTTCACCCAAACGACCAGAAATTTCACGAAGAGCTTCGGCCCACCGTGATGTAGAATCAGCCATCATTGAAACATTTAGACCCATGTCACGAAAATATTCAGCAAGCGTAATGCCGGTGTAAATCGATGCTTCGCGTGCAGCTACAGGCATATTTGATGTGTTAGCGACCAAAGTTGTACGCTTCATAATTGATGTAGTGACACCGTTGACTTCCATAGTTAGTTCTGGAAAGTCACGCAGTACTTCCGACATTTCATTACCTCGTTCACCACATCCAACATAAATGATGGCATCAGAATTGGAGAATTTGGATAATGATTGTGAAATAACAGTTTTACCACAGCCGAATGCTCCTGGAACAGCAGTAGTACCACCTTGAACACAAGGGAACATTGCATCCAGAACACGTTGACCACACAGTAAGGGAAAGTTAGCTGCCAATTTTTCAGCACACGGACGTGGCTGGCGCACAGGCCAGATCTGAAGCATTGTGAATTTGGATTTTTCACCAGCAAATTCAGTTTCCAACACAACATCAGTAACGCGATATTCACCAGCTGCTGCTATATACGTAATTGTGCCACACGCTATTGGTGGAAGCATTATTCGGTGGTTGATGAGGACGTTTTCACGCACAAAACCGATTGTATCACCACCCGTAATGTGATCACCAACAGTGAGTTTACGATTTGGTTCAAACTCCCAAACTGCATCACGTGAAAGCACGTTAACATTAACACCTTTGGGAATATAAATGGATTGTGTTAGTTCTAAAATATCTTTCAAGGGTCGTTGAATACCATCGAAAATGGAACCCATAATGCCGGGTCCTAGTTCTACTGACAATGGTTTACCGGTCCGAAGTACAGGATCACCTATTGCTACCGCTGAGGTATCTTCATAAACTTGAATCGTAGCATAATCACCTTCCAAACGGATAATTTCACCAACCAATTCAGAATGCCCAACACGTACCAGCTCGTACATTGCTGAACCGGCCATTTTCTCGGCTGTTACGACAGGCCCGGAAACACCGTAAACAAAGCCATAGGAGCTCTCTTTAGCATCTTCCATCAATTTAGTAGTCGGTGGCATTTTATTTCTCACAATGAATTCCTGGAATGTGAATAGAGATCAGACAAAAATAGAAAAACTAAAATCGATGTATAAAACCAAAGCAACTGTCTTCTATACTTATAGAATTTATTATGCAAACAATCATTTAAAAAAAAATGTGCCAACACCAAGAATTTTAACTTAGCTGCTTCCTAAGCAAGTATCTTTAAAAATAAAAGACACTTGACAAAGTATATAAGTTTCTCTATGGTTCCATTTAGAATCAGGCAAGATATGACATGTTCGTACGCGATTCATAATCGCTAGCTAAATATTATTTAAACGTTTAGTTGCAATGTGAAAGTAAGTAGTTTCAAATATTAGAAATGTTCTCGGTAGTGTTAAACAATGAGAGGATGCAATGATTATATTTTTGATTGAATGGGGTAATGATGAAATTTCATAAACACAGACAGCAAATGTAAATAATCTCTCTAGTATTCATTTACAATAGACTGAGGTTTATAAACTGTCTTTCTACTACAGTAACTTTTCCAAACAGTCATTTCTATTTCTTCCACAAACTGCAAACTACGATTCTGTAAGGCACGTTATTGATTGTAATCAGTATATGTACATAATAGAAAAATAAGTTGGAATCAGTCGGATACATTGAAGAAGAAAAGAAATGGAGACGAAAATTAGTAGTTAAGCATTAATTTAGACGACTGTTTGAGAAGAGATTAGTCAGCGGTACAAGTGCTGTGCAGGATAATGAAGTGGTAAAATGTATGAATGGCTAGTGATGATAGTTCGGCTTAAGAAACCTCCTTGTTAATAGCTTCACCACACAGTTATTTACCCAACACAAAAACAAAGTAAGGGAAGATGGGTGACACAGCGACAGCGTCATCAAGTCAAGGTGACAACAATCGCTACACTGTTCTCTGTTCTTTTGATAAATGGTTTTCAGACAATCGTCCCAGGATTGATCTTCAGATATTATAGCTGTAAATTATTTTAAAAAGTTTTGAAAAACTCAAGTAAACGATATGACATTTTGTTCCAAATTTGCAGCAAAAGTCGATATTAGTAATACGAAAAAATTGAGAGAAGAAATACTATTGGAACTGGAAAAAAGATATATCGATTAGGCCCTGTTATTGACTTTCACAAAGAGCTCGAAGCATATGACCATAGGGATGAGCAGCTTCATATTTGGGAAACGTGAAATATCGATCAAACAAAGTTGACAGAGAATATTGTCCGTGAACTAAAATTAATTCCTAATAACAGAAAAAAGTAGAATTCTCGCAGGGCGACACTTTCAAATCTTTAGATAGCAGATATCATAAAACGCCTGGAACTAAGCAACTCAAAAAAGAAAGACGGAAGCGGACGGAAGTTTCGAAATTTGTTAACTGCACTAAAGTCTCATATAGCACTGTTGGATAATCGTTTGAAGAAGGATGAATGTAGCGACAATCCGTGCAGGAATGGCGCAACATGCATCGATCTGTACAATAAATTTATGTGCATATGTCCATCTCATTTTGAGGTATTTCTATAATTTTGTCTGATATTCGGAGCAAGCAATTATTTCTAAAGGAAGATAGTCGTATATTTGTTGATGAATTAATTGTAAGACATGCTTTTCTTTAGACAAGTCTAGCCTCAAAAAATTGGAAAATTTTTACTTACAACAGAAGTTTTCTAAATTTAAAGTCTAAGAAATGGCTAAGTTTGGATGCAAATTGTTAAACATTTAGGGTGAAACATGTGAAAACCGTGTAAACGAATGCAGCATTTATCAAGGGACACCTGCTGGATGTCAAAATAACGCATCTTGCATCTTGAACGCGGACGGATTTCAGTGAGTATTTCAAGAAATTAAGGAACTGCAGACTGTTTTGCCTCATACTACGTTCGTAAATAGTTTTCGGTTGTGCATTTATGTTACATTCTGTAAATTAACATGATATCTACAAGTGTTACTATTCCAAAAAGTTTTACCGTTACAAAATTGTTTTAACCGAAGAGGGAGGACTGATAAAGATATAAACGACTGAACCAGATGTTAAAACGAATTTTTTGATTTAAATTTAGGTTACTTAGTGGAATTCTTCTTTATCATAAAACCTTTTATTTTGATATGGTTTTTTAAGTTGTGTATGTCAACAAGGCTTTCACGGAGCTCTGTGTCAGTTGCGAGCAACAGCATGTGAATTTTCACTGGATTTATGTGGCCCAGCTGGACACTGCATACCAACTCAACCAGATCCAGAAACCAATGAAGTAGGTACTAACTAACAACTTCAACGTTGGGTGTTTTCCGAATAAATTAAAGATTTTCAAATAGGCAGAAAGGCAGAAGATTTTCAAACGACAGTAAATATGTAAATGAAGTAGAATTTTTCTAAAACCTGATTTTTCCTATATTAAGCCTGGTTACCGTTGTCTTTGTGAGTGGGGATATCGTTCGTCCGCTGATAGAAACAATCCAGTTTGTGAAGACGTAAATGAGTGTGAGTCAAACCCATGTTATCCAGGAACAACTTGTATCAATTTGCCTGGTTCCTTTAAGTGTGCTGGTTGTCCGCCGGGCATGACAGGTAATGAATTTGTAAGTCATAAACAATTACGACAATAATAAGTTTACTGATGATAGTGTATTTTCATGCATTTATTTCTATCAGTTACGAAATAGAATAATAGTTTTCACAGATATAATTTTACAAGTATAGAAAGTAAATATTGATATTGACTCTTTTTTGCGTTTTTTACAGCACATAATGAGATATAAGGGTCCATATAATAAAGTTTGAGTCAGAATACGACATCATAATAGATATATAATTGATGACACTGAAACAATTTCTGAATTATCATAAACTCGTAACAACCAAAACCTAGATAAAATAATGATAACTGCATATATGTATACTGTTAGAAGTTAATTTATCAGCAACAACCAAGTCGACTGAAATTGAAATAAAATAATTATACAAACAATAAGCTGACGTCAGTGATAATTAGGGAATGGGATGATTTGTTTGGATGTTGATGAATGCGCAAGTGAGGACCTGGAAACTTGTTCCAAGGATCCGCCAGTGAAATGTATCAATACTATTGGCTCCTATGAATGTGCATCATGTCCTCCCGGTTTGTTCTGTAAACAGTTGATATTAATAGTGCACTATGGAGTTTAAATTATTGTAATTTAATTAAATTTGTATCATTCAACCGAGATGTATGTCGTATTATTGCCATAATTGCAGGCTATAAGGGTAATGGTCACATTTGTAAGAAGCAAAGTCCATGTGAGTTATCTCCATGTCATCCAAAGGCCAAATGTTATAATATGGGCATGAGCTCATTAAATGAAGAAGGTTTTCGTTGTGAATGTCCTCTTGGAATGATTGGTGACGGAATCGGTACTGAGGGTTGTTACCATTCAAATGTTACGCTTTGCCGAGCCGACACATGCTATAACCAAGGAACGTGCCAGGTTAGAATGTTGAAACTTTTGAAATCAAGTTAAAGTGTAAAGAAATATGGTAAATGGGTTCAAAATTGCACTATTCGGAATATTTGAAAAAGTGTGAGAGGAATTGCAAATTTAAAAACTTCTTTACTAGTCGAAAATATTTTCCTCAAACTACTTTTTAAATATGAAATTTGGGAAACGAACCGTGTATACATATAAATTCTATTTCAGATAATCTCTGAGGAAGCATATAAATGTCACTGTAAATGGGGCTACGTTGGCAAACGGTGCGAACTAGCCACTGCTTGTTTAAGTAATATATGTCGAAGTCGTGGTGAATGTTTAGTTAAAAAAGATGGTTCATTTGAATGCGTATGCTTAAAGGGTTATTATGGTCCAACATGCGAATATGAGGAAGACGGTTTGTTTTCTAACAAAGTTCAATTCGGTTCTTTTTGTTTTGGAGGTTTACATGCTCAGTCTTAATATTTTAGGTTGTGGTGGTCACATAATAAATGAGACTGGTGTAATTAAATATCCGGACTGGACATGGTATCACTTTGGTCGCAACAAAACATGTGAATGGATCATTATAGTTAACGAACTAAATAAAGCATGTTCTATGTTTTTTACAGCTACCAGTGTATTACATGTGATAGATTAAAATTTTCTTACTTATGGCTAAAGAACATTACATATTTAGATAACTAAAGTTGTTGTCTATTGTAATGACTTGTAAAAAAGAAAAAAACACACAACAATGGTGTTTTAAGGTGATCGAAATAAACTTCACAAGTTTTCATTTGCCAACTAGATCAGCAACATGTGCCATGGCTGACGCAAACGTTACCTTACGCGATGGAGAACATGCAAACAGTCCATTAGTTGGTGTATTTTGTGGTCCAAGAGGATCTACCACTGTGAATTGTCCTTTGTTTATCTTTTAATATCTGAATTTTAATTTAAAGCTTTTCTTTTGTTTTCTTACTTTATCCTTTTTTTTGCCATATATTTGTTGCTTTTTAAGGTCCCGGTTTCTCGTCCAATTTATTTTTCATCGAATAAGGCGTATATTGCGTTTGTTTCTGGTAAAAGTAGTATTGGAACTGGTAACTTTGCACTGCACTGGAGGACTGTTGAAAAAAGTTTGTTACTTTACATTACTATATGTCAGTCTAACTTATTTCCCAGATTTTTCTCTGCCAAGATTTCATTTATGGAAATTTTGAAGAATGTGGTGAACGAATCTATAGCGACGATGGTCAAATATCACTTTATGGTTATAAAAGAAGCGAAATTTGCCAATGGCATGTTTCTGTTGATCCAAAAATGCACATTGAAATTACCGTGGAGCCGATGAAACTTGCATCAGGCGATATTCGGAATTGTTCAGTCAACTCGCTGGAGGTGAATTATCATTTCCTTTACTATATTACTTTCAATTTGCTAAGATTTTAATTTTCGACAAAGTTTAAACCAATTTGAAATTTAGCTCTTTGATGGTCTCGAAATTGACGAAACCGAACGTATATTGCATCTATGCAGTAGTGAGACTACACGAACTTTGGTGCGTACTACACTGCCGTACTTTACAGCTTACTTCAGGAGCAATTATCCGGCTGATTTCCCAGAAGAACATTGTGAGCTTTTTTTTTGTCTACTATTTAGAAAATTAATCTCTTTTTTAAAATAATGCATGCTCATAAATTTCTTTTTCAGGTGATGGTGACTCTCTCTGTAGTCGTGGTTTCACTATACATTATCGAACTATTAAACGTATGTCTATCAAATGATTCATTGTTTAAGTCCTATTATTTCTTACGAAATTTCTTGCTTCGGATAAAAAAATGATTCAGTAACACAGAGCTGAAACCATTCATCATTCAATTTTTAGTTGACAAAGACTGTGGAGGTACAATTTTACCTGATGCCGATAATGCCTTTGAAGGTTATATTCAGTCACCAAATTATGGTTTTAATTATTTCCCAAATTTGGATTGCCTATGGCTCCTTGACGCTTCAGCTGTCGCTAATGTAAGTTCAGTAAGTAACTTTTTACCATGTATAATTTGGTCTGAGAAGTTATGTAAATATTAAGAAATATCAGTCAAATACTAATTCTTTCCAGGCCTACGATGCAAAAGTGATAAAAGTGGAAATTGTTGATTTAGATATACCCTCTGCTCCTGCAAGATCTATCAAGGGTAAATTCAGCTGCATATAAATTTTTATACATAAACTTTTTATTCCATCATTATGTTTTTCTTTTTCGTTTTTAATTTGATTAATATCTATTTCGGTCATTTGGAACACTGTTATAACGAATTCCAGAAACGTCTCATTTTCGTCTTTCGTTTTCGGAATCAACCGCTCCAAATCAGCGCTTAGTGAATCTTATAAGACCGTGTCGTTTTGATCATATTACTGTAAGCATTCATAATTATGACAATTCATTTTATATGTCTGTCAGTAATTTATTTGATTTTCATGGTTTCACGGCAGTTTTCTAGTAGGCATCTTATGCTATGACCGTTTTTGGGATAACTTTTAATTAAATGTTTTTCTTCTACTTTTTCAAATGGACGATTAGATTAACACCTCTTCTGCTCAGATTCAGATCTTTTCGGTCGTGAATACCGAGCACGTAGATCTCTCAGCAATAAGTTTTGGTGGATGCTTAACTTTTAACTGAGAGAACTGGGAAAATATAGTGACTTGTATTTCAAGAACATCTAGAGGAAGGGAAGCGTGCCTACGGCAACTAATTTACGAGTCAAGTAAGCTAGTGATGACTCAAGGGCTCAAAAAATAATACATAAAAGTGTTCACGGCTTGATATAAGATAAATAACTCTTTTGAGAATTGTCGAGCTTTATTGATACCAGGAATTTCTTCCTTTTTTTTCAGTCTGGAAGAAAAAGAACACAGAAATGACTTGCTCGCTTATTAAGTGAAGTGAAGCAGAATATGTATAATTCAGTTTTTAATTAGCTTTGTGACAATTTGTGTACTCCAATATATGACACTTAGTTTTAAGTACATTACAGTTCAGAAATGGTGAAGATACATCACATCCTATACTCGGACGTTACTGTAACGGTAGGCTACCCGAAGGTCCGATCGTATCATCAGGACCAAAAATGGTTATACAGTTCCACTCGAATCAGTCCATTAATGGAAAGGGATTTAAGATTCATTATTCTGCGGGTACACTTTGATTTTATTCCATTCAATTTATGATTTTGATAATGAACAAAAAATAACTAATATCAGTAATTCCATCATTATTAAGTGCTTGCTCCTGAATGTGGTATTTGTTCGTCGGTCTAGTTGCTGATTAGGACTTCGTGTTTTAGCTGCCTGAGCATTAAATTATTGCTAGGCTATTTTCAGTTGGTCGGAAGAAAGTTGTCTCTGTAAATTAAAAAAATAATTTTCAGCATGTGAGAAGCATTTTACATCATCGAATGGAACTATTCAAAGTTCTAATTATCCGAATGGTAGTACTCAACCATTTAAATGCACCTATGTTATTGATGCTGAAAAAACGAAAGCGATAAGACTGAAATTTAATTTCATTGGGCTAAATACGGATATTAAGACATGCTTTTATGATGTCACTAAACATAATCTATTGGAAGACTATGTCGAAGTTAGTTTTGCCACAAATTATTTGGATTCATTTGAACAAAATCAAATTAAAAAAAATCCAAAAGAATTGTGTAGAAGTTTTACTGATAGCTTTGTCTTTCTTGATTTTACTCGTTAATTTCATTTGAATAAAAGAAAATATCACACAACAACGGCAAAAGCAAGAATACCGTGCTATGTGAATGTATGTCTACTGATAGTCAGTATCACTGACAGAAATATTTGAAAAGAAATATAGATCTTATAAGAAGCGATCAGTGTAGACCATTTCTTGAATTAAGCTATTCAATGGAGGTGTCTGCACTTTTACGATTCGAGACTTTCTGACCAGATTGTGCCTAATGGTTAAGTATGCATAAAACAGTCCAAATGTATTTGATATGTGTAAAAAAAAAAAAGAATTTTGGGTCTTTTGAGTAATGGTGTGTTATCAGTGGTTTATTTAAAATACTTCGAAAGCTAAAACTTTTCAGGTTAAAGTTTCAAAGATATTTTACTTAAAATTTTGTTGCATCATTTAATTATTTATAAATTTAAAAAACATTTAGTTTTCTGGTGGCCATGATTCACACGATCAGATCAATAAACGATACGTTTGCGCACGGTATCCATTCGTTGCACCTGACGGAGAAATGGTATATTTTTTTCAAATTTCTTACAAATCTCATAGTATTCACGATCATCAGTTTTTCAGGTAACAAGTGCTTCAAGGTCATTGAGAATCACATTAAGTTCAAGCGGTATTAGTAATAAAGGCATACTTTTCTTATACGAGCAATTTGATGTCGGTAAGATATTTGCACTTGGTAAACTTGTATGTACAAATATAATATATTAATATGTTAAATTACTTGTTAAATCACTTTTCCCCTAATTTCCTGACTAGCTTAAATTAAAATATAAATTTTTAAAAAAATAATGCCTGTTGAATTAAGTTACGATTCAAAATAAGCATGCCAGCAGCGTATTTTCTGTTTCATTGAAGGTTGCGGTGGCATATTTGAGGGAGAATCAGGCCAAATAACAAGTCCGAATTATCCGGAAAAGTATCTGGCGCATATGTACTGTATATATGTGATTAGCACACCGGTATACTTAACGTTCCTTAACTCAATTTCGAAATATGATTGAATATTTCAAACAAAATTTTCGAAAGATTTCCATAATTTGATTCATTTAAAGAATAAACGAATTCGGCTAACATTTGAAGTGTTTGAATTAGAAGTTGTACCGAGTCGAGAAGACTGCTCTTTTGACAGCATCGAAATATATGACACTTATGTAAATGATGATGATCATAGCGAATTACATGGAAGGTATGCAATGTTTCGTAAGAACTTAGTGATCAAAAATTACCTATTTAACCTAAGAATATAACTTTCGTAACCTTACTGATTCGTTATTTAATTTGATAAAACCTCGTATCCTTTCATGTCTACAGCAAAACAATTCTTTTGAGATACTGTGGCACGTTACTTCCGCCTCCAATTTTATCTACCGGAAATCGACTAACCATTGTATTCAAAAGTGATCGATCAGTTAATGGCGCTGGCTTTATGGCCAAATGGCAAATTGTTGATGATAAGGTAGGTTATATTGTATGGGTCCATCTGCCTTTTATAATTGCTTCAGAATAATCAGCTCTTTTTCGATTTATTTTTAACAGAAATTTATCTGGTTTTTTCAAATAAATTTTTTTTGAATTTCTGCTTTTTGATCATACAACAGAAAACAAATCCATTTAATGAAATCAGTTCAGTTATATCCAATGATTCTGTGGGAGCGTATAATTTTTATATTTACAGATTGATTGCCACAGAACATACACAGCCACAAGCGGTAGAATAATAATTCATGCTGAGACGGAGATGAAATTTGTGCAATGTGACTATCAAATTGCGGTAGGTCAATTGATGCCGTTTTTGAAGACTTGATTTTCATTTCAACAAACGTCAATACAAAAAATGTTCTTCTTTGGGATATGTATCTTCATAATTCGTAATTATAGTTGCAATCCTCGAAACGAATTCTTCTTCGGTTTGAAAATTTGTCAGCTCCTTGCGACGAAGGAACATTGATGCTAAGGTAGTGGAAGAATTTCATCAAATTTATCATTTTTGAAGACTGTTTTGAAAATTAGTGCTATAAATTTGTATGTCTTTTTTTACCTGAAAATTTTATTCCAAATCTGAAATAAATATCATTATTTAAGAAATGGAGTGAATGAACAATCTCCTGGGTTTGGTGGGCTTTTCCGAGATTCCGAAATATGTGATGATCATCCCGTTAGGGAACTGCGATCTCAAGGCAATCGTGTGTTTATGCGTTTAACGACGAGAAATGCACCTTCAGTGATGTTCACTATTTACTACCAGCAAATTGATTCTGGCTAGTCATTATTTTAATTTTTGACAAAAATTTAAAGTGCAGCAGCATTTTTATGATTTTTTCGCATTTTGGCTTGAACAAGCTCAGTTAAAGTATTTTATCTTTTGAAATAACAGGATCAGAAACTTTGCAGATTGTGGGGGACGTTTAGTCGGTTTCAATGGTGCCTTATCAGCCCCACAATATCCGTTGAAAGATTCGCGAACTCTGAATTGTGATTGGCACATTCATGTTGCAGCAGGTTCTAATATGCATAAAGGAAAAAATAATCTGAAATTTTATTCGAACATTTCAAAATTTTCGTATGTTTTACAGGTAATCGAGTGCGTTTCACGATTACAGTGCTTGATGATTTGAATTCAGCTGATTCCAATGGCTTTTGTTCTTCATTTGCACCAAATTATATTGATGTTTGTTGTACTTTTCGTTTCCAATATGGTGCTATATTGTGATAGAAAATTTCTGTAAATTTTATATATAGCTTGGTGAGAAGTAATTATTCTTTAAAAAAGGTCAAATCTGGAAACTTGATTTTATGCTAATTGATGATGGTACATTAAGGTTGCCGAAGGTTCCTCGGCATCTGCACGCATACTAAGGCGTTATTGCAAAAAAGAAATCTCGTTGTCATCTGTTGATTCTGAGAAGAACGAATTAACAATTCGATATCGTCAGCATGGTGGCACTCATTTTGGTTCACTTTTTGGGTTTCTCGCTCATTATACTACTGGTTAGGTTTCTAAATTCATTTATTAATTTCAGTTACATTGAAGCAACTTCAGTAGTTTTCATATAGTTGCAATCATTTTGCGCCGGTTCAAGGTATATCTGGAAATAATTTATGCCGATTGTTTTGAGAATACTTTTTAGTTTTCAGAGGTGTATTTATAAAATACAATAATGAGCAAAGTATTACTTTATGTGTTCATTATTAATTGTATAGCAATTAACTATCTGAATATTTCATATGATATTACAGTATGCAATCAAATTTTGTTGTTTGGTCAACATGGTATCCTTCAAAGTCCAGGTTATCCAGAACAAACTCTTGAAAATCGTTTCTGCAAATGGCGGATACAAACGACAAAAGGGAATCGGATACGACTGATGTTCCATTTTTTTAGGATTACAGAATCAAATGCTCGTTTTACATCAACTTGTCTTATCAATTATCTTGAAGTAAATTTTTCGTTCAGTTTCCAAAAATCTTTACTAAATTGGAACATTTATTTGTGCTGTTGGTTTAAATTTATTAAAGTATTTAGAAAGAATCAATGTTAGAATTTTTTACCAGTTTTGCTGAATAAGCGGACGACCAAATGCACTTGCTGAACAAGTTAATTGAATTTTTAAACTGTTTTTCTAGAATGTTTTCAAAAGTTCTTATTTGAGAAATTTGCTTTTTTAATCATTTTCTTTAGTTAGGAAATGTATTTCGGATCACCGTTTGACTTCACATTATCATTAAATGAGATCAAAACTTTTAAAGTGTTATGTAATTTAAAAGTTAATGTTGAAAATTTCAGTTATCATTTTTAGTTTGGTGAAAACCAGATACTAGAATCCTCAATAACAATTGGTGGTCAACAAAATCACACAAAAACAACGCGAAAATTCTGTGACCATATCGGCAAACCGGTTTGGATTTTAACCGAAAATGAAGTAGTTGATATTACATTTTCTTCAAAAACTGAACCCGAGAATCACTTCTGGCTTTCATGGTCAAATGAAGGTATCTTTAAATAATAATAATAATAATTAATAATTAATATCGTTTTATAATTGTTTTATAATTGGGATTTTAATTTTCCTTCAATTATATGTCAATTGTTTGTAATAATCAAAATGGCTTATCGACTATTAACATGTTGCTAACTATTAATGTACTAAGATATGGGAACAGTTTAAGTACTCGAAATAGGAAGATAAAAAACTGAAATAAAGCAAGAACTCAAAACAATTTGCAAAATTCTTTAGGTTGTGGTGGTGATATTACTTCACCAACAACTGTAATTGTTCATGTCGAAAAACTAGCAAATAATTCAAAAATCTATGAATGCATATGGAAAATAGTTGCACCGATCGGAATGCGAGTGCTGTTTTATATCAAGAAACTGTCAATATTTGAAATTGCTGAAGATTGTAATGAAAGTGATAGCGAAAATTTCAGCGGTCTTGCTGTAAGTACAGCCAATATTATGTTTTAATTAATCAGACAAGAAATAAGTCCAGAAAAGATGCTAGTTTGAGATAACCAAATAGAAGAATAAGGAAACGGGGGACAAAAGATGAGGAGTAGTAGGAAATGAACTTTTCGGTTCCTCATCAAGTTATAGCGAGGTATTTGAAGTTCCTGAGTTAATTTTTTTTTTCAGAATTCTTTAATTTTTGAAATTTACATCAATTTATAAAAGTGAGTTTTACTCGACATTCCAGTTTTACTCTGGTACAAGTAATGCAACTGGTTTTGCTCAAAAAGTTCTTTGTTCGAGCAGAGAGGAAGACAATTATACATCACATACAAATGAATTGTTTGTAAAATTCAAAATCCCTAGCAAATTAGCTAAACCAGATGGGAAAAAACGTATCATGACCGGAAAAGTATCGTTCATACCTGCAAAAACAGGTGATGAATGTGGAGCTGTCATCGAGAGTAAGAAATTTTTTATTATAATAATAACAATTGAGAAAAATTGATGTAATTCAGCAATTGTTATGCTCTGCAAATAAAGCATATGTACAACAGAGAACGATGTTTTTGGCAGTGCCAATTATCGTTATTGTTGACTTAATTTTTCAATTTTGAAATTGCTGTTTATCTTATCATAATCAAGAATTACTGAGGTGGCAAATCTCATTTCAATATTTGCAGTTGGGATAAGGCAATTAGTGTTAAAAGTATCATATAAAAAAGAAACAAGAAAACAAGTTTATAGTGGGATGGAACGAAACAATCCAATTACATTCACCAAATTATCCAAATCTTTATCCAAAATCGATTGAATGTATTTGGTTAATAAAAGCGCCAAGTGGCTACCTGATTCGGTTTAATTTGACACATTACACAGCCTTAAGTTACCACCCTCAACGACCTGATATAAAAACATGGCGTTCAAATTTTGCTACAAATGTTACGTAAGTTTTCCTTACAAAGGTATTTCAATGTCGATTTTTTTCATTATCAACTTTTATTCCTTCATCTTTACAAAATATTCCAAAAGATTTCATAATGTTTTTCATATTAATGTTGTTTCATATTGTTAATATGTCAAAATGTTTTCTTGACATGTCATTTTAGTTGAATATTTGGTTTCCTATTTAATTATTTTTGTTTATTTATTTGTGCTTATTTAGGTGCCAGAACTCTCAAAGTGTCCTTGAAGGATCAGTAACATTTTATAATGGCAATAATACGTATGCTTATTTTTACATATTTTCTCAAAATAAGTTTTGTTACTTACTAATTTGCAAATATCTGCAGTAAAAATTAAATTTAGTTTGTTTTTTACATTTTGTAAAAATTTTTACCATTTAAGATAAGTTTACAGTAATGTGGAAATATTGGAACGTTTCTGTCACAATTTGAAGCAACCGAAAATTGTTATATCAACAACCGAACAGGTTCAAGTTTCCACATATTATATTTTTGTATGCTGTTGAAATTTTTTATTGCAAAATAATTGTATTTATTGCATTTTAGGCACTAGTTACTTTCCAAGGCGGTCCTTATGAACGGGCTTATTTATCGGGGGACGATGAACGGGCTCACAATATCGGTTTTGTGTTGTACATATCTTTAGTATGTGGTGGTACACTATATGCCGGGAATGAACTCAAGACATTCCAGCTATATGTGGTCAAGGAGGACGAATGCAAATTTCTTATTAAAGCTGAAGGTTTTCAACGTTTGAAAAAATAAATCCAATGAGGTTATAACTCTAATTTTGTATAATATAGTATACTTTGAAGTAAAATTCTTTTTTTACAGATGGACAACGCATATATTTTCGTCTCGATCAGATACGTTTTAACATACATAGGGCTTCCAAAGTACGCAGTAAATCTAGCGCTACTGTTGTCATTTATGATGGCATGCAAGAGGACTCATCCACTCTCGGAATGTGATTTCTCTATTCTCTCGTTATTATTACAATTTTTATCATAAGCGGTTATAGTTCTTGATCATTAAAATAAGTATTTTAAGATTAGTACAATTGTAGAATAATAAATTTAACCATTTATTTTATTAAACAGAAAATTTGTCGTCGTAATTTTTCATAAGAAGACAACTTTATAATTAATACATATGGACAAGTTTTTGAAATTAAGCAGTTTATTACAGATAAGTGAAAAATCCATGAGAATGTTTTTCTTATTGATCCTATCGTAAATCAGCTCCCACTGGTGTTGCTAATTTGATCCTCATTACAAAAGGCCTTCTCTAATCTATGTCTTTAAATTATTTTTTTTAACATGCTGATGGACTTAATTGCTATAGATTACTAATATGATCTTAACCGCTCTGAAAATAAGAATACAACTTTAACCGAGAATGTTCTTGCTTTATGAAATTTGTTTTAAATTAATGTGAAAATTTTTTAAATGCTTCAAGGTATCATCTTGAGTGCAATCCTTCAAACTCGGAACAAATATCACGCGCGTGTGCTAATAGGGAATTACGCTCTACAGGCAGTGTTCTCAGCGTATATTTAAAAGGATTAAATACAATACATTTAGAGCATATTCACTTCTCATATTCAACTCAGATCGAAAGTTCGTTCCTTTTATTTTACATTTAATGAAACATTTGTTGTTTGTTGAAGATGCAACATAATTAAAAGATGTTGAGGTTGTGGTGGTACCATTCATTCTATCGCTGGAGTCATATATTATCCGTTCATTGAAAATGATTTTGAATGTGAATGGTTCATCAACAACACAGAAGGAAATAAAGTGGAACTCGAAATTTTGTATTTTTTTTCTTTTTCTCTTTAAACGTTAATATTTCCTCTATTGGATGTTTTTTTATGTTGTTTATCTCATCATATGTTTAGTTTTATCTTCAACAAATTGCGTAATTCTGGTTAAACAAGCTTTGAAGCTTGCAAATAAAAAAATAAGATAAGCAGAATGAGAATCAGATATTTTAAATAGCAAACTAGATTTTTGAACAATCCAAATTTAATTTTTCAGCAAGTTGAAATTACCTTTTTCGGAATATTGTGCAGAATCTTACTTGGAAGTTCGTGAGAGCAATAGCAGCGGGAAAATTGTGACAAGAGCTTGTTCTTTTGAAGATGTAATGCCAACGATGATTGTAAGTCAATTTGTCGAACTTTAGCATATTTTTTAAAAAATATGTTTCGCGTGAATTGTTTGAGAATAGCTTTAGTCGAAATCCTCGAAAAAAAGCTTTTAACTAATAGTACGGTTCAAAACATTTCACTTTAATACCATTCTTCACCAATGTTAAAAGTGTTCTGAGTTGGTTTATTGTCTACTGTACTCATTCTTTATCAGCAAACCTCAAATCATTTCAAAGTGATTTTCTGTCTCCTTTAATCCCTGCTGTTATAATATTATTTGGTTACCAGTGATTTAAAGTACCTCGATTATTATTCCTTGTTGAGCAGAGATATATCCAACTATAGAATCTCAAATTTCCTATTTTTTAACTAAAATGGAAAAGAAGTGAATGAATTTTTAATCTTATTTTACTCATCTGAAAAGCGTGACATCAAAGTAATGTATTTTTAGAGCCGAGCATTTTGGATAAGATTAAGATACAGTGGCAGTGAGGATGACAGCAGTGATATCGAGCCATTAAAACCTGAATTAATGATTAAATTTAAAAAGGGTCATGCTTTAATTTACATTTTGTTATTTCTGTCCCTAGAAAACTTTTAGAGTTTGTTTAGATAACTGTTTTCTGATACATTTTTTGTGCACTATCATGTGAAATCAATGGATCAGTTTAATAGTCCTTTTTTAATAGTATTGCTGGCATATCAAAAAATGATACTTCATCCAATTCGTAATAACTGTTGTAACTTAAAATGTATGCTACTATCGTTGTCAAAAAATGCTTATTAGTTTTACGCTTTGCGAATATGAATTTATTGGGTTTGTAGTTTTTGGCGGAATGACAAATGATGGAGTGGTAAGTTCACCTATAGCCGAAGATTGGCAATCGATGCACTTTACACCGGTTGAATGGACATTAATTGGTGAGGACGATCACTGGTTAAGAATTTCAATTAAAAGTATTGATATACCCGATGAACGAGATGAAAATAATCTTGATATCGAACAGAGGGATTCATTGAAAGGACTTGTTGTAAGTGATTTGATGTCCTCAACAAAGTTTACGGTTTCAGATATACAGTATTTCAGTTTCTCTTAATCATATGAGGTTTTTTGTCCCGGTGATGTTCACACTGATTTATTCCTTACTTTGTTCATGCTGACTATTAACGAATGAAAGAATATTACAGTTCAGTGAAGGGATTTGCACATTGAATGGTAAGAACGATGGATGTGGACGAGTGGAATTTGTTCATGCGGGGTACATACCACCAAATGGTATTGGCACAAATTTTTGTCGAAATTTCTCCATTTGAGGTCCTATTTAAATATTTGTTTTTTTGTAATAATTTTCAGATTTCTTCATTAAATCGAATTTGGCCACGGTCTTATTCAATGCTCCACCTGGAAGCTCATTTCGATTTGTTTGGGAAAATATTCCACTTACTATGGTTAATACTTCACTTCCAAAAGCAAACCAGGGAATTAATGAAGATTTTATGCGGGGTTAGTTTTTTAATTTTGAAATAATTTCATTTGATTTCTCGGTAGAGTACTAAGTCTTTTCATTCACTGGCTGATGTTTTAAACATTGTTATATATTTTAAATATACACTGGCACATGTTTTAAATATTCCTTTAAAAACTGCCGGAAGACTTTCAAAATATACTATTATAGAATTCACTTGCGGTGGCACCCTTACGGCAACATTTGATCCGCAATATCTTACAAATCCTGGTGGGATGTCTACAGATGGCAAATTCACAACCACCCTTCCACTTACATCAACTATAGAAGTATGGCGATCCATTAATATGTACCGTCTCTCGAGATGTTAGTTTGCTACAATTTTCAATTTCTACTCGTACTTTTCTATACAATTAAAAATCTTGGTATTATCTTTTGGATATTTACATTCTGTCAAAAAGTTTTGTGACAGATACAGTTTGTGATAGAATGTAAACATCACTAATTTGCGCGGTGAAACAATATGTTTATCATTGTCCTAATCTATTTCATGTCTTTTTCCAATTTTGTTATTCGAGATAGTTTTGTGCATCTCTTCTGATCATAAATTTACTTTCAACTAATATAGGGCGTGGGGGATACGGTAATAATTTAAAATGCCGATGGACGATAATTAGGCCAATGTTTGCTGGTGTCATGCTTAAAATAATTTCGATGGACCTTGAGGAACATATTGATTGTCGCTTTGACTATATTGCCATTTCATCAGATCTAAGCGGTGTTAGTTATGATGATGGACAACTTGTGTAAGTTTTGACATGATTTTAAAAACTTATTAAAAAATTCTTCGAGAATTTTATGCGATGATTTGCAGTGGCAATGTTGTCAAGTTTTGCAAACACAGAGATGTGGGAACGAAAGAGCTGTTCAGTTCGGAAGAAGCGGTAACAATCTTTTTCATGACAGATCGGAATAGAGGTGGTCGAGGATTTGTTATTGAATACAAATTGGGTAGGTTTGGTAGTGTCGAATTTCACTTTTACTCTGAAATATTATCACTACTTTTATAGATTTCATCGTTTCTTTCTGTATTTTTTGTTGCAGTTTTACAAACGAAATTAATTGTTTGAATTTTTATTGATTTTGAAATTCTTGTTGCCTAATTAGAATTATTTATGTGTTTCACAAACTGGATGTGTTTCAGTTTGTCAATCGTTTGATTACATACCAATATCTCTGGGTGTTTTTGATCAGACTATACAAAGTCCAAATTATCCAAATGAATACAATAACAATTTGTCATGCTCATGGTCAATTATGTTAGAAAGTAGTCGACCAATTTTGGCTAAATTTCTTACTATGGATATTGAGGAGAGTCCGTCATGTAAAAAGGATGGCATCACTGTGGTAAAATTTTTCTTTGTTCTGCTGAACTTCTCATTATAGTGAATTTAAAAGAAATTTTTTATAGTTTTTTATAGATATTTCCTCTTCCATCGATTTTTTCTAATTTCTATAGAAAATTAGATCTTTTTAGCACTCTAGTCCTATCTATTCGGACGGGAATGCCAATGATAGATTATGTGGCAGTCTTTCTGGATGGAATAAAACTTTTTCAAATGGAAGACTTTTTATTGGTTTCGCAACCGATTCAAATACTACGGGAAAAGTTGTTTATATTTGCTATTTTAAACTTTTACCAATTTCCTTTTGTAAGGGACAGAAGGATTTCTTTCGGTTAGAAATGATGGACAGAGGTTTCCCTCTACTCTGGCTTGCTTATATTCGCTTTTCGTCCTTTTGTATTTAGTTTTTCATTTAAAGTAATAAAAATATGTCTGCATTTCTAAATTATACTATAATTCAAAAATACAGGGCTTTCAATTGCAACTGAAGGAGCAAATTCATGACTGTAGTTCAGATAGACTTATTCTTACTGAAGGCGATCTTCCGAAAGTGCTCACTTCGCCAGGATTTCCAAAAAGTATGCATATATGTTCTTTTTCCGGTGTAGTGTACTATATCATTTTGAAAGTAAATCTTAATTCAAATTTAGAGCGGCATTGCCCATTTCTAAAAGTATTGTTAGAAAATGGTAAATGAATGTTTGAAAACTACTTTGCAGCATCACCGAATTCTTTGGACTGTATTTGGACAATCAGCGCACCGAGCGGACACCGCATAAAATTCACTGTTGATCCAATCAGTTTCAATCTTGAAGACAGTTCGGTGGAGGATGTGTATGTATATCGATCAAAAAATTTCTAAATTGATTTTAAATTTGATTAAAGTTGTTAACTAATATAGTCTCAAGACAGTGCTTTCAAAACTAATTCTAGAAACTAGTGTTTCGAGACGAGAAAAAGTGGAACTTAGAGAAGCAAAATGCGTATATTTCTCTTGCTTCAAAATTTATCAAATGATTGGTAAAATTATAGGTGTTCTGGTAATTACTTGGAGGTTCGGGATGGACCTTCAAAGTTATCACCGTTAGTTGGACGATACTGTGGAAAAGAACCACCAAGTACTATTTTCAGTACTGGATCCTATTTGAACATTCAGTATCAGACAGATTCATTCGTTCATTTTTCGGGTTGGAATGCTACTTATGAAATCGGTACAGTTTTTCAAAAACAAAGAATTTTATGAGGCACTCTTAGTGTTCATCAGGATCAGAATTTTACCGCTTATCTAGAAATTCAAAGTGAAAATTTTTAAGTAAGTGCTGAATTGAAACTTGAAAAGTACAATCTTTTTAATATTAGTTAACTTCACTACTTCACTAACTTTAATTTAATAATCACGAAGGTTGCGTTCGGCTTATTTCTTGTTTACATTACTTTCAGCATCATGTGGTGGTAGTGTAATTATTCCTATGAATGGAAATCGTGTGATTATTAGTCCAAATTATCCCGAACCTTATCCAAGCCAAGCTACTTGTGATTGGACGGTTGTAGCCCCTCGAGGACACTACGTCAATGCAACGTAACAATTTAAACATTGATTTAACTGCTTTAATGTTGTAAGGGCCATCAGATCATAATTTATGAATGAAGTCATCGTTATTTAATCTATAGGTTCGATCATTTATGGATTTTATTTACTGAAAATTGCACAGAGGACAGTGTTGCTCTACGAGAACGTGGTAATCTTGCTGTTCTTATCTTTATTTGAATTAAAGATTAATTAGATTTAAATTTTCTTGTCTTTTTTTCTAACCGCAGTTATTTTAAAATAAAAAATTAATAGACAGGATCCAGACATCTTTAGGTGAATACATTCTGAAACCAGTGTGTGTATTCAACGCAGTACGTGGTAAACATTTTACGTCATCTCAAAATATTATGGTTGTTTCATTCCGATCAAATAATACTGTGGGTCGATCGAATCGCTTGTTTTGCTTGGAAAAGAAATGTGGTTTCCATCTCAGTTTAGTCCCCAGCAAAATAGGTACTAGTTTTATTTACATTAATCTTTAATTGTATCAATATCGAACATTAATTATGAAGTTCTATTACAGAATGTGGAGGAGATGTAAATGATGACTCTGGTTATATTACCGCTCCGGGTTATCCGAATCAGCTCCAGACACATATAATGTGTGACTGGACATTTCGAGCAGGAATAGGCTTCCGCTATGTTTTTGATTTCGCATTCGTGAAACATGAGGTGAATTTTTAATTGATTTTTAATTTGGTCGAACTTCGGCATTCAGATTTTTTTAAGAAAAATAAGCTTATTTTGCAAAACGATTTTTCTTTTATAATCTTTCAGAAACTATAAGCAGATGATAGTTTATTTAATTATTTGATCTATATTGCCGTATCTATCACTTGTTTTTTTCATTTTTTTTTTCCATTTTGTGATTTACCAAGAATAAAGGATAAAGTCATCTGCTTCAAATTTATGATTTAAACAAGTATTCCAGTTCACTGTATTTTTTAAGAATTTCTATCAGACCAAATACAACGAAGTTGGCTGTTATCCGGATATTTATATCGCTAATGGTCTGAACAGGCCAGTGGATTACTATGGTTTTGTGGATCATATTTTTTGTTTTAATGAAACCCAGTTTGTTTCGACGGCGGATTTAATCACAATTCGTTATGATGATCGAGCTGCTATGTACGAAAAACAAAATATGAAGGAACGTGGAATACCGTCGGAGAAAGTTTATGCTCCATTTCGAATTACCTACTTAAAGGTACTGTTCTATTACTAACTATGCAATCGTATATATAAATTAATTGCATTAGTTATTAAAAATTAATTGATGAGTCTAAACCTTTTCGATTTCGACTGGTCTGCAATATGCAATATTCAGTGCCTTCTGAACATCTTAAACTTTTAAAATTAATGCTTTCGTTTTCTGAATCCATCAACTTCGAGCCCCTGCTACATCATTGATTTTGTTGAAATATAAGTGACAGTCAATTATTGAACAAATAAACCCAATGAAATATTATTATCCAATGAAAGAAATATTGTGTTTTGTGGATTTTTATAAACAAGCTGGTTATGCACAGGAACTTAAATTTTGCTGTGTTTTCGAATTTTTATTAAGTAATTTCACTTTCAGGTACCAGCTGAATTCGACGAAAACGCATGTATGTATCATGTGAGACGGAATAAAACAATTGAACTGAAAAGTGTAGACGTTTCGAGATATTCCGTCGCCACATCACCTGATATTGGTCTTTATTTTTTCATTCAAAATATCGGACTACTTCATTTTGTCACGCTATTCAGATGTTCTGATGACTACTTTGTTTCGTTGGAAGGGTAGAAATTTTTTAAAATGATTTCTTTAAAGATCACGAAATTGAGTTTGATTTTTATATTAAAAGGAAAATTCCTTATCATTAATTTCAGATTACTGTCACTTACTCATAGAACGACAATTTGTAGCAGGCACTACAGTGTTACGTTTCAAAAATTTTTCCTCCTCTGAAAATTCATTTTGGAAACCTAATAGTAGATGCTTGGACACTGAAAGCTATGTACTTGTAACAGGTGATTAACTTGCTAATCTTAGTTATATTTTGCTCTACATGATTCAGTCGTTATTCGCCGTAATTTACTGTTTTGAAATTGCTTAGAAGTTTGTGGGTTTAATGTTTTTACCTAAATATTAATAGCATTTTATATAATGCAGTACTCTAAGTTTATAAAAAATAAGATTAAAGAAATATTTCAGCGCTTGGTAATGAACCATGGCCTTTCGAAGCACGCTTTTGCGATGGATCCTTTAAAAAAACTGCTAATTTCACAGTGGCATTACCACATAGAAGTTTCGATATTCATGTTTTCCAAAAATTGCATTTGTCATCAATCTCTTTCAATCTCACCGTCCAGTTCTTACGTAACTTTTGATGCATTGAAATGATCAATTAATTTTATCATTATCAATGGCACAAAATCTCTTCTTTTCATATGATGTGCCACCGTTGCTTCACAATTTAAAAAAAATATTACAGCTTGTGGTGGTTTGATTCAAGGCCCAGAATCGGGTATTTTAACAAGTCCTGGTTTTTATGGAAAGGAAAACAGCACTTACGAACCTGATACTCAGTGCGTTTGGAGTTTGAAAGCTCCTGAAGGACAAATTGTTAAGGTTCGACTTTAACATTTGTGGAAAAAAGCTGATATTTTACGTGGCAACTTAAGTTGATTATAATGAAGTATGCGGAAATATACTAACAGCAGAAAAAGTATGAATAGCTTAGACTTAATTTAGATCTTTTAATAATTTTGGCCTTATCGCGGGAATATAGCTCAGTTTTCTAGTTTTCAGGTTTTTATAAGGCATTGGGAAACTGTTTGATAAGTTAAAATCAGATATGTTTTTAGATTAAAATAACTGATATGGATTTGGAATATAATGTAGAATGCAAGCACGATTTCTTGAAATTATTTGAAGGTAATTGTGATATTTTAATAAAGAAGAAGGTTTTTTTTATCATTTTCTTCATCAAAAGCTGAAATTTATTGCCTTGTTGTGCACAATAAAACAAAACACATCTTCTGAGCATGAAAGTGAGTTCTTATTTTAGGAGGTGGTACTGATGCATCATTAGTGCATGTGTACTGCAATAATCCACAAGATGAACCAATACAAGATCGATTCAGAGAAGTGAAATCAAGAGGACGCTACCTAACACTTTATTTTTTCACGGATATGTCTATTGAGCGCAGAGGATTTCGTTTAGAATACAGTTTTTCTGGCTTTGAGGATGGTAGGTTTATTTTGTGTTACACACATTTTTTTTTGTCTGCTTGTAAACTACTATTTTACAGAATGTGGATTTACAACAAACCGCATGACAGGTACTGTGATAAGCCCAAGAAATCCACAGGATTACCCTAATCATATATACTGTTTGTGGGATATTTCGGTACCGTTTGGCTACCATGTGGCACTGTACTTCCATCGTTTTGACGTACAACAATCAGATGATTGCAGCAAAGATTACGTTAAGGTTGTTATTTTAAAGCTTAAAATTTCATCAGTTTATTTCTGTCCAGGTTTTGTAAAGTGAAACATATTAATCTCAATCATAACTTGAGACAAGGTGCTTTCGGTTATGAAACTGTGACACTATTTCTCTGTCCGAGATTTTCTTCACAAAGATTCATTATCATTTTATTGTCGGATTTTTCCTCAATACAAAATGAAGAGCTATGATAAAGCATAGCATTACTTCAGTTTCATTTTACTTAATCATAAATCATAATATTTATATTATCCAAATCTTTTATTTTGAATTGACAGTTACAATAACTTCAGTTTACAACCTTTAGTTTTTTTATGAAATTTAAATATTTTACCTTAGATAAGCCAGGAACATCACTCAAGGGCTATAGCACCAGTTGGAGGATATTACTTCATGTTTGATCATGAAGAAGAGCTAAAGAAGATTTGTGGATACGAAACACCTCCTGTATTTCATTCAGAAAGTAATCGTATCAAAATCGAATTTAAATCGGATGGCAAAATAACAGGAAAAGGATTCAACATAACATGGAAATCAGGTTCTGGAACCGTTTCACTTTTTTTTTTTTCAATAATGATGCCAGATTAGGAAACTGTATATGAAAGATGAAGGAATTTGCCTTTTACTACCCCAAATGTGGGATCACTGTAAAATATCAGTCAATTATTTCTGTATAATTATGTAGAGTATAAGAATAAGTGAAAATGGAAAAGAAAAGCAAATGAAATATTAAATTTAAGTTTCGATTGTGAGCACATCTTTTACTTATTATACATCTCTTTACTTACATCAATCAAATATATGCATTAATAAATAACTTTTGTTGCTTATCTGTTATCATCACATTATTGTGATTGAATATTTTAGAGTGTGGTACTACTTTTCGATTGAATCATGGTGTGGTTACATCACCCCATTACCCGCGTTTTTACCCAAATGAAGACATGGAATGTGATTATTTAATAGAGCCGGAATACGATGGTACACTTATAATCACATTAAGGATTCTTGACCTGGAGCTTGATCCTTATATTTGTGAGCTCATTCTATTTTATTTCAAAGTTTATTGCAAAATTTTTCTTTTTTTCCACGCCAACTATCAGTTTTGACAGTGTTATTTGCTCTCCATCAAATTATTTGATACTTCCGGAAAGTCTTATTTTATTGTACAAAAAAAACCTTATTTCAATATTCAGTATTCAGTGTTATTTAAATTTTTTGAATTATCTCAATATTCAGTATATATTGTGCATATAGGTACATGCGTGTTGTGACTGCTGTTTCCCCTTAATCATAGTATCGAGAAGGCTTTCAGTTGATAAATCAATTGTTAAAAAGTGAAACTTAGGAAATATGTTTATTATCTGACATAGCCAGACATAATAGTAGACTTATAAGTAGACTAAAAATTCTTGACTGGGAATAGTACAAATAGTCAATACATGCTTGTATTGAAAATTTTTGTCATACTATAGTCCTATTTTACTTTGAACTTAAAAATTTCAGACGATTACAGTCGACAGCCATGCAATACAGATTTCTTGGAGCTAAGAGATATTTCAGCAAAACGTGTTATTGATACATTTTGTGCTAATAGTGATATAAGCAGTGAAATAGCACCCATATCTGTTAAAGTAAGCTCGACTTCTTTGTTGAAAGCGTATATTTAGCATCACTATAAAATAGTAAAAGAATGTGTAAAAATTCAATGAAATAAATTTTTTGAATGAAATACGAGAAATTCTTCAGCTACTTTTCATGTAAATTTTTTCACTTATAATATGTTTAGAACATGTTTGAAACTTTTTTGATCAACTGTTGAGCTTTTTGATAAAAAGTAAAGAAATTTCAGGGACCAGTAGGTGTTCGTTTCGTGTCAAATACATCAGTGTTTGAGGATCTTCTTAATCGTCGTAAACATCGCCGTGGTTTCAAAATATCATATGCTTTGTCAAGTAAATAATTCCATTATTTCAAAAAATGAGTTGATTATTTTAAAACACAAGTATTGCTTCTTACTAATGTTTCAACCGCATCAAAAAGGTCAGAGGATATTGATATTTTAAAAAATATGTTATTATCTTTACTTTTTATTTTACGAATCAGTTCGATTTACTTTATAGAATGCGGCGGCGAAATTAACTTTAAAGAAGAAAAAGAACTGATGTCAGTAGTTATTTCGTCGCCTGGTTTCCCTTTGCCATATCATCATAATCTCGACTGTGTTTGGAACATATCTGCTCCTGAAAAAAGGGTTATTAGCATTAAGTAAGTTTTATTTAGAAAATTCTTTCTACTTAGTCTATAAGTTATTAGTTTGTTGAGCAACTTCTGACACATTAACAAAGTCATATAGGATTATTTTATTTGCAATTTTCTCAAGTGAAAGAGACAATAGCATCCGCTAACTTCTGTTAATGAGCAAATATCGTTATGGAATTTTGGCTGCTTAATAAATTTCACTTAAATTCGCTAAATCATGCTTTTGACAGTTAATCTACCATACAGATGAAGTGACACATAGCCTTTAGACACACACATTTGGATTTGGAAGAATCATCTGACTGTTTATTTGATTTTGTGGAGTTCTTCGATGGTTCACAAATTAGCAATGCAACTAGCATGGGTAAATTCTGTGGCGCAGTCGTCCCTTCCAGTCAACTGTCAACAACTGGTCGATTCCTGGTTGTAAGATTTTATTCGGATAGAAGTGCTAATAGAGGAGGATTCAGAATTATTGCAACTGCATCTCTTGGTGTGTTTCTTCTCTCTGTCTTTATTTTTTTGGCAACTGAATTACTTCAGTGAGACAATTATTTGGTGCAAAACAGTTACTTTAAAACAAGGTGTATTCTATGTATATAGAATATTGGTTGGGGAAAGGAAAGTAGTGAATTGAGACAATACAAATTCTTTTTTAAAGAAGAATGATTATTTTTTTATCATAATTTTTTTCTTATTATATTAGAAGAACGATTATTTTTACTATTTTATTATAGTGATTTCTTGCATATGTTATTAGATTCTGGATTGACTGTCACCGAAAATGTTTAACCAGTTATTTTCTAGTTATATTTTAGAACTCTGTGTATTTAAAATGTAGGTATTTCTACTTCTGGATTTATATAGAAATTTCTGTTAGTTTAGGTCCAGATGGAGGATGTGGTGGAGAGATCAATGTTAATAATAGTTATGAGCTCATAGCACCTCTGAATCCAAAAACAGGCCAGTATTACAATTTTTTACGCTGTGGTTGGACACTGAAGGCACCGACAGGAAAAATTCTGGAAATGCGACTAAAAGATTTAGAATTGGAAGCGCCTGATGCGGAAACAGGACGTTGCTATGATTACATTGCGGTATAAATATTTGTTATAAATGCCTTAAAAGTTATAGTATCACTCTACTTGATCCTCATCTAGATTCGCTATCACAGTTTTAAAAATAATCTCAAAATTTTCAGGTTTATGACGGTTATAAGACGATTTCCCCTATGCTACTATCAAACACATGCAAAATTGTAGAACAACTTCCTTTGATTATGAAAAGCTCTTATCGTGTCCTGCACATTTATTTCGAGTCAGATTCCGACAAAACATTCAAAGGATTTACGATGGAATTCAAAACTATTACAGGTATGTTTTTGAGTTCTCGAAAAACATATCGCCAATATTTTGCTTTATTTTAAAATCATTGTTCTTCCATTTCGTTCATCCATATTAAAAAAGAAGTATTATTTACAACAATGTTGAACTTACTATGTTTTACATTTGTGGAGTTTTTAAATGACCAGTTGTATTACAGTTTTTGATTACAGGTGAAATTCTATTTTTTTGATTTCACCTATTAATTCAAGAAAATTGAGAAATGCAATCATTATAGCACCATGTGGAGGTCGAAGAACTGCTGCCACTGAGCCTTCTGAACTTCAATATGAAAGTGAAAAAAGTAAGATATATGTGTTGTTACATTACTGTAATTACTTTACATTACTTTTTTCGGCTTTTTAATAGGTATTTGGTACTTTTTAAAGATTTCGATTACTGTTCAATGAGAAATGAGTGATTTAAGGTATTAAGGATTGTTTGAATCTTGTGGTACTTTTTTTTCATTTTCGAGATACTAATTCGAGATACTAAAATTTCGTTTTTTTTTTTTTTTTTCATTTTTTTTTTTCAAATTTCGTTTTTTTTTTTTTTTTTTTTTTTTTTTTTCATTTTTTTTTCACTTTTTTTTTTTCATTTTCGAGATACTAATTCGAGATAAAAAATATAATTCGAGATACTAAAAATAATAGGCAAAATATGTTTGAATTTATAAAAGCGAACATTTATATCAAGACAGCATTAACCTGAGACCATGCAATTCTGTAGTTTACCGCTTTTACAAATTTCAGTGCTTACACGAATATTCCCTAAACATCAGCGTTGTCGTTGGATAATTTATTCAAAAGAGCGAATGCCCCTACGAGTTGAATTTAGGTTCAATATTTTGTAATATTTCTGTAAACTTTGATAATTTTTTAAATTCGCTGTTTCCAAAAAAATTTTGAATATTGGATTTCATTTTTTTCTTTACATGCTTAATATGGTTTATTATTCTTTAGCCAGTTCTCATTTCCTTCTCTAACGCCCGATTGTACCGACGAATACATGGAAATACGTGATGCTGGCACACCTGCTGATTGTCATCATCCTGCTTGTCGTGACACTAGTAATGGACTACAGATTGTTAGACTTTGTGGTAGTACGCTTCCGGCTGATTTCATTTCAGGGACAAGTGTTATTCAGGTAAAAACATTTGATCACTTGAAAAAGAAGTGACGATACTATCTATAGCTTTTATAATGGCACCTTTGAGTACAATGAAAGTTCTTATTGTCATGGTTAATTATAGCATGCCAATTAGATATTATAATTTTTTTTTTCAAAATCTTTTGTTAAGGAAAATATTTTGTAAGTTCAGATAACAATATCGGCAATTCTGCAGAGCGAGCATACCGCCAGATTTCGCCTCTCTTATCAAACGCTTAATTGTTAGTCCTTGTGCCAGCTTTGGTTGCAAAATCTACCTAAAATTTTATTTGTGAATCTCGAAAATTCCCAAGAATGTTTTCAACTGACATCATAATAGGACATTGTTTGTTTATTTAAGAAAGCATATTAAGAGAAAGGAAAAGAGAGAGAAATGAAAGACAAAAGTATTTTTCAAGAGTCGTTTATTTTAATATGTGTTACATGATTGTAAACTAATTTTTGCAGCATGTAATCGAGTAATCGCCACCCAACAATCGATGACCGGTCATATAACAAGTCCAAATTATCCAAATCCTTACGACCATAATAGCTCCTGCTATACTACCTTAACGGCTTTAACCGGTTATCAGATATTTTTGGTTTTTAAGGATTTCAAGCTGGAAAAAGTTCGCCGATCGTTTAATGGTCAACTGTCTACTTCTATCCGGGAAATGTTTGTCTTTGCTTGCTTCCAATCATGTTATTTCGTATTATTATTTATTTTAGTGCAAAATTAAATTTTCAATAGATTTTGCTAATACATCTCCATCAGGTATATAAACATTCGTAATTATTCATGGAATTGGTAAAAAATTGTTCAGGTTAACCGGTGAAAGAAATTTTGGACCGTTTCAAAATGTAATTGATCAGTATAGTGGCCTTTACAGGAATGAATTCTGTGAATATGACTATGTCGAGGTGAAATACTGCTACTTCCCAATATTTTGACCTGAAGCAAATATATCAGTTCATAATTACAACTCACAGAAGCCAGTAGACTAAAAGTTCCACCTTTATTTCTAGACCACAGAATTTGACGAATTAAAATTGATTACGAAAATTGATTTCACCGCGACGTTTTTTCGTAATGAGTCTGAATATTTTCTAGAAGCTTTTGTGTTCATGATCCATTAAAGTATTATATTGGTTTCCTAATACAGATAATTGATTCCTTCGAAAATCGAACAGAACGATATTGCGATTATAAACTCCCGCCCAGCTTTCTCAGCTCTAGTAACACATTAGAAATTTATTTCAAAAGTGATAGTACAATGGCACCTGGAGGATATGATGCCTATTATTATACTGTTCGACCATCAGGTTCGAGTTGTGAATTTTATGTTTTAATTGCCACGCAGAATAACACATTTCAAATTCCACTATTAAATTCAAGCTTGAATTATAATCAACAACTTTTGTAGACAGTCTGTCATTTGTGTACTACGATTTTGGTATCATAAGTGAGCCTCAAGGTGCAATAACAAATGTTGGCTATCCAGGATATAAGAATCGACAGAGGATGAGGTATTTTATAAATCTTCAAATAGCCTGCAGATGTGGTGAGTAGAGAATTTCCTCACAAGTATAGGCTTCTTGATTTTCTTCCGTTTTTTTTTTTTTTTTAGTAATCTCAACGTTGAATTCCACTTTTTGTAATGATTTTAACAATCTAAATAAGTTTATAAGTATTTATAAGGACTTCTTATATATAAGTAGTTATAAATAATCATATGAGTTTATAAGCAATCATGAGGACTAAATAAGTAATTTAATTCCCCCATCATCATATGCATAAATTGTAACGTAACTGGATTGAAATAGTTCTTCGAGATCTTGTGTTCCGCAATATCTGATGAATAGTTGCGTCACAAATAGGGGAATGCTCCGTTACTTGCTTGCACTTTGTTAATAATATTGCTGAACTGATCGTATGCTACTGTCTTTGAAAAACAATATTACAGATGGAGGATTGATCCACCGAATGGCCACAAATGTAAATTAATTCTATTAACGATGGATTTTGGAAAAAACATTAATGGTGAATGCACTGAAGGTGATCATCTAGTGCTGGGTGAGATCGGAGCTGAAGGATCCGAAAATATACCGCTCAGTTATCTTCCATGCAGAGATGCTGTAAGATTTTGTTGTTTAATAATCGCCATTTACGTTTTTATAGTGTATTTCTTCATGTTTGACTTAATATTTTGCACATTTAAATTAAAACTTAAAGTTTAAAAATTGCAAAGCCTTCCCATTTGTTATATGCAGTATAATAGAAACGAGAGGGAAATTAAATTAGACGCAAGAGGGAAGAAGGGATCAGTGAGTGGTATTATGCAAAGTTAAAGAAGGAAATTATATTATGGAAGTTCAATGAGCTTGCTCTCTAATATCAAAATAAATTAAAATTAGTGAAAATATGAAGATATTTTATATTCAAGTGATGTTTCTTCCAGGTGACTTTGCCGAAAGAGATACCTGTTGAGCCGGGTACTTCAACTCTTCTTGAATTTTATACCGATGATGATACAGCGGATAATGGTGATGGATTCAGGGTCGAGTGGATTTGCGAGAATTATTACATTATGCAAGTGTGATTTTAATATTTGTTGTTGTGATGTCATGTTGACTCCTCAATGATAGATAGACATAATATTGTCAAATTCAAATGTTGTCCAATTTACTGTTCTTGCATACCTTTTAAACTATTCGTGTAAAAATATCAAAGTGCACATTGCAAAAACTATTCTTATGAAAATATTAAAGTGCACACATTGATAGTAAATTACAGTTATACAATCGAGCAAACTGGAACTGAAAACCAAACAATAAAACAAGAACAGAGAACTAACAAAAACTCATTCCAGTTGTCTGTGGACGGAATAACTTAACAGCTAGTGGTACCACGGCTTTTTGATACGTCTAAGGGATCAAGTAGTATTCCAACTTTCTCCCCTCAAGATTATGATTAAGACAAAGCGAAAATGCACCAAAGCTCAATAAAAGATGAATGTGGTCAATCTGCTATAAAAGAAACATATGTTTTACAACATACAGAAATATTAAAATCCTACTCCAAAAATAAGCCAACCGACCAAGAGCCCGAAGGTACTAAATTGAGCCAAAAGATATCGTTGAGATCTGTTTGCATAGCGGGCAGGTGATAGTGACGCAAGGATGCATCTCTTCCAGTATCAAAATTTTCACTTTTCAGCTCTCAAATCATTTTATGTACATTTTTGTTCAGTTTTTATCTGACCAATTTCTTTATTCGTTTTTTGATAGCAAAACTGAAATACTAAATAAATAGGTCTTCTTTTGAACTTCTATTTGTATTGTTTTGGATGACTTGACTTCACTATTAATCCATAATTCGTGGATTTCTAAAAATTTAATTTGTCTATTCATAACAATTATGACAGTTTCATAATTGTGTCATTATCTTGGCAATATCATAGCCAGTCGGTAATTTTTCTATAATGAATGATTGTGTCAAGTTTTTCTTTTCATGAAAGATAAAAATTTTCAGAACTTTGATAGTAATATGCTCCGATCTCAAAAATTGCATCCTATTTAATTTTGTCAGTATTTGCAAATAGCTGCAATTAAGTAGTTGGTTTGAAAATGAGTTGAATAAGAACAAAAAGGAGTGATCCTTTTGATGCTTATTGTTCATGGCATCAAATTGCAGAAAATTATTTTTATTACTTCATTTTCACTGTAAAGCATTGTTTGACTTTTCTGGGAGGCATTCGGTTGTTCGCATATTGAAAAAAAAAAAGAATGCTTGAGTTGATTGTATCATGAGTTAAAAATGTGCTTTACAGTGATGTGTTAGTGTTAAGCTAAATGGTTTTTATCATTCTTTTCGATTTTATCCGAATGTCGCTGATATTTAGTTAATGGTTCGCGATTTATTGTGCTTTTGTCGCTTTTGCATAGTGTTATTTGCTGCAGTTAATTTTTAGATTGTTGGAAGACAAGAATTACTGATTTATTTTAATGACTAATATTAATCTTTGAAGATGTCATTCCCGCAAAATACGTCAAATGCAGTACTCGTTGATTTTTTGAAAAGTAAGCGTCAAATAATAAGTAACGTATATTTAATAGTGCTAGCAGTTGTGATAATATGAGGATCGAGCTTCTAGATTAATCTGGTGGTTAATATGGTGAATATTCCCTACATTATCTAATTTACGTCTGACTATATATATATAATAATAATAATAATAATATAATATAGTCCAGTATATAACATATATAATATAATATTATATAATATAATATAACAGCCGTATTTGTATGATATGAGCTTTGATTAAAATTTTTTTTGGCATATACTACTGAGCATTTATTGACCAATATTACTGAAGAGATGATTCTTTATCTTTTTAGAAGTGGGGCATATCAAAAACGATAGAGTGGAGCAGGTCATGCTGAGCGTTGATCGGGCTGATTTTTGTCCACAGAATTCGTATCAGGATTGCCCCCAACAGATTGGATACAGTGCAACTATTAGCGCTCCCCATATAGTAATTATTCTCTTCTATGTACACTTTCGTTTTGCTAGATTTATAGTTCATTATTACTTAAAAGAATAAATATTGGTAATATACCGTAATTTCATAATGTGCCATTAGTTCAGCTATGAAATGGTGAGATTTATTGATCACTGGGTCTGCATCTTTTTTCTATTTCAGTTTCCCTTTGCACTATTGAAGTGTTACAATATGAAAACTTTTTCAAATTATTTTTCCTTTTGTAGTTTTCAGCACGCTTTAGCTTTAGAACTTTTGAATGATCACTTGAGGGATGATCACACAGTACTGGATATTGGCTCCGGTTCCGGCTACTTGACGGTTTGCATGGCACTTATGGTAAGTGTTATCGTTTTTTACAATAAGAAATTCAAATATAAAAAACATGTAACTTTAATTTTGTGAAATTCAGTTTACTACTCGAAGCAAATTAGGTACCTGTCCGCAAAACCCTAAAGTTTCATGAATTTTGCTGTGAAATGCTTAGTACTATGAATTATTGTAAGTTTCTGTTTGTTATTACTTTTTTACACATATGCTCAATCGATTTTGAGGTTGGTAGAAAAGGAAGAGTGATTGGCATTGATCACATCAAGGAACTTATAGATCTTTCGATCAGTAACATTAATAAGCACCATAGCGATCTGCTTATGGATGGACGAATAACAATGGTTACAGGCGATGGTCGTAATGGATACAGAGCTGGTGCTCCATATATGGCTATTCATGTTGGTGCTGCTGCACCGAAACTTCCCGATATAGTAAGTTGATTATGATATATGCAGTTTAATACGAAATTCGCTTTGGTTTATTTTGTCACCAGACTCATTTTTAAAGGAAAATATTGTTCGTATTTGATGATGTAATTATTTTTAATTGTAACAAAATTGATTGGCTTGAAGATTCTCATATTGAGAGATCCGCATATAATATGCATAACTGTTTTCAATGTATCAGAAGCTCAAGCACACAAGAATACACTGCTTCATGTTAAGCAAGATGGTTCATTCTAGTTACCTTTGATTATTTCAAATCTACCAACAAAAACTGAAAGATTTGGAACTTTCAGTTGGTGGAACAGCTTGCTCCAGGTGGTCGGATGATCATTCCAGTAGGTGAAGTTTTCAGTGATCAGCATTTTGTTCAGGTTGATAAAGATTTAAATGGTAATGTAAAAATTGAAGAATTATTTGATGTTCTATTTGTCCCTCTTACAGACAGAAAATATCAACTTGGCCATTTAAATTAGATAACTTCCTTTATAAGTTTGATTAACAATGTGTGTTCCGTATAGATGGATTAATTGGATTGTAATTATTAAATAAAAGCCTTTGTCGACTCATTAGATTTTTTGAGGAGGCAACCAGGCTCTATCAAGTCATCTTCTATTATATTAAGTTGTATGTTCCATGACTTCTTACTTCTTAAGATTACATCCTAATTCATTTATCTTTTCAGCTTTGTTTTCATCTAATTCTTCAACCTTTCAGCTCAATGATTTCCTTAATTAAATTATTGTGTGTATTGATGTGCTGGTGTAGCGATCTTTCATTACTTGTACTTAAATATTTTTATAATGAACCCGATCGGCTTTTATGAAACTATAATTAAAAACTGATGAATCTTCAAAGTGGTGTTTAATTTCCGTTAACCGCGAATAAATCCTATGCTCTTCTCTTTTTAAGTGTTGTAAGCATGTTTTCGCTGCCGTTTCTGAAGACACTGACTATTTCGCAAATGTTCTTACTACAGTTTCTCAAAGATCATTTCACTTTATCAAATGTTAGAAAATGAAGTTCTCAGATTTTCTTTCTCTCCAGATGACTAAGTTGTCGATACAGATGTTTTACTTATAAGCAGTTACATATTCGAAATTGAGATGAAAATTGAAACGAAATTGAAATGTAAAGTATTTCCCAGTTAGGAGATTTATGTTAGGTAGAAACTTGGAGGAGTCAGTTTTGTGAGGCATCATGGACTAAGCTTTCGGTTGATACAAAGTAACTATTAACAGAAGAGGAATGATAGTGATCCATGCGAAGTCTTTTTTTTATAGTCTGTTGTGAGACGAATCTGTGAAGAGCAGAGATTGAACAATATTGGCACTGTTTTTGAAAAGAAGTATGGCATGGCGTTCGCACGGTGAATCAAATGCCTCACTGGTAGAGAATTTACGTAGTTAGTTGTTTGAAGTTTTTTTTGAAATGAAATTCGAGAAATTAAGAGTTATATTGACTAGTTATTAACTTTTCGCTGTTTGTTCTGAACATTTGTGATGCCATCTGCATTGCGTATGAAACTTTTATTTGAACCATTTTTGATCTATTATTCAAGGTTGTCACGAAACACGGTACTTTTGCTTCACTGATTCACATGAAGCTGTTAGATTTCGAAACTGAGATGTGAAGGGATTTGGTCATTACAAGGAGATCTGAGTTAAAATGAAGTATAGAAACTACTGCAAACAAATTACAACAAATGTATTTTCAGGGAATGGCTTATTCAAAGATGAGCGAGTTAAAATGACCATGTTGAGAGTTGATCGAGCTGATTTTTGTCCTCGAAATCCGTATCTGGACAATCCGGAACCAATCGGTTGTAATGCAACAATAAGTGCTCCTCATATGGTTGGTTTATCTTTTATCAGGTATCAGATGAATTGTAATAGAAGATAAAATAAGTCATACTATAATAAGAGTCCATAGTTTCTCATAAATGAGGGATCATAGTCATTTGTTGAAATAGCCATTATAAGCAAATGATAAAAACCAAATTAGTGCTTAGACAATTTATGTTGTGCTTATTCTCTGATATATTAATCCTTTCTTTACTTTACTGCTTACTGAAATCACTTAATATATTAGTATGTGTTTCAGCATGCTGCTGCGCTTGAACGACTCAAAGATCATTTGACAGAAGGTGATAAAGCACTTGATATTGGTTCCGGTTCTGGTTATCTAACAACATGCATGGCATACATGGTGATGATGTTAATGCGCTTTGAAGTTTCTAGTTATTAGGATGAATATTTTGATTTAGATTTTACGAATTTGTTGGTACTTATCATTTCTTAGATAGGCAAATATGTAATCATTGTTGTTGTGTTATCATCACTTTTTTTAAGTCTTGGCTTTATAACTAGGCTAGAAAAATTCGGTATCTGATAAACTGTATAATGTTTCTTTCCAGGTTGGTGCAAGTGGTAAAGTCGTTGGAGTGGAACACATTAGACAGCTAGTGGATTTATCAATCACAAATATTAAAAAAAATCACGCGAATCTTCTGGAAGGAAGAGTACTAATCGTTGAAGGGGATGGGCGCAAAGGCTATCCTCAGTACGCACCTTATAAGGCAATTCATGTCGGAGCTGCGGCACCAAATGTTCCTGATGAGGTTTTTTTACATCTCGCGTGACTTGGCAATTTATCTAAATAATAAAGCATTACTTTATTTGGTTCCATATTTCTGCTTTTACTTCTTTTTTAAATGGTTGTATTGGCTTAACCAAGGTAGCTGACTTACCAACTAATTAGCATAACTTTTCACCGATACTTTTTTGTTACTAATGGAGATTTCATTTCAGTTATTGAGTCAGTTAGCTGCAGGAGGACGAATGTTGATACCGGTTGGTGCAGCACATAGTGATCAGCGCTTTTTACAAGTGGATAAAGACGGTAAAGGTAAAGTTACGGTGAACGATCTGATGGGTGTAATTTATGTGCCGCTCACTAACAAAGAGAACCAAATTGGACGGGATCAATAACAAATTCTTTTTTTAGTCCGTAGTTTAGACATCTATTGGTCAACTGGGGTAATTGATATCAAATTCTGCAGGGCTATTAGAAAAGATATATATATATATATATGTATGTATGCGGTTTGGAAGATAAGACAACGCATTCTCTGGAAAGTCATTAACAGTATTGATTTTTGCTTTAATTGTTGCTTTGTGAGATTTTGGGAGATCCTGACTTGTAATTTATTTGCATACAACATGTTACTTCGCACGGTTTGACAGCAGAAGTACATGTATGAATGTATCCATTTATTGCTTATGTCAAAGTTGTCTTTATATCATCGGATGCTTATGTAATCTATGTTTAGCTTATACATAATATTAGGGTTTACTTTCTTTTCGTCGAGTGTATGGAATTGAGTGCAAAATAAATGACTTCAATTACGTCTAAAAACGAACTGGAAACTGCGGTTTCATTTCCTGGATGAAAATAAATCTGTAAATTTAACTAGGAAATTTTTAGTCCAGGAAACTGAACTTTAGCTTTCCTTTAGATTTATTTCAATGATTAAGTACCGATAACGTCCTTGCTTAAGCATCTACATTTCCTCTAGTCCGGCATTTGCTTAGATTTATAGAGAACTAAGAAAATATTGATCTTGGAAACAAATTAGTTGGACTACCATAATTTTTGTACATCAGATTATGCTTATATGGTGATGTCTGAGCACTGTGAATATAGCAGGTGGGGCTGAGCTGGTCATATTATTTGCTGTAGTTTTCCTTGTCATGACAGTCATTTCCAGAAATTTTTGTAGTCTTCAATCTTCGCCTTTTCCTTCCTTGCTATTTAGAATTTGCAGTTGCTGTTTGTATAGATTTTTGCTTGTCAAACTATTTTGAAGGCTGTTTTCCAAATGTTTTCAGGTATACAGTAATTACGAGCCACAATTTCTCATGTTATTTCCTGGTAAAAACGCCTTCTGGAAACACCACTGACTTCTAAAGGATAAATAAAGAATTTACACTTATCTTAATGAAAAATTTGCATGCATACATATGAAACAGTGCGAATTAAATCGAGATCATACTTTGCTTCAATCAGCTTCGATTGAGAGGACAAAATGCATCAAAAAGCTTGTGAGATTTTCTTGGTAATCTGAAAAAAAGTACTGCTTTAGTTAAAGCATGGGAAGGAATTCTTGGTATCAGTGTTATAATCAAATCAGATAACCTTAATTAATTTTCTGCTAGTACCTTACAGGAACAAATGAAATGAAAAAGAGGATTCAGTGTCCGTGTTTATATTTCTTCCATTTCCTCGTCCTCACATTTCTTCACATCGCGAGGTCGTACAAATACCCCATGATTATTTTGGCAAGTGAAATACCTATAAAAATTTCCCTTACGATATTGAAATTATGTGATTTTCAAGAAATTTCTGAAAAACTTTGAATTCAACATTTTGAAAATGAAATAAGACAACTCAGTTTAAGACAGAAGGATGTGTTTTTCTGCAGGAAGCTAATTGCTAAAAAAAATAAAATATCAACCTTTCACCATCAATACTTCCGTCGTGCTTACCAAACGGTTCATCATATGTGACACCAATCCAACAACCATCTTTAAATTTTGTTGATCCTATGTAGGATACGATTCCTTTTCGCTCTTTCTGATTCGATACATGTACCACACAACGATCACCAATCTTGAACTTATATTATCAAAGCTATTCCCTTTTTTACTTGAATATTTCCGATATACAGATATGCTTTTCTTTATTCGTCAGTCGTTCGACTCATCCACATTTATGATGTTTATATAACATGTATTCTAATATAATATTCAGGCTATAAAAGAAACATATGAGAAACACGTGATTCATATGATTTTACTTTTACTGAATAGTGCAGACCGCTAGTGCATTTATTAATTAAGATGATTCCCCAATATCAACTAAAATGAATGAAGTGTAGAAAACCTTGAATTGCTTTGCTTCGTTTTCGGCTGCAGCAAGTGCATTATACTTTATTTTCAAACGTCGCTTCCACGCACGCACCGAGTCTAAACAAAAATGGTGGTAACTTCAACGAGAGTAAAAAAATTTTCCGACCACAACAAAAATAAAAACTGGTCACCTTCGCGCTCGTTATACTTTTCCTCAGGTATCGTGTATTTTTCAACTGCCGAAACATTTTCATAATTGACAGGATTGCCAGCAGATGTGAACGTAACATGAATTTTCATTCCAGAAAATAACAGTTATGAGAAGTTGTCAAGAAACAAAAAAATTTGATATAATCACTTTCGTAAACAGGATGTGAAAAAAGAAAAAATTTCCTTCTTTTGAAAACTGTAGTAGTAAATATACCGTCAGTTACGCCTAATTTCTCTAGTGTAGCCTGATCATCAGTCAACGATGATATAAATTCCCCATTCCTGTCACGCAAATCTGTTCGCATGCACTCAATCGAACCACCAACAACTAACACTAATTTTTCCTGAAAAGAAGAAAGCAATAGGATCCTAAAGATAACATTTTGTAAAAATTTCCCTTTGTAATGCAATTTAACTGTTTACTTCCGATTTTGATTCTGGAATTACTCGAGATAGGAAATGATTCTACACAGAGTGCAATGACCTAGGAAATGGAATCAAGTGAAAACAATGAAATCGTTTTCATCACGGAGATGGTCGCCTTATCGTGTAGTCAAGCTACTCAGATAATCAGTTTTTGAAAATAACAAGCAAGACGAACTTTCAGTTCGAGAAGGGTTATAGAAGAGGGATATCGCTTCTCGTATGGGTACTGTCGTGAGTCAGAAGTGACTGTCAGGTTAATGATTTTAGTTGCCATTTTAAGTTCTGAAAAAGGTATAACTGAGTGTCGTGTTCTTCATGGATTATCACTCTGCCGAATATCATGTCGAAAATCGACCCTATGAAATATACTTCACTAAGGTGATGCAAATCATCTGCGAGACATTACCATAAACAGGAAGAATATTAATCAACTTTGAAGACAACACACTGAAAAATTTCTCCCTCTTTGTCCTCCTATAAAAAAAATATGAATGGTGAAAAATCGCCAGAAAAGGTCAACATTGTCCAGTAGCTACTGCAACCTCACCACCATGACAATACAAAAGGAGATGATAACTTGAAATATTGTTGAACTGAAGAGAACAACAGGGGAAATTAATATCATAGGAGGAAGAGAGTTCTGAGAAGGAGACAAAGAAAGAGCACGGAACCCGACATTAATAATGTAAGTGAACAAGTGTGCAAGGAAGGGAATATCCCTCGTCCTCGTCAGTTTCAGTATTTCAGCTCTTTCCCTGCTCGTTTCGCACACTATCGATGAAGTGCCTATTCATCGTCCTTCTGATCTGACGCAGATGGATAGGTAAACTAGGTGATGGATGGAATATAGAACTGCTTGGTAAGATGTACTTGTGTGCTAATTAGAGATGAGTGATATCACACATGACAAGTGACAAATTAAGGGTTCTGATATGCGACGGTGAGAATTGGCCACTAATATTTATTACTGGAAGTAGTTTTTTTTCAGTACTAATAGCCAAATGTGTGGTTTTCCCTGTAAATCTATTGATCTGCAAAGAAGAAAATTTTATTAAAAGCGAAAAACGATGTTAAGTTGTAGTTTATAGAGAGAGCAACATTAGTAGATAAAGTGATTCCCTAGCTAAAGACTTGCAAGCGATTGACAGTGGTTGGATTCAGCCAAAAAGTCCTTGTATGGTAAGGTTCATGCAAGAGCGAAGCGTGAAAAGCTTACGATCCTAATTTTTGGTAAATACCGTTTGGTTGTTGGTAATATTTATAGTGTTTTAAACGCTTACTCAACCGGAACATACATTTTGAGAGCCAGAGAGATAACTGCGCTCGGGATAAGAGTGTCCGAGATGTGTCCGACAAATGATTTTGAAATTATATACCAAATTTGTATGAGCGATCTTTTTTCGTTTCGATGGATTCTAAAATAAAATTAAGATGTGTTTTATTTTACTGCAGACGGTTCAGATTTCGAATCATTTATTTTGGAATACACTATCGTTCGCTTTGTAATGTTGAAAGAAGCGGTAGATGATGAGAGAGTCAGAATCTGTTGTATGAATTCCAAGGCCATTTTCTTGTGAGTATCGTCTCACCAGATTTCAGTAAGCAGACATTTGCGATGATCGATGAGTCACTCTAAAGATCGTTCATGCAGTACTATGCATCTCTAGATGTATTGTCCGTTTATGGTGACCTTTAGTCTGTCTTGTTCAGTGCTGTGATAACCAACTGATGTGAGGCAGAGAGAAGCGTTCGAAGTCTCTGCATGCATTTTCAGAGATAGTAACACTTATTATCTGCTCTCGAATTTATGCAAAAATGCTTGCGGGTCTTCATTTTAGCTGTCTTTTGTATTTGTGGTTGCGAGCAGATCGCTTAAATCTGAAAGGTTAAAAGTGCCTTCTAGTTGAAATTCAAATACCATTCAGAATCTGATTCGACAGAGTAATATTGGCGGGGTTAGGTTGGTGAAAGCAGCAATAGCTATTCTCCTATATCACTTCTCATCAATGATTTTCTCAGTTCATCACTACTCCATTAGATGTTCTTAATGAAATACTTACGTTTACTTTGTTACATCATGCGACGTAAATAATAGTGAATAGTAGTCTCCGATGATAGGAAAAAGTGAACATTCAGTTCATCCAATACGTCTTTCAATCAAATCCAGTGAAAACTTATCAATGGATAGATAGATGTATAGGTGGATGGACGGACACATGTACATACATATATACATACAACACACACATACATACATACATACACACATATACAGACGCATCGTTGAGCTTCTCCATTTAATTTCGCATCCCTGTCGTTTAACTCTCTCCTTCAGTGTGATCAGCATCAATCTTTCATTTGTTACTACCAACCACGCTAACATTTTTCGTACTCTTTTATCATCATCTTTCTTGTCCGTTTCTCGCTCCATACCACATATTGCAGAAGAGAGCAAGAATGCCATGAATATGTTGGTTGTTGTGTCCCTGAAGTGGTGAATTGATTGAGGATGCTTTGTCATTTGTTAGGCATTACTGTCATCTGACGGCACTTTTGAAAGATTATTGGTAGAGAGAAATGGAGTAATGGGATCGATAAGTAAAATGTCCATTTCCAATACTGTCATTGATAGTGTTTGTAATTGTCAATGTTAATCAGATTTTCAAATGTAAATGTGGTTAAAGTTGTTACAAATTCTTTGAATTTCACATTTCATTTTTGTTCTCATCTATGTTTCAATTTTGTTAATTTTTTTTCTCCGACACAAGTCATTGCAGGAGTTCAGTTTAATGTCATCTGCACTGTATAATCAAATAATTTGCAGATTTTGTATAGACGATCTTTTGCTGTTGCTCAGTCATCATTTTAAGCAGCTGAAAAATGATCCTGTTAGTTGCACTCTCACAGTCTAGCTATTCATCATCTTCAGATGGACGGGAGCTTGATGATCGAACATGTGACGTCTTCTCAACTTCAGTGTCCTTGTTGAATAGTAACACTTATGTCCGTTCATTCCCTTCTTCCGGTAACAGCAGTTCGTCTACCGAGCTGGAACAATCGTGGTTCGTTCTTTCTCGAGTCCTTTTTTTTGCAAATAAAGACTACTGTGCTTTCTTCGTTGTTGGGAGGAGGTTGGATCAGGAGGTTTTGACCGATCTATAGCTTTTTTATTTACAGTGTAGATTATTCGGCGTTGGAAATGGATTCGGAAAATGATGCTTGTTTGAACAGCCCTTGTATCCATTCCGATGGATCTTCTGGTCTTGATGCAAGGTTTTTTTTGTTCGAATTATTTCAAAGTGCATATTTTTCCTATCAGTTCTTCTAGAACGGACATGGGTGATTGCGACAAACTTCAAATATTTCCATTTGGGCAATTTTTTTTTGTTATTGCTCATCCCGTCCACCTGATTCTTTCTTTTTTCAGCTCAATTTTGCCGTTGATGAACGAGTCGGTTAGTTTGAACGAACGTCGGCGAGCAATTCTCGATCTTTCTATCTCAAAAATTCAGACAATGAACGCGTCAAACGTTGCAGTATCTCTGCGCAAGTCACTCCTTATCTATAATACGATGAAATCTCTGCAGGTTCATTTTTATGTAATTTGTTCGGTGTTTTTGTGATGTTGGTGACTCAGTACAATTCTAGCAAGAAATGATTATTTAGAATTGTATTATTGTCATTATTATTTATCAATTTGTCATTATTTTTGTTACTACTAATTATTGGTATTTATTACTAATTACTATTTATTATATTGTTGGATAGTGTCAAGTTCATTTAAAAACGCTTCAGCATTGTGAGTTTCTTTATAGCGAGATCTTGATACATGTGATGTTTTTTTGTGCGATAGTCTGACAGAGAGAGGAAACGAAGCAATCGATAATGATGTGGAAATGCTGGAGACAAATGAATTTGAAGACGGAAACTGGGAAGAGCAGATCTCAGATTTCAGTTGTAGTATCAGCAACGACAATAATCCGTGCAGTTTGGGTTATGATTGGCCATGGGGAACTCTAGTTAATACAAGTAAAAATACGGTGCAGGTATAGTTGTCCAACATGATGTTTATGCCTTTTTGTACTTATTACCAGTATCAAGTGAATTCCGTAACTAGTGTAAGTAGATGTTAGTAAAATGACGGAAGGAAAAGTTTAATTTTAATGGTCTTTGACCATTAAAAATAATCGCTTTTCTTTTTGTTCTTTTTGAAGAATATCTGATGTTATTGATAAAAGTAGCTGATAAGCATTAGAATTGTTAAATATTCGAACAGTTTTTGGTCAAAGATTTCTGTGCATAGGTAGTTGATGTCGCTTATTAAAACTTCGGGTGATCATTTGTATTTAAACATTATCCTGGATATATTTCATGAAATTCGATTGAAATTTGATGAAGCATGTAAATAAAGACATTGGATATGTCTCTTCTTCTTTGTATTTCATTTTTAAGAACTCTAAAGTACAAAAAATTCTATTCGGAATCTCACATTATTATGAATTGGTAAATTATCAAAAACACAATTTCAGGGTTCGGAAAAATGTGATCATAATTTGTTTACTTTGACGAGCAACAGCGACTTGTTTAGCACGGGGAACAGCTGGAGCAATTCGGAGTCGACGGATTCGTCTGCATTCGTCGACGATTATTTGGAAATGTTGTGTGCTTGGGAAGATGAAAATTACAATCCACTCACCAACTGCAATCTGACACGAGCGGAAATAATGAACATGTTTCACTTGCCTTCATATCATCTCAACAATCAGTTAGTCTCTCAGGCCTGAATTCTTCATTTGGTTCCACATACATGATTTTTGGGAATTGGTTATATTAATAGGTTGTATTGATCTTTCTTATTTCTAAACATCCTAGATTTTATTGTATTTAGTTCCATTTTCCAGCTGAGGAGCTCATTCCATTGTTCTATCAGACTAAATTCTGTCCAGTGAATATTTTTTTTATGTTTTGATTTATTATAAACTCGTATCATTACTCTATTCCCCGCTTATTGCAATCTCGCTGTTGTATATTGATTTACAGGTGTTAAGATCTCGTTTGCAGAATCGATTGACGGATAAGTAGGTAAATGATGAAAAGCATTTTTTTTCTCCTGAAGAAAAAGTTTTTTTTTTTTTTTATATGGAATTTCTAAGCACACATATTATGCAGACCGATCAGTGCACATCGAAGCCTCGACTTGCATTTTTGTTGTGTTTGAAATCAGTTTTATCCTATTCTCTTACCTTCTCATGATATAAAATTTTTAGGGAATTTCCACCGACAAATTTCTATGAATACCTTTTTTCCTTTTTCTTTAATTTAAAAGTTAAGTTTAGACATACTTCCGTTTCTCACCTTTTCTGTCATTAGGCTTCCCTTTTGACTTTGTGCTTCTTTTCGTTTCCTCAAGTGTGTTCATTAGACCTGTAGAAAAGTCTTTGCGGTAAAAAGACGGGATCAAATGACTAACTGACTGGTTATGCTGCTATCACGAAGATGATTTCCTTTCATTTCAGAGATCATGTTGGTTCTTTTTTTGGGTGAAATTTTTGTAATTAGTGTAAGAAAGCATCATACAGGCTCACTTCAGTTCTTCCTGTTTTTCTGTTGCTTCACCACACTGCTCTACATAATTTTATTTATTTAGGTTGTTTTATCTTCTACAGTCATAATTTAACAATTTTAGTTCACAGTTTTTGTGTTCCATTCATTTCCATTATTTTATCAAAAATATGGGAATTGCTGTGGGAGAAGGTTTTAAAATATTTATTCATATTTTGGGGTTTCTCTGATTCAAAAAGTGCGTTTGCTTAAAACGTTGAGTACTGAGTACATTTTAACTAGTTATTATATTTTGTGTAATGCTGTTTAATGAATAGTGAGTAGCATGACATGAGCTTTTGATTTCGTTTGATGTTTCATTCTGCGTTCCAGTGCAGTAAAATTCTTTTATTAACTAGATGAAAGGATTGTATATGTTACTATTCAAGTATATAAGACTGGAAATTTTCTTTACTGTTTTAGTAAAAAATTGAAAAATTAGTTTTTATTGGTGGGCATCTCATTAGCTGTGCTTATTAAACTGTCGGCTATGTGTTTTGCATTACGCATTTTATTTGCTTTTTGTTTCTTAAAGTTAGACATATTATAAGAGTCTTCATCTGTCCCTCTTTCATGCCTCTAATTTTTTGTGGAAATGTGGAGTTTAGCAAAAAACATCTCTGTGATTAAACTGAACATATTCCTTGTCATCTATGCATTCATTTGTAGTGTGGGATGAACTTTGAATTAGGTCATTCTCATCCTTTGCAGTCATTATGTTTTATCCAGGAAATTTATTTTCCCATCCAAATTCTTACTTCTTCGAACTTTAATAATCGGATCCAAATCTCCACTTGATTTTTTATTTGTATCAATAAAAACGAGTTTTGGTGCAGCTTTATCATACATTCATTTTTCATTAATTTATTCATTTATTTTTTCTGTTCTAGGTTTGTTTTATTCCATTCCATATATTATATTGTTTTACAAAGTGTTATCAGTTCATTTTTCATTTGGTATCGCAATTAGCTGTTGTGGTTTGGAATGAAATTTTCGTTTATTTCCTCTTTGTCAATCTCGTTAGGATTGCCAAAGAGGACTTCTTTTCCTAAGTTTTTTTTTTTTTTTTTTTTTGTTTTATGGCTAATATGTGCAGTAGATAACTTACTGAATAATCATTGTGATATTGTATGTGTTTTGAGATGTATAATGGTCAAATACTCAATGTATGTATAAGTTTGCTGCACTAATAATTTAATTCCCTTATTGATTCCCCATTATTGCTTGTAGTAAAGTATTTTGCATTCATCATAGTTCTTTTATTAACTTGTTCAAATAATAGTTCGAACACAACTTCAAAGAAAACCATTTCTTCCACTGTGAATTCCCTACAATTTTTATCCCCTTTGAGTTTAAGCCTTGTCTGCAAGGGATCAAAATCATATATATATCCATTTGTACTTTTCTGTCAGGTCCAGGTATATTGATGTCTCGTTCTCTCCTTAAATTTCTTATCGATTGATCATTAATTTAAGCGTTGTATACATTACTTTTTTACCCAGTATTTTTTGAATCTTTGAAATTTTGAAATAACTCCAGTTCAAATTTTTACTTTTAACAAGATAAATAAGAAGTGAAGGAGTTTATCGTCCATTAGTAGTTGTAAGTCTATATTGTCGGCGTATAATTATAAAGTTGTAATAAGATGGGAAAGCTTTTTTATTGTCATTCTGAATCCAGACTTGGTTTTTTTTTTTCAATGTACTCGTTTTAATTAGACGTCATTTGACTTCCGAATGACCTCCTCATTGTTTTAATATTCTGACATTCATATTGTATGCAATGTAATTGTGAGTTCTTTCGTCCTTCCCACAATATTTCAAAGTTTGGACTTTACTTTCAGTAAGGATAATATTTCCTTATGTATTCCTGTATCATAAATTCATATATTTATAAGTACTTCTAGGTAATATTACTAAACTTTAAATTTACAATAATTTTCTGTCGCATTGTACATTCAGTTGTGAAGTCCATTAAATTCAACTTTTCGTTCTAACCTCTCGTTAATTCCAATTGAGAAATGATCTATTATTTTGGCCTTTGTTAATTAATGTTTATTATTTTTGCAGTAATTAATTGTATACATTTTTCTTTGTGATTTTCACTTTTTGAATGAAAGTAAAAAGTTTGAATTTTGAAATAATTGGTTCTGTTTGTGTGTATAACACACAACAGTATGAAATCTCACCAGTATTTCTGTGGTCATAAAATGTCATTTGTAAAGTGGGAATGGGAGGGGGTTAGGGTTTGATTGGGTCTGCGAAGAATTGAATCTAATTTTTGGTCCTTCTGAAGCGATCGATTTTTTCACCGACAGGTCGCTAGACATTATTTCTGGTAGAAAGGTTTATGATTTTCTTATCATCGGTTTTGATGATGATGTGTAAAACAGCGCGATGCAGTTGAAATGCTTCGTATTGCTGAAGAAGGGTTTGTGGGCAACTTTATTGCACATTTGGGTTCACTTGGTTAAGGCATTAGTCCACCAGTGGCACCATATCTTTTCGGAGTGAGATTGGTGTTAGCTTATGTTATCCTTTTGGTAGTATAGAGTAGGAGCGGTAGTAAGAAAGCGAATGAAGATAGAACTGAACCGTTAAGTACATTTGGATCTATTATCTTCCTTCAGCAAATGTATATTTCATGTTTAAATGCAAATTCACGTAAAGCAAAAATGTTGAGTTTTTGGTTGTAGACTGGAGATGTCTGTCTGTATACATTCATGTATGTTTTTACATTTTGTTGCAGGGTAATTCTTAATCAGTTGATTTGTTGAAGGAAGGTTAAACTAGTTGGGCAATACCATATACCTGTTCTAAATTTTCCGTTGGTCGCACTGTTTGGTATAGCGCAGTCATCTTGAACTTTGATCTTTCGAATAAAAAATTTGATTGCTGATAAAAATTGTTGGGGAGGGCTCATAAAATCCATAATAAAATGCTTCGCAACTACTGAAGTCATTTCTCAACTCAGTTCAATGCTTTTTCCAGAAAACTTACCTTTTTCTAGGTAAGAAGGATGTCACGTTACGATATTGTCTTATACGGTGCCAGCGGTTTTACTGGGGCTTACGTTCTTAAATTATTGCTTGAAGAACAGAAACAACACAATGTGAGCTTTGCTATAGCAGGGCGTAGTGAAGTTCGGTTAAAGAAACTGCTCCAAAATATAAGTCAAGAATTGGGTAAGTCATTTCGTGAAAACTTTCTACTCTTTCAACAAAATGTTAGTAATACTCAAAAATTTTTTTACATCATACTGATTAAGAAGATTAACAGTTCAATAATTTTTCAAAAATTATCCAATTTTGGAATTAGAAACGGTTACATTAGTGTGCTAAGATAGTTCGATTGTCTTCGAATAAAAATAAGAAGAAAAGAAAATTTTTTTCTTATGAAAAATATGAAAGCCTGTGGTATATGGGATGACGAAAATCTTTAGGCAAAGATTTGCAAAATGTTTCTATAATTACTGCCAACAGTTATGATGAATCTGCACTCGCAGCAATGGCGAATCAAGCAAAGGTCATCATAAATGTTGTTGGTCCTGTAAGTTGCATTATATCATTTAACAGTTTTTTAATCTCCATGATTTTTTGAATGAGCGACAGAAACTTTAGCGCAGTTATTTTCATACTTCGAACTTTAATTTTTTTCATTCTATACTTTTATATTTTATTTCAAGTAATTTTCTTTCGTTGCAGTATCGATTGTATGGAGAAGCAGTTGTAAAGGCTGCTGTGGAAAATGGTGCTAGCTATGTAGACATTTCGGGGGAACCTGCGGTAGTAATTTTTGTACTTGAAGTTTGAATTTTATTCTTCAAAAATTGAATTTTATTGGGAATATTTTCCATACTGTTTAATTAACTTTTGTGAATTTATCTGATTTTATTGTAGTTCTTGGAGTCTATGCAAATGAAATATGGTAGTATTGCTCAAGAAAAAGGTCTATATGTTGTTGGTGCATGTGGTTGGGATAGTATTCCTTGTGATTTGGGTGTTAATTTCCTGAAAGAGAAATTCAGCGGTCAGCTGAATCATGTTGAAACATTCGTCCAACTAAATACAGGACCTGCGGTATGATGCTATGCATTCATCATTCGTTTTGCCCTCAAATAATGAAAAGCTTATAATTGTTTCGTTAGACTTCGTCTTTTTGAATTTTGACTTATTACTTTTTAACTTTTGCTCCCACTAAAGTTATTTTATTACATTTTAATGTCATATATGCAAATATAAATATGTCTTATTAACTTAGGGAATGAGAGGAATAAATTTTTAGGGTTATTCATTCAATGCGGGCACATATCGCACTTTAGTTTTGGGCATGGCAAATATGATGACTGACGGCTTGGGTAAAATAAGACGAAGTATCATGCCAGAACGCTTACCAAGAAGCTCGTTCCGAGCACCGAAGAGGTTTGATACGCAATATATCAAAATCAAATCAAAGCATTATATGTTTTAATTGCGTTTATTTTTCAGAGGAACTTTTTGGTTTAATGAGAAGGTTGATGGTTGGTGTCTTCCGTTTTACGGATCAGATAAAAGTGTCGTTACTCGATCTCAATATTTTGACTATAAGCTCCGCACTGTTTTACCAGTAAGTGATTTCCTTTCTTCTTTCCACTGGCAACATTTATGGTGAATTCAAAGAGCTTGCTTATTACCTGGGATATAAAATGTGGTAAATTATGCAGATATTTTGCATATTAGGAAATATGCTTTTTTCTGTAATTTTGTTTTTCACAAGGGATTTTTTTGCATTCATTAGGTACTGCTATTACTAAGGAACTTAGGGAGAACATGTTTTACTGCGATAGCAGTATTATTTGTTATTAACACAGCAATATTCTAAGGAAAAATCGAATTCTACATATTTAAAAGTGGAGACAGGAAAATTACCGTTCTTTGCGTGTGCATTCTTCAAAAGTAATTTATCTGTTTATTTATTTATTCTCTTTTTGTTGCAGTGAGTCATCCAAAGTTCCTTCGGCGCATTTCAGTTGTCTATGATTTTTAAACAAAATTTGCAGAACGGGAAGCAGTGAAAGTTTATTTTATAGCAGTAATGAAGACATTTTTTTTGCTATTTGTTACAATAAGTAGCGAGCAGTTTATCAATAGTACTTTTTATTATGTATTATTGAATGTGAAAGGGAATTTAGTACCTGTGTTATGTTTTTCGGACACAAGAAAGACAAAAAGTTTTGAGAAAAATAAAGTAAAGCGGGTAACGATAAAATGTTTAGTTTACAATGGAAATTAGCATATTAAAAAGTCGATATTTAATACTATGATTTATAAAGATATGAATAAAAAGGAAAAAGTTCCAAATCTGAAATGACATCGATTTGCAATACTTTGACAGTGTCTGCTATTACTGCTTACTTAGCTGGGAAAGTACTATAGTAGTATTGGATGAATATCATCTGTGATGTTTTTGAAATGAAAGAGAAAACACTGCGTATTTATATCTCTCAACGCATTGCACATTTCTATCATAAATTAGCAGAGAAATTCCATAGCGGAGAAGAGTGAAAAGGATAGGAGTAAATTGTACTGTTTAATAATATTATTAGTAATTATATGATATGGAATCACTATCATCGATTGAAGGATATAGGAAATAAGGGTTGAAAATGGCCTTTTGCTTATATTCCTTTTTTCTTATTTTAAATTATAGTTGTATTTTTTCTTAAAAAGAAATCATCTTTTTCATTTATTGAAATGTGTCGTTTTCTATCTTTTCTAAGTATTTTTTTTTCTTTGTGGAAAGATAGAAAAAGGTGATTTGAACGGTATCTCCTGTATGATTTAGAAAAAGATAAATAACGAAAAATCAAAAACTTTTTTGCAGTCTTTAAGTTTCTTATAGACGAAAAATTTAAAGATTGTGAATTTTACATGAAAGGAATGACGGAATAAAAGAAATTGGATCCCATTTTCTTCTAGAGATTTATTCAAAATTTTCGAATAAACCTCTAGAAGAGTACATATATATATATATTTATATATAGACTTGTTTTTGGGAACTTGGATTTTTTTTTCGTGTTCCACTTTTTTGCTTTGATATTCTGGATGTGTGAAACTAGAGCTTGCCGTAGTGAAAACTTATTAACCAAGTTTTATAAGTTACTATTTATGTTAATCAATATTAGATATGGAGTTTTTCCAGATATAGCACCGGATTCATGTGAGTTCAAAAGCAATATTTGTTGACATACATGATCAAACGAGCTACGGACATATGTATTTATATCTGTCAATTGCAGATTGTTGAAGAATGCAAATGACACAATCAAAATTGCAATTAACAATTATCTTTCTGTTGTTGTGATGTGGTTTTAGTTAATGCAATATTCAACTTCAAGATTCATTTTAGCACGTTTCAGGTCCAAGTGGAAACATTTATTCGAGTCAAATCGTTTATTTGGGCTTGTCTACTTTCTCTATGGCTTGTTGTTTTTTCCGCTGCTGCCAAAATGTCATTTATGAAAAATTTTTTGCTGGCATATCCAGGACTATGCAGTTTTGGCATGTTCAAGGATTCGGGACCTACAGCTGAACAGGAAAAATCAATTTCCAGACTTGAATTTTGATATTTTCAATATTAATTCAATTATTGCCGTTTAAATATTAATCAGTAACAATTATTTAGCAATTTTTTACTTATTGTAATGTGCAGTTAATCTCGTACGTAGTGGCTCAGTGAATCTTCGTGAGAAAGGGATATGGTAATACAGTGTTTTGAATTTCAGGTTAAGCAAGCATCGTTTACTTACTGGTTCTTTGGTACTGGTTGGGCAGAAAGGCATAGCTCTTTTGATGAGTACACTGTTAAACCAACTAAACAGGTAGCGAAATTGAATTCTGCAGTACTGTTTTGCTTTGTGTATATGAGCAGAAAAGTATCCCTTTTCGTGGTTTGTTAAGAATTAGATTTTCCGGATACTTAAGGATTAACTATGTGATTTTTTGCAGATGGTAGCTCGTTGCGTCGGTCCGGATGCCGGATACATTTCAACTTCAGCCTGTGTATTAGCTGCTGCGTTGTCGTTACTCAATGATGCTGATAAACTTCCACAAGGGTCGGTTTTTTTAATGTAAGCCAAAGGGATGGCCACTATCAAGTAGATTTAAAAGGAAATACAATATCGCCTCTTCATGCTACACTTCTCTAAATCGGACGCAACTCACGTAATGCCACGTAACCAATGTCACGAAATATCTCGAAGCAACCAGTTGCTTCAAAATATTTCATCACTTCATAAAAAGAATATCTTTTGGAGTTCACACTTAGTATATATGATTTGAACTGTTTTTGACCTTTTTTGGTTTTACAAATCTAATTTCGCCGGTTTGAATTTTTGTGTAGCCAGGCGATTGGAATCAGAATATTTTGCAGAGGTGTATACACATCAGCGGCAGCATTCAAAGACACAGGGATCTATGATCGTCTCGAAAGATATGGTGTTCGATTTGAAATTGTTGACGAGCTTCATTGATTCATTTTTATGTATTTTTTCAACTTATTTGTTATCATTATATCACTTGTTCACCAATATTTTTTCACTCTTTTTCGATGTTAAACCGTTAAAACTGATCAACGCCGTGTCAAATTAAAGGAATATTATAGACCAAAAGTAATTGGATAGATAGTGCAAATTTGAATGAAATAGTTCAAATTGTTTTAAACCCAATTTAAACTAGTTCATGCAAATATGAAACTTGAAGCATAAAGAAGGTGAATTGGTCTTGATGTTTCGACAGACAAAATTAAGATAATCGAACATCTTGCTTAGATTTGAATATTTTCTCAGATTAGTCTCAATATATTAGATAAATCTTAGAATTCAAAAAAACATTATCTCTTAACCAGATTATCCCAATTTATAACTATCCCTTAATCTTAATCTGTGGAGTAAATTCTGTTAACTGTCAGATAAAACTGTTCCGCGTTATTTCTATCAGTCAGTTAAACCGCTAGCCGTAAACTGGTTCCATATGAGTTCTTCGTTTTTTTTTTTATCACGAACCTTAATGATTTTATGTTTAAAACATGTTTTTGACTAGATTCTAACTATTCACAAATTCTTTTCGGATCACGAGTTTGCAGCTCAAAGCATGATCCATGATAGACGCGTGGACGTAGGAATGGAAACAAATCCTCGATGACTGAATTTAGTAAGCACGCCTGTATCCCACGTAGACATTGTGAGATGACTGGAAGGTCCTGCTTGAAACCGCATTTTTGTAACCCTTAAGATGAAAGTGTCTATAGATGAAATGAAATTAAATTTGATTTATTTGTTTATAGATGAGATGGAATAATCTGGTTATTAAAGGATTTTCGTTTTTTCAATTGAATTAATATGTGTCCTGAAGAGATTCTAAGTAGTCTCAGTAATATAAATTCTTTGCAGATAAGTTTCTAACTACATTTACATTCAGAAGTTTAAGTAATAAAATTGTAATTCACTTACAGCTTTTAAGCTCGTCTGGATCTTTTAGACGACCTTTTTCATTAATCATTTCTACTGCTGGTGCACACTTTGTGCCCGGTACACGTGAACCGCTCACTCCTAGAATTTTGAATGATATTAAAATTTATTTTATTGGGATGAATGACATGAAAATCGTGCTGAATACTAATTTCATTGAAACAATTCATTTGCAACTGATGTTGAAAATCAATCGAACTAAAAAAGAGGAATGAGAGACACAAACTTTTTGGGTCGAGCATAGTATCAACTTTTCCTTTAAACTGATCTCTTGGACGCGAATCGAAAAAATTTATCTAAAAAAAATTGAAATCGTAAAAATTCCTGTGCATTAGTTAAGAGAAAGAAGTTGTGTCATAAACGCTGCACAGAGATGACTGTGATAAAGATGTTAAATCAACTATCTAATCACCGTGATCATCTATCTAACACTTAAGATTAGGTAAAAAATGTCCTTAAAAACTAAGACTGTTCTTCTGCTACTAAGAAATTTTCTTCGAAAAGTTCTTTTTAAACCTGATCGGCTTTGTCAAACATGTTCATTCCATTAGAATCCTTCTCGATAAGCTGTTCATATGTTATAATGTAATCTGGACAAAGGTCTGCTCTCCAGTTACCTGGCTTTAATGTAGTATTTGGATCTCTTAAATTTAAAAAAAAAATGCTTTTCATAATAAATATTCCAACAGTAGTTTTCATTGTAGAAATGGAACTGTTTTCTGGATTTCTTTAAGTAGTAAACTTCGCTTTAATGGAACTCAATTCATTTCACCACAGTAAATTTCACTTACAGTGACTTCCTGTATTTCTCCAGTAATTTCACCGCCATCATCTTCCCATGCTGTTAAACCACCATCTAAGACAGAAACAGCTCCATGACCATAGTACTGCAAAAAAAACTGCATGGAGATCTCAACCTACAAGTATATAAAACATCACGTTAATGAAGAAAGCAGACTATATCAATAATTATTCATATAATTTCTGATGATGACGATAATCAATAACATTCGGTAACAATTAATTGTAAAAATAATTAAAAATATTAATAGTGGTTATTGCATAGAGCAAAAGAAATGAAATATTATGCGGTCTATAGATTATTGTTCCCAAACACTTCCACTTCTCCGTAAGCTTTGACTCAGACCTTAAATAGCCAGGAAATGCGACACGGAACCATCATGCCAGCAATGCGTTGCCTACCATATAAGACGATATGGTCCGATCGACTGATACCCAATAAGCGAGCATATTTCTGAAATATTTCTGGTGGATACATGGCATACGGTTCATAAAGACCAGGATAGGTAGCTATGTTAAGATCCATGTGGACTGCTTGTGGGATGTGCTTTTCCAAATAGTCGCGATACTGTCTGAAATCAGAAACTGAAATATTATAAGAATATATACACTACATATGTCTTAGTTGATGCCATTCAAAATATTCAATTCTATTGATTCAGTACTTCGTATCTATTCCCATCATTTCCTCGAACCTTCCATATTTGGTTTTCATGAAATCATCATAATTTCGCATTTGAAAGTCTACTCCACAGTCCAATAATCGATAACCACCACCATTTTTGAAGCTACCTTTCTGAAATAAACCATTTAATTGATAAATAAGGTAGTGATTTCTTATTTTCTAAAACTTTTGATTGCTTCCTGATAATATACCTTTAGAAGGTCAGCAACCACTGATGTATTAATAAAATTTTTTAGTTTCATCTTGCACTCTTACTTCTTGAAGGAGACATGAATTAGAGGTGATTTGGAGTCCTGCAAACATGATCATGACAGTTTAAAAAAACATAGGAACAAGCTGAATATATCGTAAATCACACTGGTCTAAGCAAACATATGTGTGGTTCGTACAATTACTAGTCACCGTTTCTCCTCACCTAGATGGACAACAGCTTCACGTATATCATGACGTTCGTGTTAGCAATGCATAACTGATTCCTACGTAAATTCGGTATAGTCATAACGCAATTTTAAAGGTTTTTAAAGGGAATTTTTAAATTTAAAAGCATTTTAAAGGAATTTCATATAAAACGGTTAAATTTAGAGGTTCATACATAGTTAAAAACGGCTAATGTGAAAGAAAATGGAAACGTAAAGGAAGAAGGAAAATTAGAACTTTGTAAACGTGAACCATCGAAATGATTTATATGTGCGGAATGGTGATATTGTGTACAAAGACGACGAGAGATGTTTGTGCAGAAAATGATGATCAAAGCAGCAGTGACACTGATGACGAAATAGACGTTAATTATGTTGAGTATGTGTTATGTGCACTCCTTTTATTTATTGTCCATTTATAGCAAGAAATCCGGAAATCCTACGTGTCACACTCGCAACTGTGCAAATAGTTGTTCGTGCTAATTAACAAATCATGTCCAGTTCTCGGTATTATATATTATTATTAGTTTTTTGACAATATTTATTAATTTTCATTTAAAAATATCACAGAACAACTTGCATAATAGTCGCTTTTAACGAAATCAGTATTTTAGAATCGTAAAATGGTAGAGTGATAAGTGGTTGGCCTAATAAGATATGATTGAAGTGTTTCACAATATTGGTGAAAAACTTTCTTATCTTTCTCCGCTTGCAGTAGTGAAGTGTTTCGCCGTTAAAATGTTAATTTTACTAATTATTGCTGTTCTTATTTTTGAAAACATCCAAGTTCAAATATGTTTAATTTTGACGAATGACTTTGGATATCATATAGCGTATTATGTTCTTGTCTATATTTACTCTTTAGCAACAGTATGTAATGTACAACAAAAACCATTTTATGATGTTAATAACTGTAAAGTGACATGATGTTGCCTTTGAACTTGCCAATTATTTTGCGCCAAATATCAATGTTGTAGTAAATACTGTTCAAAGCACTTATGAGATGAGAACTTTTTGTTTTCAGGTCAACAATTCATATTTCTGAGGATATTTATCTCATTCCTAAGTCCATTTCAAAGCATATGTAGCATTCTAATGTCATATCACAAAACCATCTTCGTGATTTCTCAGCTTTTCTTCACTGAGAGATCTTTGCATATGTGAAGGACTAATCGCAAAATCTTTCTTGAAAGAAGCTTAGAAATTTCAGAAATGACAGTGGCAATGTACAGTTCTTGTGCGTACCCGTCAATATCACTATGATATATGTAAAATTATAGGAGCCTTCATTCAACAGTTTTACTGGAATTAAGAACTTCAGCACTATAATATGCTGGAAATGCAAAAACACGACGCAACCAAATTAGAAACACTTAATAAATCAGTTACTGTTATAACGGAAATTGCAAATAACACGAGCCAGACGTAGTCAATTCCGAAGAATGCAAAAAGTTTTGCTGTTGCAACAAGCATAGTGAAACGAACGAAGGATGAAGTTAGGTAAATACATCAGTTTTATTCATAAAGCTCGTGAAGATTCAAATTTTACCAGTAACAATAGCAAATGCAAGTCGCAAGTAAGACTGGTGATATACTTTTTTATATATTGATATCAACAAGCTCAGAATATCAAATGAATTCAATATTGGTGCTGTGGGAACATATGCTGATTATCCATTGAAGATTTTTAAAACTGTTGGCAAAGTTGTACTTTTTTTTTTGACTAGTTTTCACCTTTTTTTAAAATAAATTCGAAAGATGCTCCAATTGCAGATATTTTACTTACATGGCCTAAAGATCAAGTCATTCGCGCAAGTGCGTCCTTGTTTTTGTTAGAATATCGCAAGAGGAAGTACTGAGATATATCATGCTGTAAATTGTTTTATGTATAAATAAAATAAGGTGATCAAGGACAATAATTAAGTGGCTAAGATGTTCACAGTGATCAAGATGACCATTCTATCGATTACAATTCTAATAGCGATCCGAAAACAACTTAAGTTTTCAGGTTTCTAAATAATTGCGCAAAACTACTGTGAGAACACTTTCCACAGCATCTGAATTATCACTACATCAATGGATTATTCAAGTGGAAAAGCATGCAAACTATAGTGATTGTAATTTGGATCTCCATAAACAGTCCGATTTACGAAATTACCAGTGGGACAAATAATTTCGTTTGTAAATTATCATAACAATGAAATCTTAGTTGACAAAACTATCTCTACTATTTCCTGAAATTTCCGGAAGCAAGAAAAAGTGTGATAAAAGAACCATCGTTAACACATCCGCTTACTGAAGAAGATCGTAAATTGAGAGGCAGATAGATGTTCTCTCTTTCGACATTAGCCACTCATTCTAGTATTTTTGGTCTGAAGCGAAAGGAATACACAGACGCGTTATGCAACTGAATGGTTGTCGTTATCACTTATCAGCATTGGCGCTCTTTGTAATAAGCTATTTTAAGCTGTTGCATTAACCATCAAAGTAATTTTATTAGATACGAAGTAATAAATAGTAGGTAGTGAGAAATATCTTGAAATCCTCTCAAATATAATATCATATCTAATAATAGCAACATTACTCTTTTAACTATTGATAGGCTCAACATTTAATCTTAAGTTTCATTGAAATCTAAAAAATCAAAAACTTTCATATAGATGGATGAACCATTGGCAGTTTAACAGCACACTCTCAAGTTGCTATAAAAGTTTCTAGGCGGTAACCACTAGTTATTGTTTAGGAAATTGTTAGTGGTGAATAGGAGTTGAAGAGCATGCGATGTTAGATTCATGGCTTAAACAAGAGTCATTTAATGTTTATATTTATTCGCAGGTACGGATGAAAAAATTGAATTCAATTAACATGAAAGTTTCTGTTTATTAGTTCAGTTTTAAATGAAATATTTTACTAGAATTAATCGATCTTCTGAATTAGAGTTGTTACTATCGACTTGTTTATCAACCAAAGTCGTAATGAAAAAGATGGTGCAAATTCATAAAAATATTTGTCGCAATTCAACAATAAATTTCGATTTTACGTTATATCAATCAGTAACTTAAAAACTGCTTATCGATTATTAGAATAATTTTTTCCGATTTTTTTTAGTTGTTGCAAATGGTGATTGTAATGACAGTAGTGGTAATGTGCTCATTGAGAAAGGGTGAAGAGAAAAATTTAACAAAAGCTTCGAAAATTGTTTCCATGCCTGAAGTAAATCAAAAAACTTACCTCAAAATTAGTAAATAGTTTGAGGAAATTAAAAATTAATAAAAGCTGAGTCAAGTGAATACACAAGAAATGGTATGAAAGTTTTTTTATTTCGACAACAAATTTGAGTAACTGAAATTTTTCGTTCTTAAAGAATAACAAAATATAATGAAAAATGAAAAAGTATAGGTACGGAAGTTCAAATTAGACTTGTCCGAGAAACAGCAGCAAGAAGTGGACGTAGATTTGGATGCACAGTTAGACGATATTGGGTGCGAGACACCAGCAACACCGGAAGGAACGCCAGAAGTGGTTTCCACCGATGCTCTGCAGGTCGTCGTTCAAATCTTTTGACGCTTCTTCGATTCCTTTGCAATCATTGAAGAGTATTATGTATCTGCTCGCTTCGCATTATCTCAGTTACCTCCTTTTGATATCTTTTGCAAGTGGTGTGGACCGACCTTTCTTCTTTCTCATTTCTGATAAATAGAACAAGATTGAAGAGACGTTTCAGCTTGTTTTTCAAATGACCATAATCCAAGGTCATTAACACAAGGCCATAATTCATCACAACAACTTTTAAAAGTTAAATCTTATGACTAAAAGCTATTTAATAATTAGTGATAAAACAGGCGATAATCTGTTCCTCTGACTTCCTCGACTCAATATATTTCTGGTTTCTCTGAAGTTTCCGCTATATACATGTCATTGTAGAATGATGAATTGCAACCTTCAATTTGCAACTTTTAATTTGTTTACTCTTCTAGCATCTTTTCTTCTTTTCTGTGTTTGCAATTAACAACGAATAGCAGAGAATGGTGGCCAAAAAACAAGCCAAGTTGCCAAACTACTTTTAGAAAACTAAACGAAAAGATGAAGGATATAAAGAAGAAGCCAAAAAAGAAGAATCAACGCAAAGCAGTTTGAAAAAGCGCAGGAAACCAAGAAGAAGCATACACAGCCAATCAGGCTCGAAAATTACAAAAGAATTACAAGAGAAGCAATGGGAACAACCTACTGGAGAAAATGAAGTATTGTTTTAGTGTCATATCGTCATCTGAGGACAGCAAACGGAAAGAAATAGGATTATATTTAAGTTTGTTCAGAGTACTTGCGGTAATGTCCCACAAATGCTGTTTGTAATAATTTTGATCAGTAAATGAGCGGACATATATACACATTGATTCATTTTTATTATATAATTAAGCTGCAGTATGAAAGATCATTTAATTGTATTTGCTGCACAAGATAATACTAATTTTTTGAACAGAGTGTCAAACCAGCAATTCAAATAGATCAGAATAAGCCGAGAACCAATCCAACACAGACAGAAGCCTCAAAATCAATCAAAATATGATATAACCTGTACATGTATGCTATGCTAATTTCCACTGTTCTTGTTAAATTTGATGAATGAATCCAAATGCTGTGACAATCATAACTTTTGTTTTATCCTTTTTTAGAATTTTATTTACGTTTACAATAGATAGCCATATAAAATCTGAATTAAAATTGCTTCATGTAGAAGTACCAGTATTATTAGTTTGTTGCTAGTTGCTTATACTTGTTTAAATTATCTATATTGGCTTCAGCTCACTTTAGCTATTAATATATGGAAATTTCACTGAGGAAAAATTCATATTCAAGCTGGACTTGGCATTTTTATATTAAACGCGCAGTTCTGCAACAATTATTCTAAATAGCATCTAAATAGCTTTTCACAATGTATGAATAGCTACTAAGGGATTACGTAACAATATTGTGATTAGTTTAAAAGATTTGAAGTCCAGCCGTGAGCTGGCGGATAATGGTATTTAAGTAGGCTTTAAATTAATCGTGATGCTTAAAGTAATATTTTTTAAATTTGTCAAAATATTATTACGTAATCCTTTACTTTTATTTGAACAGTCCTGAAGCTTTCAAGCAACAGATCTTCACCATTTCATTAATTATCAGCACTAAATTTTTCATAAAGTCATAAGTGATAAAGTTCTAAAAAATTGTCAACACTGCAGTTCCTGCATGAGAATTCAGAAGCTAGAAGACAGAACCAGATGTCTGAGAAACCGAAATAAATTTGTGTTAAATCCATAAGACTAAAGATTGTTTTGTTTGAATAAACCTTAAATAAGTGTTTGAATTAAGAAATTCTTATCCAACATTTATGTGCATTGTTTGTAACTTTACCGTCTGTCAACAAAAATATGTTTACTGTTAAGATTTTCCAGTCTAAAAGGCCAAACTCGCACTTGGCTATTAAGTTATTAGCATAACTTGTTTAACAGTTTCAACTCGCAATGTCTAAAAATTGTAGAGGCCTTCCAATCCGAATTTACTTTTATGAGTAACTGATATAATGTTAAAGTGAAACTCTTACTGATAAACAGTGCAGATCATTCGATTGAGACAGCTCTCTTTACTCACAGTAATGCTACCTTTGTTTACTCACAGTAATGATACCTTTGTTGTAAACCAGCCTACTCCATGACAGACGGTAGCTTTATTTTCGCGATCAATGTTCCGCGACATATGCGCTCTCTCTTTTCCACATTTACTTCCTCAATTCCTCTAATATTGTTTCATATAGATCAGTGGTATCTTTATCTCAGTAAAATTGGTCTCAAACATCGCCTTTTCTGCAAAGTACTACCTATTTGGCTCTAAAAAATGCTCCACTCAGACCTTATTTCACGACACCAGGTACCTTCAGAAATTATCAAAGTGATATCATTAATTCTTTTCGTATATATTAAAATCAAGTGATTATAATCAACTAGAATAATGTCCATCCAATTACTTAGGAAGTTTTTTTTTTCTAGCAGTAATTAATGTCAATCACTATTTAATAGAAACTGGAAGTTTTGATAAATTGCTTTATTAATCATCTATGATACGACATGAAGTTATTTGAAATGGCATATAAACTTAACTTGTATAACCAAGCAAACTTTATGGTCATTTTGTGATGTCGGTTCACTTTCAATCAATGCTGCAAATACTGCCCCCTGGATAACATAAAAGCATTAGTTCTTACGGAAATGGAATTGGTTAACTCTATTTTTCTCTCAACCATCCATCTCAGATCATTGCTAATCCTAACTACCATTTCAGGCATTGTCCCAGTTTGTCTTGATAATTTCACGGCAGGTTAGAAATCAAATATTGTCAAGTTTTTTAGATGAGAGATCATTTAAAAAATCGGGAAGTTACTGATTTGCATGATGCAAAAGAATTTGATGTTGCATTCGTTAGTGATGTGATCGCTGTAAACTACTTTAAATTCTGCAGAAAGAAATATGTAGAATGTCACATGGAACGACGAAATTACTTGGAATATTTGATCTGTTAATAAACAAGTTGGTATGAAAGTTTAGGAACATTTTTAAAAAATGAGAAAACTAATTAATTTCGTCATTTATAAGAAGAATTGTTTTATTGTTATGAAATTCTTTTTTGTAAGGAAAACCATTATATTAATATCACAGCCACTAAAGTTATTGCGACTTCAAACTTCAACTGAATACTATCTACTGTTGGTAACGAGGTGAAAATGACATTTGCAATAACAATTACCGCAAAGAAACCATCTGATTTCTGTTTGAATGCGTAAATTCATGTGCCAAAACAGAAAGTAAGGATTTCTCTAGTCCATTAAATTGCTTAATTTTTTGGTACAGAAATGAAAGGATAGAAATGTAAACAATAATGCTATACAATAACGGTTTCATATTGAGCAACTGATGCTGATTCCAATGATTTCCTTTCTGGTATTGCCTTTGATAACGACATCTTTTTCACGCATAAATGAGCAGGCGTACGTAAATACTGCTTAAAATATGTCTGAAAAAACCAAAATTGAATTTTTTGAACTACGTAGTCTATAGTCGAATTTTAATTAAACTCAAACTCAAAGGAAGTTAAGTTACCTGCTCTGCATCAAAATCAATTTTTATAGGAGGCAGTGAATATTTAGGATGAAGATAATCGCTTAGTGGTGGTGATCGAACGTTGTATGATGAATACCTCCTGTCCAGCTTTTCCGTTGATTCAAAAATTCGATGTGCACATTCTACTGATAATCTAAAAAGCACCAACACTCCACAAATGTGAAATTGGAATGCATAAATCAAGTCTAATAAGTTGAAAACTGACGAGCTAGAAATGGTGGATTCAACATCGCCATATTTGGTGCTCCGCCTTGGTGACTTCACGGCGCAAAACGGAATTTCCTTCCTCGGATGAAACATCATTGGTATCAGAGTACACCATCCCATGAAGAATACGATTAGTAGAACAGTGTAAATGAAGAGCACTGATATTGTAATTAAAAGCAGCATACAAACGTTGATAACCCTAATGACATCCCTGCCATCCAACCATATGTTTGGTTCTGATCTTCTTACAATACCAATATTGTTATTTCTTAATTCACTGAAATGAACGTTTGTTTCGTTACGTACTTAATGATCACCTATCGATATCGCTTAGATTACTCGGTATTTTTAAAGGACCTTTGTCAAAAATATATATCACGAGACATGCAACTTCTTTTTAATAAATGAAATTAAATTTCAATGTCAGAGTAGTATACCATACAGTGAAGAAAAAAGCTGTTTATTCAACAAAGAATAGATAAGTGTGAACAAATTTCGTTACACAGACACATTCCTGACAGACTAGAGATAAAAAGCTCAAATTACTTATTCAATCCCATAATCAGTGAGAAGATAACTTCTCTGCATCAACAAACAAATACTACTTATGTTGACATTTATTCATTCTTCATTTCTTCGCCATCCATCGTAATACTGGCTGTTTCTATAGAAAACAAGTATTTGTACTTTTAATAAGAATTCATACATGCAAGTGGAAATGATGTTTTGATTAAAAAACATTTCTAACAGTTAATGAGGAATTCGGAATTAAATTTGGCAAGAATACTCACTACCACCTGTTATCTGCTAGCTGAAAGGAAAAGTATAGCTTGAATTCTTCCCTTACTATCAGTTCGTTTTTCAGTTAAAGAAATTTCACTTACAAAAAGATGGTTAATGTAAACTGATAACTATTATTGGGGCCAGTGTTAGTATCTAAAAAGATATTGATTAAAACAATATAATCGTGATTAGCAAAGTGCTACATCTCTGTTATTGTCATGGAAGGAATTTACATTTCAATCGTTTCATGAAAAACATTGAAGAATAAACGAATGATTACTGCTTGTAGTTTGCTTACGTTGAAAAGTACTTGATCTAATACTATCATGAATGTTTCTTATTAAATAAATCTCCTTGACAATTATTCTTAATTCGTAGAATGGGAAGAATATCCACTCTTTTCTCATTTCGTCAGGTTATTATTATTATTTTTTTTTTTTTCGTACCAAATAAAGGATATTATCATACGGATGGGATTTTTCTCGGAAAAACTAAAATCAGTGAACAAGAAAAAAGCGGACAAACGACGGAAATATGAGAAAAGAAGGAATAGAGAAGTTGAAAACGAAGATCGCAAGAGTAGTAACTGTTCCACTGTTATATCGGCGCACCAAATTTTGAATTCTCACTTTTATTTCCTAATTATTGGCTTAGTCTTGAACTTTAAAATAAGACTTAGAAAGTAGTAACCTTCACCTTTTTCCCCCGAAATAATTTCTTATCAGGTATCTGCACTGAATTACTGCCAATGCTGATAGAGAAAAAGATAATTAATAAGCATTTATGAGAATGTTTGAAAACGTTTAAAAATTTATGTAATCTAAAACAACTGTGATATATGCAAGTAAACTTTTCCCTTATTTATTTATTTGAAATGAAATTTGAAATGGCAGAAATTATTACAAAAATTCAATATGATAGTCAGAACATTTTACAGGGTTAAAAAAATACTATAATAAGAAAATTTTGGTAAAAGAATTTCATTTATTTGATATTCCTCATTTTATTGTCATTGATTATATCACCATGTAAACAATTTCTCTCCAATTATTTTAATTATTTGGTGAAGCGGTAAAGTCATTGAGATGATAAAAGATGCCAAATAGCAATGAAATATATATTTGAAAACACTTCTAGTCCTTCGGTCTAGCTAAATATATTCTTTTTATTTCAACCTTTGCTATTACCATTTAAATAGACACAAAAATTTTTAAATTTAAAATCATTCTTAAAATGTTTTTTTTTTTTTTTTAAATTGCAAAATAACTCACGTGGATGAGTTAACAGTAACAATTAATTGCTAGTATTTGTTGCAGGAAAAAAGGAGCTGATAATATTTCCAAAACTTCGAATTAAAAAATTAACTAATCTGAAGTAAAATAATTAGACAAGTCCATTAAATAAATGATGGCTGCATGTTCAGAATCGACTGATGAAGTAAATTCAGGTAAAAAATGAGTTATAAAACACAACGTAATCTTAAACAACGATTTACTTATAAACATTTTCATAAATCTTTCATCGATTTCAAAAACAATATGTTTTTTTTTTTTTTTTTCCATAACTTCTTAAAAGAAACTTTTTAAAGTTTTGAACTTCCTTGAATTTTAAGTTCAACTTCGAGTTTGATAAAATTTCTAAATTTAGCCAGGAAATAAACGAGTCATTCATCTAATCGGTATTACAATCCTCACTTGACTAATGTTTAGTGATGTCGAGCACAAAACAGTGTAATTGATGGTTAATAGATAGATACGCTTATGATGGAAAGTACTGATAGGTATATAAGATTAAGCCGAAGGTAAATGATGCATACAAATGAAACACGTGGAAAACAGTGGATTGAACAAGGGAGAGAAGAGAAATCAAAACAATTACCTCTAAACTTAAATCCATTTATATGCGCGAAAATCCGTATTTCCAAACCATCACTACTGAAACTACTTGACCTCCAAACTTTTAAATACTCATACTTTCAGAGAATTTTAATATTCGAATTTATGCTCCTAGAAGCAGTAGTAGTCGGTGAAGAGAACAGCTCATGTGAGTTATGTGGTGGATAAGGAAAGGAAAATATGAGGAAAACTGAATAGCAACAATATCTTGACTGCATCTCCTCTTTCCGAGAGATTCTCTTTCATTAATCCATTTTCTGCGAACATTTTTCGTTCCAATGAATGTATTTCTCTGTCTCTCCGCATATTATCTTTCTACAAATCGGTTATTTATGCACCCATATCTTTTGTTTCACTAAGCAGCAGAATAAGAGAGAAAGTTACTTCTACACTTCTATTTTATCAAAATTCGGAACTCAGACTACTGCCAATCTCAGCATAACAATGATAAATTCAAAAAAATGCAGAGTGTAGTTCCTCCAGAAAGAAAGTCTGTGAGAAATTCTCGTAAAAAATGGAGGAATGAAAAACTTGAACTGATGGAAATACAAAAACGAAAAAGAATTTATATTTTGATATACTGAAAGATTTGATCAATTCCTATTATAAATGGTAAAAAACGATCAAATTTATTATCACGGATATGCGTATTTTGGAGTTCGGTGCGGAATAGAAAGGAGAACTGACAGGAGACCAAAGATGGGTAAAATGTGCAATATATGTCATCCGGAAGGGAACAGGGAGTTAATTGCTCGCATCTCGATTCCATGCTTTGCTTAGTTTCGAATTGTCGGATAAACTACTCTTCCTACAGTCAATTTTATTAATGGCCGCTTTCTCCTGAAAGAATATCTCACCTAAGTGTTTCTGTTTCCGTTCGGATCAAAATGATAACAAAACTAGCTTGCCGTGTTTTTGTTGAAACTAAAAGACTCGTTCACGAACAGTTCAAAACTTCAATGTACTCGAAGTGATGACACTGAAATGACGTAATGCTTGGTTTAGAAGTGACAATGTTGTAGATTTCATCTAAAGAGCCATTCAGATTTTATCAGTAGAACAGAGAGTGTTATAAGCGTCTCTCACTGTTGTGTCCATGTTTAAGCTGGGTGGGGTATCTTTGCGCCACTTAGAGTTTAATTCGGAGTACATTAATTCGACTTCTAAGGAAAATAAAAGGTATACAGTATGGAAAATTATTTTGTGATGATAAAATCATATCTATGCTTTGTCTGATTTTCTTTGTTATATATCAGTATGAAAACAATTTTTAGGAAGTGAATTGTTTTAGAATCGGTTATATGAACAGAACATTGAATTCAAAGTCAAGTGGGATTATAGAAATGATAAAAATATGAAATGAATAATGGAAATAGTAAAAAACAACCGTCACAATGAGGAATACAAAGAATCGTATCAATTTATAAATTAGGTTGTTTCAATTCCAATTGAAATTATTTTTCTGAATAAAAGAAGACAAAGATTCAAGTAGATGTACTTAATCCGTCAAAAACATTTCAATGAATTGTCTTTAAATCTAATAACGGTAATCGAGTTTCAGTTCTATGCCTACAACAGAACGATTTCTGAGTACTAATTATGGTTGATATTATAATCACGAGTGAAAATAATGATAAAGAATACTCTAACATAAGTCTCCAGAAATTTTGCTTGTAAAATAACTTGTAGAATGAACAAAAATGTGTTGAATAGAAATGTCGCAGGCAAAGTTACGACTTTCGCACATGTGACATTTCTGAAAAAAGAACAATGATGGAACTGCCTTGGCGGAAAAGAAGTAGTCGTTGTGGGGAAAAGCCATATTCATCAGTAATATTAGAAACGAATTGCATAATGTCTCATTCACCCACAAAATCCGCCTCATTAGACTCCTTGTGACGTCAATCCAACAGCGAAAAGTGGAAATGTCTCATTCCTACAGCTTGAAAGAAGCCGAAAGATCGCTTATTCATGTATGATTAGACAACATTAAAATGCCGTTCCGTCTAATAATGCCATATGGATCACAGCAATTAATGACATATAACAGCCGGAAGAAGAAATTCAAAATGGCAACATCTGACTTTCAAAATTAATAAGCATTGTTGTTATGACATTAATCAATTTTGATACTGTATTTGAGAATTATTCCCAAAACCTGATCAATTATTTATTAACTTTAAAAAGAAATTAGAAAAACGCTAAAATTTTATTGGAAGACAGTTCTTTTCAAATGGAAATTTTGAAAAGAAATTGCAAATTAAATATAACTATTGCGATAAATTTTGACGTAATATCTTCTAATTTATGCTTTCCTCATTTTCACTAGAAAGAGATAACGCTATGGGAATATCACTTTGCATGGTTCAATATGCTGTTAGCATGAAAGTGACATGGTTTTTTAATTTTGAACGAAAT